AAGGAAATTGCGAAAACAGGGGAAAAATACTCGTCTTTAGAGAGCGACGATGCCGAGCGTTTCTTTTAAACGGAAAGTCGATGGTAGTTAGGTCAGCAATTTTATTAACATTATTGTATTATGCTATATGATATGGAACTACACCGCAACAATCTATTAATGTCCTAATTAACGGGACATGAGCTTATCCAAATGAGACTAGAATATGTAAAGTTCCAAAAAGTGACTGTAATAATATATACCAAAATATAGATTAGTATTTATTGACACGAACTAGTTGTACTAGTATCTAAAATAGTTAGTCTAGTTAGCTATTCATTAAACAAAATTTTGTGAATTTACCAAACTTTTTTGTCTATTACTAAACTTTGTTTATGTTTATAGCAACTTAATTTAATGTAGCAGTTAGCATGCAGGTCTAGTGGACTTATATACATAGTTTGTTTTGAGTTTTACTTCCCTTGTGATAGTATGACATGCTTTGTTCTCCCACTCATTGTACGAGTATTATGTTTCACAATGGCTCTTTTTAAAACGATTATATCAAGTTGATTTTTTTATTCATATTTTAGTAAAATATAGAAAACAAATAATAATATTAAAATATATAAGACAAAGTAAATGAGGAATAAATTCAGATTTTGATTGAATTAAAATATTAAACACTAGAGCTAAAATCTGTTCTAATCTACTTTTAAAATATCGTAACTTAAAATCTTTTTCGCTGTGTGAAACATTCTCCCGCAAACGAATGAGATGTGGATGTAACGGCGGTACGTGTGAAATTTACAGATTGATTTAATAGGGTCTAGGATGTGAGTAGATCAGTCGCACTTTAGCACGTTCTTATCTTTTTACGGTTTCGACCTCACATTTTACTTTTTGCGTTCTTTGTGAAGTACGAATTATATATTTTTCAATCTCTACTGATGTTATTCGAATTGAATATCAATCATTTGTCAACGTTGTAATCAATTTTTTTTTTATCTTCTTGACTCTTCGACCGACTCAATACCGAGATATATTTTTGAAAATATGTATTTTATTATTTAAATAAAAAGTTATACCTTATTGTGTTAATATTTATCATTCAAATAGGCTTTCAATGTATAAAGGCTGTATTTCTTGCGATTTTATTATATTACTCCGACCACGACTAAGACTTCAGTGAAATGTGGACATGTTAAGTATTCCATCCATCAGGACTTTGTCAGTTAACAATACCTCATGTCCCATCGGGATTAGCAATTGTTAATATATTATTATTATAAAAGCACACAAAACGCTACGGGTAATCGTTAGGGAATACTCCCATTTTCAATATTGTTGATATTAAATAAAATTTCTCAGAACAAAAGATAAAATTTATACCGAAATTTAATGTTGCAACCCGCTCTATGTGGCATCTCCCAGTAGGAGTATTGGAGGAGCGAGTGACCTCTGCGACCGCCACATAATGACCTCGGATGACTGCCTCAAGGGATTGGGTAGATGCCACACCAAAAATAACTTGGAACTTGCCATTATGGGACCAGCCGAGCAGAATACCAAGACAACTTGACATTTTACATGTACCCATTATATCATAATATGGTAGCTCGTAGCCCGTATAAGGCCAATCTATATATACCTACCTACTTAATCATTGTAAAGATACTTGGTTGTTTGTTAGTCAGTAATTCTTTAACATGATTCTTATGGGATTCGCTATTAAAGTATAAATCCTTATAATTTTAGATTAACACGTAATAGTTTATTTTTTATCAGTTGTATTGTTTCCTACGCAATACATATGAAAATAGCTGTATTCATGTGCTTTTTCAAATTTAAAAGATATCTTATATACCTATGTCAAGAAATAACTTCAGACTCGTCTCGACTTCAGGCAAGTTTATAATGGAGTTTTCGATAGATTTTAGAATATTGTTTTAGTATATTCATTGCAAACAAAAAAATATCTTTTCTAAGATACATATTTATTACTTATCCCTACTTTGTTGCCATATATTTCTATCCTTTACATTACCTCTTCCTGATTATATAGATAGACAGACATAATCACTTTCGCGTTTATAATATTAGTATCATACTTCTTAGTAATATTATAAACGCGGAAGTTTGTGCATGTTGATGGATGGACGTTTGTTACTTACTTTCATGTAAAAATTACTGAATGGATTCAGTTTGTATGTAAGAAATGTCATTAACGAAAAGATCTTGTTATGCTCTTACAAAGTTTTCTTTTTTTAGAGGGCATTAAAGAAATATATTACTTTTAACATAACATTGCTAGTAATAGACTGTGTGGTTACATGTAAATAACTGCTGGAATGGTATGTGAACTCCATTAATAAAATCACCTCGACTAGCATAAATAATTATCACACGTGAGTAAAAGCCTCTGAAATATTTTATTTTACGTACTGACATACGTCATAAGAAATGAAAATTACCGTGACGTAGATTGAAATAACAAATCACTGTTACAAAAATACTTTTCTATTTTAAAAGGAAAATGGGATAGTCAATCCACTCACTCGATAGTTTCTGCTTGATCCATGTTTAATCGCTCCAAACAAAGGGTTTGACCGCTTTGAATAGATCGGGTGTCAACAGCTTTATGACAATTTAATACGAGGCTCGTGAGCAGTTAATAGCAGGTTTCCGTATTTTTATTGCTGCTGTAAAGCTATGTTATGATTGTATAGTTAAAGTAGTGGAACGTTTCAAATTATAAAACAGAAAGTGACTTGTGACTGACTGATTGTACTTTATTTTGAGTAGGGGTCATTATCAAACGTATTGAACCAGTTTTACGTACTTTTTAAATTCTCATTATTTGAAGTCTATTAAAATTGGTTTTGTTTATTTTTCCCGTATTTATGAGTACAAAATACACATACAATATAATATAATTTACGTGAAAATCTTACCTATATATGTATATGATAAAGTTTTTCAGGTAGATACATCTTATAAATCGCTACTTACACTAATTTTATATATGCAAACTTATATGTAAACAATAGATATTGTATATTTGGCTCTGTACTGACAGTTCTATCAACTCTAACTAAACCAAATATAGCTCGGGATTGGCGTAAAAATATATTTTTCATTAGTTATTCGAGTTTTCAGGAATAAATACATAAAGTTGACTTTGCTCGATTTTATCATTTATTTAGTAAGCTCCTTTATTTATATTTTATGGGATTTTGAACTTCGAGGACAAATTCTAAGGTTCTTTATTATGAGTTTCTCGAGTCATTTACATTTTGGTGAAATAATATATTGGAAACTTTTTTCAGTAACCGTAACCCTATACACGCCCACGTAGTTATCATATTATTTTGACATAAATATAATATATACTTAATCTAGGAGAGCCTGATGAATCTGTTTTGCCATATAAATTAAAATTTCTATTATGAAATAGGGGTTGGGTGATATTTAGGTAAAATTTAGGGTAGCATGTATTTTTAAATGGCACATCATAAAAACTTTTAAACTAAAAATTTTCCAAAAATATAATTAATGTTAGGGTGTAGTAACCCTTATAACTAACCGAGAAAAATAGATAGTAGCTGATTCTCAGACCTACTGAATATGCATATAAAATTTCATAAAAATCGGTCAAACCGTACCGGAGAAATATGGTAACTAACATTGTGACTGAAGAATTTTGTATTATACTATAAGATTTTAAAACATTTTATCATGTATATAAATTTTTTAGTTACTACAGTTTTTTACTTAACAAGAACATAGTGATATGTGGTAATCGTCGTTAGTAGGTACGTGAATAGCGCTATGGACAAAAATACATCGTATGATACTACAAGCGCTTCTTATGCGTTGCTATTCCAAAGGTCTAAGATGCTAAAGCCTTTGTACCTTGTAATATCACTATCATAGTTCATGCTTCAAGGGAAACACAGGTTATAAAGAAGTTACTGTTACTGTGTGTGAATATCTTACAATATTATAAACGCAAAAGTTTGCGAGTAAAAATTACTCAACGGATTTTGACGAAACTTTACAAAAAAAAATATTTTGTTGAGAGACTGACTAGGAACTATCGAGTTTGTTTTTAAACTTTCGTGTTTAATAAACATTCATATTGTTAACCGGGTCTTAACACTATTAATTTTATGGCAAACAAATCTTTCTCGATGTTTCGACTAGGTTGCACTAGCCGTGGTCACCAGTTGACCTAATCGAAACATCAAAGGAGCTCAAATTGTAAACAATTTAATACAATTGCAGATTTTTGACTAAGTAGAAAGGGTAATTGGCCAAACAAATGTTTATAAATAAATTTATACGTATATACTTACGCGTGATGCTTGAGCGTAGATATAATTTAGCAAATATTTTTAAACTTATATATTATTAAGAATTCTGCACACAAAGCCGGTAAATTCGTACACTGGTTTACAGCATCTTAAAGATCGAAATCAATTATTCATGTCGACATTAAATTATGTCGGTATTTTACCCTAATTCAAGTGAATCTCTCAGTTCAGAAGAACTAGATAGTACCTACTTAAAAATAAAAAAACGCTGTTTTTTTTTAAAAACAAAATACAGTAATACTTATATAAAACTAGTAAGTAATAATATAAAACTTTACAGCTTATACATCAGAATAACACATAGGCTACAATTTAAAAAGATATTGTAATTTGGGCGAAATATAATGATAAATGTCAAGGAAGTCTGATGCAGACGAAGTTGCGCTGTTCAGCTAGTATTTTATATATGATAACATAAGATACATGAAGAAAATGTATTTAAATATATACACCACAAATACGTCTCAGTGATACCAACAACATACTGTACAATACTCACTCACCTCACTGAAATCCGCGTTCGAACAATGGTTGATGAACCATGGCTCAACGGAACTAGGAACTTCTGTCAGTATAGAATATGTGTAACTTAAAAGTAACGAAAGATTGTGATGAAAATTAATGACAATTACTGTATTGTTGCAGAGCCCGCACCGGCGTGGTAGGCGTACTGCTCAGGATAACCCGCCCTCTCCTGTGACTAGCCAGGGCTCTAGCGCACGGCACGGGCGGCGGATTGTAAGTTCCCACCTGTCTCTTGTTACATTTCTCATCCTCGTCTTAAAACAGCAGATACTTTTATCCATATCACTTGTTTATGACTTAATAACATCTAAATCATTCTTTTGTAGCTTTCTGTGTAAAAAGTATATAAAAAACGTAACGTTCTGTCAAATATTATTTATAAGATGTTAATTGTTAGTTATAGTGAACAAGATTCAGCTATCTTTTATAATATACGTAGAATAATTAACCTTATTTTATGTATAGAACGTAAAACGGTTACTCTGTCTAGTGAAAGTTTTGAAGTCGAGCAATTTGTTTATTTAAAAGTGAAAAGTGCGATTTGAGATAAAACTACATAAATCAAAGCTAAATACAAATCAATAATTTTTACTTAATAGTTGTGTATTTCACGCATAGTCAAAGAACTTTTTTATTGACTTACTATATCATTACAATCGATAATAAAATAATAAGTAAGAATATAGCACATGTTGAATTCACTGAACACGAAAGCGTAACAAATTTTCTTGTGAATATCACGTACTAGGTGCTTTGTATATATACATATGTATGTATAATAACCTATACTATTTTTTTAAGTACCTTTTAATTTTTATAAGTAACTAAACTCTCCTTGTAGTAGGAATAAACTCATTCTCACATTAGTAATAATATGAATTAGTATGCATAAGTATTCTTACCAAATCCCTTGGGTGTGATACACAGACTTGTACCAACGACCTTGCATCTCATATATCGCTTATTTTCAACTTGAAGTCTCAGAATATGATCTAAGTATCTGACTACGTTACGGTGTAATTCCGTTTTGCCAAAACGAAATCATTTATGATTTATGTTCCACTAGCTTTCTGTAACTTCATCCTATTTTGGCCGTACCTACTCCAGTAAAATTCCATCAAATATTTATCAAATGATGACGAGGTGGTGTATCAGATGCGCACCGAAGATATTATTTATTAGAGAGAAGCTTTCCGCAATGTATTCTCGTATACAGATATACCTATGTACGAAATGGGAGAGGTATTGTCGAGAATATGCTGAAAGCTTTGCAAAGTATTCACCTCAATGCATACATTATTATATTTTTGCCGTAATACTGTTTGCATAAAAGTTGTTTTCATTTTATACAAGTAAGTATGGTAGAATTTATATATTTATTAAAATATTGAAACTACTGTTTACCAATTATATGTATATTGCTAGCTAACTCGCGCAACTTTGTCTGCATAATATTTTACCCGTTTATGCAACATTTCTCATTGCAGATCCGCTGCTAATAGTCGTAGAGTGGTTAATACTTCGATGTATCTATTTTCTTTTCCCATGTACTAAGTCTCGTCTATATACTAAAATTCATTAAAATTTGTTTTGCAATAGTCGTGAAGATAACGTAACATACAGATAGAGTTACTTTGAACGACCCTTGTTTTATATTGTGCAATATATGTAAATTGAAACTAAGTATTTTTTAATGATGATTCCACTAATAGGTAGGTACTACATATAAATGTTATAGTTTATGAAGATAGATGTACGGATGGATATTATAATTGATGGTAATAGAAAAGATGTAGGTAGCTTCTGCAATATACTCATATACACTACGACTACGACGATTTTTTCGTACAGCATAATATATGCTTACGATGTGATTTTAAATGCGTGAGCAAGCCACGTATAGCTATAGCCCAAATGTGTGCTTGCTACCTTTAATGTTCAATCCTGCAATTAATGTTATTGCAGTTAAACGGGTGTACTTCCCATTAACATTTTCAATAATTGAAAATGCTAGTTTTAATGGGAACTGCAGCCGTTTAATTGATAGTTATATTTTAGCCATAACCTTATTTTTACTCTATAGGTATATTACTACTAGCTATATTTTTTTAAAGTTTCAATAAAATCCATCCAGTAATATCACGTGAAAGAGTAACAATGAATATTTTGTACACCAATCCATACGGCCCGTAATTTGTAAGATTAATACGAGTTTTATTAGGTATTTTACTCACTGTTTTTATTAAGTACAATAATAGTATCTACATTATCAAATAATATATTAAATCATTTATATATATTTCACCTTCAGTCATACGAGTAGGTATATATTAGAAACGTAAATCGATGGTACTAAATTATTCTTAGTCGTCTGCACAGCGTCTGTTCAGATTATTTACAAGTTAGCAGGCGTCTTCGATGCCTGGCTTTATAATATTATTTTAAGGATAGTTTGTATTGAATTGATGCTAGTTTTCATTTTTCAATTTGTTTCAAAAGTCACTGTGCTTGGCGGAAATTAAATAATAATAATAGTATTATATTATTATAAATAATAACTTAATTTGAGAAAGATTTTGGTTACAAGGTGTTATGGAAAACATGGTCGTTACAAAATCTGTTTATATTAAGTATATATTTTATGGATTATAATGGGATCGGGTGCACCCGTCTGAGTTAACAGTTTATGTTGCGGGGGGCACCAATAGAGGATTATAAGATGAGCATAAGGTCAAGTCAGTTAACCTATCGTGACAAATTCACCAGGAATTTATCACGATGGTTTCCAGGAGGAACCTCCTAACAAGATGCATTGCTAGTTATTACTTGCAATGCACTACTAACTACTAACTAACCTCATTAGGTCAGGTTACATTACTAAGAAATATAAACTAAACTACTAACCACATTAGGTCAGGTTACATTACTAAGAATCCCCTTTTCTTCCAATAAGTAAAAAAAATATCAAGTTCAATTATAAATTGTACCTAAATCAATTTCTACCTCCCATTCGATTATCGGTCAAAATTCATTTACGGAGTTTTGACATTTATTCCCATAAATGACCTATTGATTGATCGCGAGCCGAACGCTACACCAAATGATTAAAATTCAATGAGTTCTATTGGCTGCATCAACTCAGTCGTTTCAAGGTTGTTTCAAGTCAAATAATTTGAAATTATTAATTTAATTAAAATTATTTTATTTTTATGTTTTGCGAACAAACTATATTTAGTTTAAGCCATAGGCAGAGTTATGTAATATAGGTAACATTCACCGTTTATTTAAAAAAAAAAGATATTTGGTTATATGCGATTTCAAAATTTCCTTTAACCGTACAAATAGACTTATATCTATTATATTATTATTATCAAATAGTTCACATATAACAACTTTTTTTTAATGGGGAACAATCGTTCCTACCTATCTAACATATATATACGTCTAATCTACGTATTTTTAGTGGTATTTGTTTTGTTGTTTTTTCCAGCATTGTTTTTTTATGTCAATTTAATTTATAAAACTCATAATTATAATCGACATTTTAGTTTTTATGAATAAGGCGTTGTTTTATAAATTGATACAATAGTCTAATATGATACATGTTCCTACTTTCTAGATAATAATACATATATTGTTTCATCTCTTAAGGCTTCAGGTTACTAGATTAAACATCGCTAATATGAAAATAACTAATCAAATATGGTATGTTTACGTACGCAATGATTTACGTATGTAAATATTAATTTCCCAAAATAAAATCCGCTGTATACATTTGGTATAATCTTAAGCAAATAACTTACAAATTTAGTATACAAATGGTTTGTTTATTCGTATATATGAATTGCAAATATAGATATATGACAAGAGAATAGTAAGTAACAGTTAAAACTATTCAGTCATTAAGACAGAGATATAATTATTACTAATAATAATAATGTTATGGGTACTAGACATATGATATAAGTACATAATGTACATATAGACACATTTTTTTGTGTATACATATGTAATATACATAGAAAGCACCGAGGCGATGCGCTAAACCGCTAGGCCTCTGAGGCCCTCAAAATTTCAGAAGATGTTTTGTAAAATATTCTTTTGTAATGTTTCAGAGGCGTGGGGCGCGGCGCGTGGCGGCGGCGCGGGCGCGGGCGGCGCCATGACGCGACGCCCGCCACCATGACGCTGCCGCCGCCCGCGCGCCCCGCGCACCCCGCCGCACACCGCGCAATGCGCTATTACCGCATCTGGATTTACGCGTGCAACGGCGCTCTGCTGTTAGGGGCATTGGCGTTTTGCGCGGCGGCGGGCCGCGCCCTCTCTGACTACCGACGCGCGCTGGTGCCGGGCCTAGGAGCTGCACAGCCTGGGTTTCTTTACGGATACGCCGCATTACCTGCCCAAGCAGGACTATTACAGCTACTTGGTTGTCTTGCTGCGTTACGTCTATCGGAACGCATGTTGAACGCCTACTGGCTTGCTTTATTGGCATTGCTCGTCGGGGATGCTGCTATAGGAGTATATTGGGCATTCCGTTTCGAACGAGTCTGCCGAGAATTACGTCCCCAATTACGAATACGCCTTGCAAAAGAATACGATTTGGACACAGACTTTTCTGAGGCATGGGATCGTCTTCAAAGTGAGCAGCGTTGTTGCGGTGTAACCGGACCAGCTGATTTTGCAGCATTCAATCGTACCACGTTACCGCCAAGCTGTTGCCGTATCCCGGCACATACACCTGCTGTCACACCAACATTACTCGCTACAACTTCCGCATCATCACCTGTACCGTTTACACCAATTCATTGTGCGCCACACACGGCCGCTTGTGCAGAACGATTGCTTGTGTGGTTACGAAGAACAGCGGACGCATTATTCGTGTTAGGATACTGCGTCATTGCATTTTTAAAGTTGTGCTTCCTCGGGATCCTCCGATACGAAATAAAGGAGATGATTCAAAAAATTAGAATATTGCGCAGTGAACTTGGAGCCGGTGAATTACTGGACGGTAGTCCGATCCATGGTGGGCCTCTATCACAGACTGTGATAGTTAATGCTGTTAACGCGAATGGTGGCGTACGAACGCACGGTGGTAGTCCAGAACGGGAGGCTCTGTTAGGACGAACATCAGATCCATGTCCACGGCGAAGTATACACGACGAACCTCTCGGTCCCAAAACTGTGAACGGTAATAATAATTGTGAGATGCGTGAGTTGGCTCGCGGTGAATATCGGCCGCTAGCGGCAGACAGCGCGGCGACTCGGATCTGACTAAGATGTTACTTGGAGCGGTTGTTCGGGCGCCGGTGGCGGTCCTTCCCGACTGCCGGGTGCGATATGGACTTGCCGCCCATGCGTACTGTGCCCGTGTGCGTGCGTCGAGCCGGCGCTCGGGTTCGCCTTGATCATCGTCGCCACACTCGCTCCGAATTTGAGCTGTAAGCATGTCAACAGCAACTTTATGCCGTTGCTGTTGCTATTTACATCGCAGCGCCGGTTCTCATAGTTGTTGTTATTTGCGATTCATCGGAACATTTCGGTGTGACTTTTATATTACATTATATTTATAGTGGTATAGAAACAGTTTCAAAGATGAAATTCAGTGTTAGTGTGTCAACGAAGAGTATTTTAAACTTTGAGAGATGAACGTATAATAGACGAGAAGTGTAGTGTGCAGAATTTAGACAAGGTGATCATCACGAGCCTAGCTTGTGTTTAGTTCCTACTTGCGCTTGGCAGTTAAAAATTTTGTTAATAAATAGGAGAATTATAATTATTCACATTGTTTTATGCTATACAGGGAAATTATGAACATTTAAATGTTTTAAATATGTAAACTATATATCATAAAATTATAATGGTTGCACAAAAAATTGCCGTGACAAATTACTGTAACCACCGGCATCGAGCACCTGTGCAGTGTGGCTGTATGAATGATTTGCACTAAGTACCCACTGAAAACAACTTGAGTTGTTATTCATGAAAGCAATCACTATATCAGTTTAGCCATAAGTCTGAACAGCTTTTTATTATATACCAATAGAATATTGAGCCTAAAACGCATGATAATATTATATATAATTGAATACATATTTTGTCCAAATATTTTAATTTGCAGCTAATATAAGTATATATATATATATATATATATATATATATATATAGTCAAAATAGTGTTCAGACTGAAATGTAATTAGATAAATTTTATTTTCTTCTAAGGATATTTCCAAATATTTTTTATTCATGTTTTTAATTTACAATATAAATTTTGTTTTTAGATAAATTAGTTTAGTGTAATATAGATTTATCCTTTAAAATTATGCACGAATATCCTGACCAGTATTCGTAGCTGTAGTCTAGAGTTCATGCCCCACTGCTTTAATTAGCATCACAGACTGTATCCAGTCATGTTGATATTTAGGTTTCGGAAGACATCTGTTACATACATACCGACGGAACCGTTTTTCCTTTTGGAGACCAGAAACTTAGTTGAAACTCTGTTTACCTATACATACACATGCTTTATAATATCACAATTATTCACACGTGAAATGACAAAAAGTTAAAGATTGCCTCTTTGTGTAAATTTTATACCAATAAACGGTGTCGGTAATATGTAAATAATATATTTTGTAAGCGAGTAATTGTGCATGGACAGATGAAATAGTACTGATATGAGCTTATAAGACGTAGTGCCTACAATTATATGCTTAAACAATATAAAGCGAACAACTACATTAGTTTTTTTTTCACACAAATATATTATAAAATTTTCATACGATTTTACCATTCGATAGCTAATGACAGAAGACGATTTAAATGCTAATTAGTGATTGCGTCAACATGGTAGAGAGTGATCATGGCCATGTATATAAAGTTTACAAAAACGCATTGAGAAAAAAATGTAAGTAAATATTAATGGCTGTGTCAAATTACAAATATACCAAATGATGCGTGAGTAGATTGTTACGGTGTGAAATAGCCGCTATCAGCGCTCTATGTTTGTTTGAGTACAGAGGCTGCCCTCGCGCGAGTGCATGGTATTAGTACTAAGTAGTACCTAAGTACTAGTGGTTCCCACATGTACCTATACATGCCGTACGATCGACCCAATACCCTAACATACATATTTGTACTTATTACGATCTAACTTTATATTGTAACGATGAGTATGAAGTTACGTTCGCTTAGAGTAGGTATAATATTTTGTGAATTTATGCAGAAAAATAGTTTTTTAATATTGTTGTCACATGAATGTACCAATCTTATTAAAATTTGTACCTATATTCGGAAAGTTGAATAATTTGTAGCTAGGATCCAATCTAAATCCTGCATTTCTTCCAAAAAAACTTAAGTAACATGTGCCTTGGCTTATAAATCGTATTACTGACGTTATGTTTTGTGTAAAAAAACTAATCGAATATGAAATAAATGGAATACGACCCTCGTCTCTGATGTGCTACCTACACTTGATCTGTATCACTTCTTCATAATTATGTACACGTGTTCCTATTAAGGGCACTATTTATCGAATATCTGTTTAGTACTAATTAGTTTATCGATTAGTTATACATTTAAGTTTGGAACAGCTCTACAAGTATATCATTGTGTTCTTCAATCAAAATTGCTAATCTTGTGATGAATATCAGTTTTTAAGGTATACGTAACTATTCTGTAACATACGAGTATAACGGTAAAGCGCTGCTATGTAAGTTACACCAGTTGTTGTTCAATATTATACAAAATTTAACATGCATAATAATGAGGTAGATATGTTCATCACAGATTGGAATTATTCGAAATGCCCTCTCTAATTATTACCTGCATTATATTCCAATTTACTTGCCACATAATTAAGCAATGATATAATACAAGTAAATCACAGTATAGTTACATATGAACTAATTATCGATGTATTGTATTGTATACCTATATAATTTCAAAAACATTATAAGCATTAATATGTGATAATACAGTGACAATTGTAAGCTTATTGAGGTCAAGTGGATTGGAATAAATTAGGTAATAAATAAAAAAATATATGATGTTTACTTGTATTTTCAATTATTACCTGTGTTTATTACTGTAATTAGAGTTGTTACAACTTTCCGAAGGTACGCACTAGGCGACTGAGAGCTAATATTATCATAATAAATGCATTAAATAAAGAATTTGTTAAAATTTTAACTTTTTTATTTATTCATTCATAGTTCTATACAAATAAGAAAAATAGAAGATCTATACCATCTGAAAAAAAACATGACGGCAGTTAAACGGAATGTCACACACCTTCATAATTAGCTAGTACAAATCAAATGAAAATAGTACGAAGAAAGAAAGTACGAAAACCCTACAATATTAAAAAACCGCTATATATAAAACCGACTTGACGATTTAGAATATAATAAATATTATTAATTAACAAGGTTATCTAAAAAATGAATTACTAATATTATTACGGAATCTTAAATTTTCTTTAATTTCACTGAAAAGAAAAAATTATGAGAACAAAAATTCTTGAAATTATAAGATATTAGAATTAGGTACTTTCTGCATAGAGTGGTTAGGACATACCTTTACTTGATCTTCTGTCACTCTGTAGGTCCGGTCAACGTTAGCACCGCCTATTACCAAGACATCATTGCCTGTATGTAGCTCAGCAGATCTCTGCCTACCCGCTTTGTCCTTTAGAACTTTGGCGCCATTAACTACATCGTTGAGTTTTTTAAATTCAACTGCTATTTCTGCGCCAACTTTAGCATTGTTCTTTATAAGTGCGATGTCTGCCAGTCGTTAAGAAAAGAAATTGAGGCAATTAGCTTCACTACTATCATTTTAAGATCGTCAGAGTTTCTACACGTTTAATTTATGACTAAATTACGCAGTTGTGAGCGGGCCGAATTCTAATTAAACATTTTTAATGGCGCCATTACTCTGAGGTGTTAGGTAGGGAAAAATACGAGGTATCTCTCACCCTAAATATATTGGAACACATAGTTCTTATTTTTCTATAGTGGCAGATTCGCACATTGATTGACAGTATTATGACTAAAATAACAAACAAATGACATTTAAAACGTGATGAACCAATATTTTCAATAAAAAAATTAATACGCAACTAGAACGTTGTTGTCATAAATTGAAATATTTATTGGATAGTAGGTACATATTATAATAATTGTAAAGGATACTAGCATCTAGAGAAGAGCCGGCCGTGGCTTTTGCAACTGCCGCCAGAATGAAAGGTGTTATTTCCTTGCCTTGAATTCCTTGTTTCTTTGCTTCTTCTAGAGCACGTTGTATTGCTTCCTCTATTATTTTTTCTAAAAATTAAAGAGATAGTATAATAAATAAATAAGATATTAGAACATAGCCATTTTCTGTACAGTCTAAATATGTAGGTAGATATATTACACTTACAATATTGCACACGAAACATTTAGTATAATTAAAAGAAAAATAAAATAGTTGATATTTTATAAACTCAGTAAGTATTGAATAATTATAAAACGAACCTTTGAAACTAAATTGGTAGAGTGATCATTAACAACAGGTATAATTCAATTGAATGCTTCTTTTGAACTGTGCTTGTATGTATTATATTTACTATTATTTAATTTATGAATGTATGAAATCAAATTACCATCCATGGCGCTTTCTTTGGGGATTGGCACCGCAATGACGATACCGGATCCAAGCTGCAAAGCATGTGTGGAGGACAGTAACCGCGCTGCTTCTCTTGCGTTCCCTACGCGGTATGGTGCGCGGTATCCGGACCGCGGGGTGTAAAATGCAGGGAAATCGTCGGTATCACCGTAAGAACACACACACACTCCCTGAGTTTCCTAAATAAATATAAAATTGAAGATACTTAATCAAAAGCTGTTATGAGGGATACCTTATAATAAGTCTGTGATTGTATAAAGACCTCTAACTCAATTCTATCTCTAAGCATATTGATCTATTCTTATCTTATTCTTGTGATATGGCAGTGAAATTACAGGGTATACAGACAATTTAATCATCAGAAATGTTTGGGAGTATATTTCATATTAATCAAATGAGTCACAACCAAAATCTTTAAGTTACTCTGATTGTGTTCCACATAAAATATAAAGAATATTCTTTATGAAACCAAATAAAATATCGTACATGTGTAAATACTGATTTCAGGATAGTCCCAGAAGCGACAACTTCATGAAATATGTATATTTACAAATATCTTTACTAATATTACACCACTACTGCATTTAATAAGATAAAATAAAATATATACTTACTAAGTATTCCAGTGTTCTACCAATGTCTAGAATCGACTTGACACCGCTGCATACAACAAGAGTTTTGCTCCGACCAAGTTCGCTCAGATCCGCTGATATATCCATTGTCAATTCTCCTTCGCGATGAACACCACCTAAATAAAGACAATATTCTTGAATTAACTACGTAAAATCTACTACTAGAGAAATTAACAATTATTGCCCTATATTAAGGACAAGAAAATTAAAATGGAAAATTACACTTACATTGCCAAATATCTGTTGCCAAAAAGACAGTCAATTTGGCGAACATATCGTGTTACATACAATAACTAGCTTGCTACAGTGTAGAAATTGCGTTTATTTTTATTTATTCAGTAAACTTAACGATAGTCAGGTTTTGAAAATTTAATTGATTATGTCGCTAATAATCAAACAAATTCTTCCAATTCAATCTAGAATAGATTTTTGGATTTACTTTTTTGGAACTACTTGACCTATTTGAAAAAATATAAGTGAAATAGAAAATATAGGTGATGAGTAAAATATTAAAAATCGTAATATCAATTGCCTTCTAAATTACAGAAGCATATGATTTAAATGTTCCACGTATTTAAAATATTTGCTAATAAACTTTTACTGGAAACTGATTATATATACATCATATTCATTGCTTAAAGTGCGTTCGTTTCTGACAAAGTCATTTGCATTTACACCCAATGCTGAACAACTAATAAATAAATTTGTTTACAAATATTAGATATAATTTTATAAATATTGGATCCCGTTATAATTGCTAACATAGTAACAGAAAAGTTACTCATATATGAAAATAATAATTGATGAATAACATTTTTTACAATATCGGCAAATATTGAAGTGTTTCAGTGTATTTTGTCTGATATAGTCACAAAAATATTGGCTGACCCAGCATATAAAAGGTCTCTTGTTAAGATCCCTTCTTAAACGGTAATGACGATGCGTTATTTTATAGTTTCTTTCAGAAGGAATATTAAAGAAAAGCTTTGATATTGAAGTTTAGTATTAAATAAAAGATTTGAAATAAATGTTAGCGTACGTAGATTTCATTATAGATGATTATTTTAAGCGTCTCAGAGATAATACATGATGATAGATGTTAATTAAACACCGAGTTAGATTGTAAAAAGCCGTTTGTAAAAGATACGTCAGTTTCACTTATTTTACTCGCCAAGCAGCTTTCTTTGTAAGATGTATTCGTTCGTTCTAGTTTAATAGGCAGTGAAATTAAATATAGGATAAGAGCCATGTCATGTGAGTTATAGAGTAACAACGCATGAGTTATATGACGGCTACAATATAACAATATGGGATCCATTGTGCTGTTCAAGTATATAGTTTACGGTTACAATTACAGTTAGCTTATTTGCCTATTCAATTACATAAAAAATACGAAAAGATCAAGGTCAATATATTTATAGATTAAAAATATCTTTTAAAAGTAAAACAGTTATAAAAATGTAGATTAAAATAGTCCCTACAAGCTACAACCCGTTTTCAAGAGAGAGCCAGCTATCATTGTGTTTGACAGGACCGCTCTACAGCCCTGGATGAAATAGATAGCGACCGACATCATACAAGAGTAAACAAATCAGATTCCGTCGTTATGTTTACAAATGGATTACCTAAGTGGGTAATACATATACATACCTATGTGTTTGTGGTTAAGGAAATACCAAGCTGAATATCAGGTAGAACCCCCAAAAAACAAACCATTTTTAATAAGAATAAAAATGAAAAATTTGTAAATAAATTTTGACCTGTCATACTAAATCAATCACATAACCACTTGTTTCATAGGGCAAATGCCATACCCCGTTGAGTGTTCATTGCCCATGAACATCCACAATACAAGGGGAATTGAAGATGACTATCGTGCTTTTTAAGGAGGAATATGCTCTTTATGAGAGGTTTCAACGTACCCTTGGTTTGAAAATACGAGTACTGGGAGGTTTATGGAGAAACAAAAATTTATTTAAAGCTCTGAACGACACATACAGTAGCTAAGTATCTATATGTAGGTTTCTACCTCTCTATTTACTTATCTCATTAAACATTTTCACAACCGCAAACAACTTTGTGAATAGGTACTTATCATCTACAAACCTTATGGAAAAGAAATATTTTCGTTCAATATACCCTTTTTCGGGATTTCATGTGATATCAAATTCGTATATTCTTTGATTTCGTCTTGCGAGTTTCAATAAAGTTAAAGTGCAGACTACGGGAAATGGAATAAATATAAAATAGGTATCATATTGAAGTACATTTTAGATAAAAAATGTTATTTATCTCAGCTTTCTTTATTCTATATATTAAGCATTGTTAATAACATAACTTGTGAGAATTTCCACCGTTTTTAGTCGACACCTTAATTTATGATTTCGTTTCATGAATTTAATTATAATACTAGCTGCACCCGTGACTTCGTCCGTGTGGAATTTAAGTTTAATTTTCTAAAATAAAATATTTTTTCTAAAATTAAAGCAGCCTAAGTTTCTACTTATTGCATCAGCTACCTGCTAAAAAAAAGTCACGTCAAAATAGGTCCAGCCATTTCAGAGATTAGCCGGAACAAACAGACAGACAGACAAAAATTGTAAAAAATGTTATTTTGGTGTATGTACCGTATTTATATTCAGATGCATGTAGTAAAAAACGGTTATTTCAATATTACAAACAGACACTCCAATTTTGTTTATATGTATTTACATATACTATAATATATAGGTTCATACAGATGTTCTATTTTATTGTTTTTGTCTTTTTATTATCATCAATAAAAGGGGTCTATAAATGTACAATAGCATGAAGTCGCGGTTGCAGCTAGTTCATAAATAAATAAATTTTGTCATCCTAATACCTTAAATCGACTTGAATAAGATTTACATTGGAACGATTGCCATGTGCTTAGGGCTATGAATATGAAATATAAGAGGCGAGGAGACACAGATGTTATGTTACTCTCTATATAATATTATTTACTCCTGCATGTAAAGTGACTATCGAGACATCTATGTACAATATCATACGATGAGCTGATATGTTTGGTATACATACTATGTACGTATATCATATTAGTCTGTGTCTGGGAGTGCATCTGAACAATACCCAAGTGGTTTTGAGTTAAAAAACTGTCCATCAAAATAACTTTGTGACTAAGATGTTACTAACAAATTTTCTAGTGAATTGACAATGCTTTTACTACATCATCTGGAACGACAACAGCTGACAGCCGCGTGAACGCATACATATAATGATTAATCGAGATAAAAAGTAGGCATACTCCATCTCAAATATTATATAAATATGTGTTAAATAAAAGAATGAGTAATGTTTATGTATTATAAAATATATTTAGAGTTGTAGTACAATACTCGAACAATATGTGTCTATATGTAGTTGCCTACACTGTCATATAAAGCGAAAAAAGGTGGATGAATAGAAAGAAATAAAATGCGTGAAGAATGACGCAAAATTTAAAGAGCCGTAAAATCTCTTGATTCGAGGAGAGTGGAAATATTAAAATGAAATTCCTATGCCAGTTAAGAAAGTTTTGTACAAAAATATATAACTATAAGGGATGGATCTCGGATGGTAGCACAGTAGGTACACGATTGTTAATTACATCGAGCGTTCGGCGTGGGTAGCTCTACCAACCGCCTTTACTAATTGAATGCTGTGAAAGCGATGAATTTGGTGCAGTAGTCGAAATTCATTGATATTCAGGTATGAATTTAAAAAGCAGAAAATTAAAGTGTTAAACGGTTTGTTGGTATTCCATTCTGCCTTTTCGTATATACTCTGATTTCTTATGTATATTTACTAAAGACATTGATCGCCCGATTTATAAACAAATTAAGTTAATTTTACGTTATTAAGATTTTGTTGTAAAGGCCTCATAGAATATCTGTATTTTCTTTTATATATTCATGTATTTTTGAAGCATTTACTGTAAGAAATATAGTCTTACTGCACTGCTCTAAATAAACTTTCATACTTTCCGTCTGCATAATTATTGCAAAGAGAAGGACATGTTTTTTTGTTGAGATAAAGATAGCGCACATTCTTTCTCGTGATATACCTTCTTTCACGTTAAATTTTAGGCATTTCAGTCGTAAAAAGGTAGCTACCGTACAGACAAACCATTCCCCAATTATTATATCAGTACATGTTAATTTATATAGTCAATTCATAATACTAAATGTTCCCGAGTATAGTGCAATTGATTGAGTGGTATTATGTAATATCTACTTTACATAATCATATGTTACTTGCGTCAATGAATGACGCAAGTAAAGCTTATGCAAAATGTACCTATGCAAGCTTCGAATGTATTAGTGATACGTTCCTGAAAGCTTTTTGCTTATTATGTTACGTGGGTAGGTATATACTTGTATATTCATAAGCCACGAGTAATTTCTTTCGCTGCATTGCTTATTTACTGCTAACTCTTTATACTTTAATGTATAAAAGTGGCTATAAAAATAAAAGGACAACACATGTAATAACATATGACTATCACATCATTGTAACTTATCTATATTATCTACAGTTGAATTATATTAAAAAATATAGAAAAATCATCACAAACCAAAAATATTTTGAATTTACAAGCAAATACGATGTATACTGACCAGTATAAATCGTATTTGCTTGTACAATGCCGGCAGTAGAGAATCTTTCTTTAGGGTTTCGTTTCAATTATTAGTTACTTTAGCCTGCTACGTTACGTAAGTCTGCTAATCCCTAGGATTATCTCGGCCATGTTAGTTCTTTTGCACATATTCGTGTTTCCTATTTCACCACGTAGTGAAATTCAAAGCATAACCCTTTCAATAACTCGCTGGACTTGGATCATCCACATGCAGCGAACAGTAAACATATAAATCGTAAACCTAATAAAATAACGACGTTGTCCGCGTAGGTCTGTTTCTCCCGCTTCAGTATTTCTTATATACTTTATAACCGATTTAGATACGATGTATTTACGTAAGGTTTGTATTACATTGTATGCACAATCAATGTAATAATAATAACTGGTGACAATTTATAAAACGCTATCTAGTTCTAAACTAGGCTGGGCTTGTACTATTGGTATGGTACATCTTGATGGAATATATATGAGTTACTCCCATTTATAATAATTATAATGCTTGTCTCATTTCAATTAAGCAACGTAAGTAATTAACGTGAATACCCGTTTCGTTATTTCGATCGCCGAGCAGCTTATTGTTGTAAGACGTGTTTCGGCATGAAGCGTGTAATATGACAGTTAAATTTGTTGTTACGGAGGCATGACACCTTCTTCAGGAACAGTGACGAATGTGCTGGTACTAAGGGCGTCACTTATCATTTTTGTTATACTACGATGGTGGCAAACAAGCATACGGCCCATCTCATGGTAAATGGTTATCGTAGCCTATTTAATAGTACTGCGTTACTTACCCTTTAGAAACTTTAATATTCATTTCTTGAAAATCCCCATGCTTTAGTCTCGGTTTTGTTATTCATGTGTCTGTAAAAGTTTTCCATTTTCCACGATATGGGCATCAGGTAGGTTGCTAATTCAGTTACGTAAATAAAGTTAAATATTTAAAGATCCTACCTAGGCCACCTGTCACGAATATCGGTATATCAGCAAGTTCAGCAGCGATGAGGGTGCCAGCGACCGTTGTGGCACCGTCCAGTCCAGCAGCAGCTATCGGAGCAAGATCCCTTCGTGAAGCTTTCAAGGCGTTCTTGCTCTGTGCTAAATACTCCAATTGTACTTTAGTCAAACCTACTGTCAACTGGCCTTTAAGGATGGCCACAGTAGCTGGTATTGCACCCTGTACAAAATTAAGAAACATGACATTTCTCATCAAATATAATAAAAAGCACAAGCTGAGATGAAATATGAAAGACACGTGATGATACTTGTTAACTTATTATTGCTTACTCTAAAAATAATGGAATAGTATAATACGAGTACTTAAATTCAGTACCTGATGCTAACAATGGAAAGGTAGCATTTCTTATTATATATAAGAGATTGTTTTAAGCGATAAGGCCGCCTTTTGTTTGCATATTTTAATATTGCTGTTTTTTGAGCACAACAACGAATTTCATTTTTAATATTATAATATTTAAATAAACACGTTTAGTAATATTTTTTTTATTCTACCATCATTCGAAATACAGACACATTGCAAAAAGAAACTATAAGAAACTTGTGTTGTGTTGCTCTTTTAAATAAATATTATTTTAAAATAAATAGACAGTAACAAGTAGGCGGCGATAATCAACATAGGAACCGCTGTGCACTCATAATTTGTATAATCAGATAATATTGTCAGCATCATGAATTTTAAGTGTTTTTTATAAAAACATTATTATCATTTACAAACTTTTTAATTTTATAATGAGCTGTTTTAATTAATATAAAATGCATGAAACTATGTAAGTTTTTACATTCCCTAGGACTTACCAATACCATACTACGTGCATTCAAATTCGATGACAATTATATAGGCTGTTACCTAATCGTCATGTAGTTTGATGAACGATATAGGGTTTTTATTCTAGTCAATTGTTATATCCCGGTTGCCATATAAACTAATATAAACTAATCAATAGTTATAATTTGATACGGGTCTAGATATGAAATAGTTAAATAACAAATAATAGCAGGTACATAACAGATTTACTATTATTACAGATTTCATATCAGCATACATATAAGACTACATTACCTACATATATAAAATACATATTCTCGTTTCAGTTCACAGGTGCTACGAATGGTCTACGAAAGCGTAGAAGTTGTGCCATAATATAATTAACGATACATACTTTATACTCATAATACACACAATAAGTTTATTGTTAGTTATTCTTTATTACCGCATTGGTGTAATAAAACATAATATAAGGGAAAAGGGTAAATTATTATAATAAATGATATGAAATGGGCAACTTTTGCATGCATACGAATATTTCATATATACATGAAATATTAGTTAAGTGAGAAATGACTCTTACGATTTAAATTAATATTACAAAAATCGTTATTTGTAGGTGTAATGTATACTGTGTAATATTGGAGACTCAATACTGGCTCTATTGGTATTAGACCATTTTGTAATATTTAGAACAGATTTCATTTTCAATTCAACTACAAAAATTACAATTACCATGTATTTATATAATATTTATATATTTATACTATTACATATATTTAAGAATGTAATACAAATGGGTGAATGATAATAAAAATGATCGTATTGTGTTATTGTAACTCTAGCTATGTATATTATAATAATTCAAAACATAATTCAAACCGAATTTTACTTACATAAATACATCCATCGATTAGGCAATGATGCCTAATCGATGGATAATAAATATGGATGGAAACAATAACAAAATAAAAACATCTAAAGTTTGTAAGTATTTTATGATATTATAATAGAGTAATTTATAAAATAATAATTAATTTTCAGTCGACTGATTTCAAAATGAAGGTCACAATTCACAATATTTATGTATACTAAAAAGTACTACGTAACTTTTTATTAGCTAGCATTACTAATTTAACACTACTTATATTTTTCGTGCCCTATGCATTATATTCAATATACTTGTACATTTAAATTAAATAACTAATAATAAATGTAGTATTTTACATACTTGCTCAGTAATAATTTGTTCAACTTCATGAGCAGTTTCCAAGTTCTTTGGATATGGCATTCCATGAGTAATTATTGTAGATTCCAGTGCAACTATAGGTTTCCCTTCTATTTTTGCTTGTAAAACTTCTTCTGAATACACAAGACGTCGTGAGATGGTGCTGACATGTCTTGAGTGGTGTACTGTGGCCACCCGAGAACATCTGCAAATTGCCTTCAGCAAGTATGCCATGATAATTCCTTAAACAAACCAATGTTTTACAACTTTATAGATAAAAATAGGACAAATTTTATCTTTATTATCTTTACATATAATAAAATCGTATAATAATGGCGAGGCAAAACTGTCTATTATTACTTTTGCCTTTAGGGTTCACGTAAAAATGCCTTGAATAATTTGGGTGAAATTTTCACAGAAGGCATTCTTAAATATGGCTTAACATATAGACTAGTAGGTAAAGTCGCGGAAAATCTTCCTATAAAGAAATTTTGAAAATATTTTTAATGTGCCATCTACAATTTTGGTATTTACTTTATGAATAAATGCTTTATTTATTGTTGTCATTCGATTGTTCATTAATAGGTGGTTTAAAATTTATAATTAGGTTATTGCCTGCACGCATTTCCGTCATCATTATGATCTATATCTAAATATGTTTATTATATATTTGCAAATAAAATAATATATTAACGTGATCTAACGATTATGTTTAGGCGCATTTAACGCCGATACCGCAGATATTAATAAATTTGGTGGAAATTTGAATATTACTACTTCGTATGAAGCCACAACCACATGGTATGCAATAGATATAAAATACCTTAGGTAAATTAAGTAGATATTTAAATAAATTAAATAGTATATGCAATTTAAGATTATATATTTATAAATATAATATCAATAATTAACTAATATATATTAACAGTTGTTGAAAATTGCTATAACACGCCGTGCGTTGTAAATAAAATACTAAATGTTATTCCGCATCACGTACTTTAAGAGGGGAGTGATCTGGCATATCAGACCCTAGTTTTAGATTCATATATATGAATATGTTTAAACTACATGAAGTAGTATGATAGATTTTACAATATACCACAATAATGTATAGGAATTATTGTTTAATTATTGTTCTTGAAAATTAGCTACGTATATTTATTTCAGAATATATTCGACTTCGACTCGTTACATAATTATCAATTTCTTAAGATAATCATAGTATATTTACTCGTAATTATATCCGTGTTTATGTTTTTGATAGTTATCATTCAATTCATCATTCATTCAATTCATACTTCACGTGGACCGTCCGTTTGTTAGATCTTTCAGTGGCGATGTAGTATTGCGATTGCTGTGGTTTTGTAATAGGCAACAAGTTAGGAAATTTACCTTTATGTATACATTTACTAAACAAATTGTTTAAAATAAAATCATTTTTATTTTACTATAAATTCGTAGAGAACAAAATATTAAATTTTTAATGGCATTCATTATTCCGAAGCGAATCAGTGTGTTTTATTGTTCGGAGGTATTTAGTATACTTGATTATAAAAGAAAAGATAAAAAATCAATACTTTTATTTTTTTATACAATCTCGTCAGATTATCATTATTATTAGATTAGTTATTTGTTTTAACAATTTTTGTCAAACTATGGATCCATAATTATTTTCTGAGCATAGAAACTATTTTTAAGAAATAATTTAGTTACCAACTAAATCTTCTACAGAAATACGAGTAAGTCGTGATTTAAGAGAAATCGTAGACTGACTCAAAGGGAGTTTACGTATGTTATTTTTTTATTTGCTCCAAGTTTGTAGAAAGAATCTTCAAGATTATGCAGTTTGCTAATATTTTATAGTATTCAGTAAATATTTAATAAAAATTCTTCAACAAATAGTTGTTACTTGTGTTCATTGAGTTATTATCGATATTTTTATTAAACATTTGATTTGATAAATTAATATCAAAATTTAATGGGACTATACTCTATATCGATAGTACGTATTATGGTGATAAATGCAGTTATATTCTCGCAATCTAATTGGATGTTTAATTTTCAAGAAATATTTTAAAATAAATTATGTTGTCAATAAGTTAAAAGTAAATTAAAATAAAAACAACGTCACCTTTTCTATTTTCATTAAGTAGGGGATAATTTATGTAGTCTTTTAAATAAATACTTTTAGTTGTAACTAGATGTGTAGATAGAAACTAAAGTTATTCAAGAAAAAGTAAAAATAATGCTCCATTTCTGTAGTTGTATGAACTTAATATCCCAATCAATCACGGCCAGCATCTCACTATTCACGATGATGGCAGTTGGCAAGATACACAATTATCCACCAGTCAATGACCTCGCAACCTGTATACATGTATTATTATTAAAAGTATCGTATATACCAAACATACATATGGGGCAAAACAAATGACACAAGACATATCACACAGCGCAATCTAGTCTTAAACTAAAAATTTTAAATATTTTAATTTATGTAAAGTTAATACAAATTCTTCTGAGCCAAGAAGAACTGACAAGAAACTCAGCTCTTATACATTTCAAATGAGCTTGTATATGTTTACAAAACTTCATATTAATTTTTAAATTCAAATTAGGGAGAATAGTGTGACCACCAGCATACGCTACTGCAATTTGATGAAGAGGAAATAGTCTAATAAGTGGCCGTAACAGAAACATACCAGTCTACTACAGAATTTACAGAAATATGTATTCATCATTAATCAATATTTTTTTGTGTAATAAATTTGTGGTAGTTATAACACATATGTAAGAGTAGGTCCGGAAAACTACGCGGATATGAAAAAATATCTAAACGATGAATAGAACAGGAAGCGCATTTTAAGAGAAATAGTACTTTCTACATATATTAAAAAGCTTACAATTTGTTCTCGATTTGCTACAAATGCACTATTTTACGATGTGACATTACGAGATGTTGTGTAAGATTTTCGATAAAATATAACCTCCCCCACCATGAAATCTTGTAAAGCCAACTGAACTATTCAAACGATAGGGATGCGACTGCATAAATAAAAATAATATTCGGTATCATTTAGTCTGTAAACGATTGTTTTTGTCAAAATAAAAAATATAGAGATTTGTTTAAACAATCTATTTTTGGTCCCCTTGACCTATTAAGTTTTGTACGATTTGTTATAGTTCTCAAGCGTGTTTTTTTTTAAGTCGTAGACATGCGGTCTTCTTTTACGGGTCCTAAAAAAATTGACTGTACTAAAAATCTATTATTGATTAAATACTTATTTGGAATATCACAATAGATTTTTACATGAATAATCATGTTTTTATAATCGATTATGTTTTCACATCCCTATTAAACCATTCTCCGTTATCCGCATCCGCGCTATTTCGCCATCGATCGCTGATCTGGCGAACGTAGTAGACAGTGTTCCAAACTATTTTATTTTCATCTATATAATTTCACAGTTCACAAACTATTTTTGAACTTTCATATCCCACCAAATAAATTTTTCTTGGTAATAAATTTTCTCGATAATAAATTTCTATTAAAGAGAACAGTGTTTTTTTTGTTTTTCTATTTATCATATATTAGTTTTATCATCATATATCAAAAACTTATAATATTGCTCTAAAACGCTATTTTCATAAGATGCTTCTGCAATATTTGATAACTGCTTATCCATATAATTAAATTGATTTCGCAAATGTTTTGGCCTTAACGCATTACTTTTTGGCCTTAAATTAGGCGCCGCCTGTTTATCATGTTTATTATCATCTTTATCATCATTATTAGTTGATTTTCTAATCGTTTCTAGATAGTATTTTCAGGTAGGTAATTTAAAGTAAAAAATAGAGATGTTTAACAATATTATTAATTAGTTACTACAAGAATATAATTATCTAAATATTACGTCAAAGCTATTGCAAAATAAGGATACCTTGTTTTTTTAGTATATTTATATTATGGTCTATTTTCAATACAGCGGTTGCGTTATCGCTAGCGTTTGGAGTGATATTTTATTTGATAATATATTGATACTATAATGTTTTTACAAATTATGGTTTGAATATTTGGGCCTTCTTCAATACGTGTTTTGGATTTTATATTATTTAAGAATGATTTATCCAAATTCGTATGGCGTATACAGATTCAGGTAACGAAGCTTGGTAAAAACGGATCCGTAAATTGACGGCAAGCCGGGTTAACTTGGTCGGAAGTTTGACGAAGGCTATCGATGTTCACAGCCGGTGCACATTAATCAACGTCTACCGAGACCGCCTCCCAATCTATGCTGCTCTCACCTGCAAGCCAGTGGGCTACTGTTCAATCGCTCGCCCCTATAGCTAAGTACTTGTTATTTATTGGGTAGGGCTATTTTAATTAATTTAGTAATATTGCTACTGGAGGTTGGGGTATTTTTAGTAATGGGGTCTAGTGATTGAATATCAATGTAGCGGTCTGCCTGGAAATCGTAGTAACTGATTCCTGGTAAATTTGGCATGATCAATATCATTCAGCTTATATCTATCCTTAGCGCAGGTGCACCGTAATATTATCATCAATTCAAAAGAAGTATATACTGAAAATAAAACTTTTTTATTTTTTTTTATAAAATATAATATTTATCAATTTCTATTCATAAGACACTTTTTAATTAATTACCGTCCTAAAGTTGACCTATTTATCAATTTATATTACGTAAACACTTGGTTCTTTAGGTATTTAGAAGTGATCTTTATTATGCCTCTCGATTTCTTGCAATCTGTGAGAGATTTGATTTCTGTAAAAGGAATGGATATGTGTAGCAGTTTACGAAGAAAAGACGCAATATTTTATTTGACGAATAAGCTCGCTTGATGCTAGATTTGGCAGTTAGATAATACCAACTCTTTTCTGAGAGGTAGGATTTTAAATCTGAGATGTTGTATATTATATTACTAGTGTACCTCTTTTTAACTAGTTACCAACTGAGTGGTGGTCGTATGTAGTAAATGTTAGTTTAATAATATCTGGTCGTTCTCTTCCACTTATCAAGGGGACCTTGGACCCATCATTCAAATCATTCAAATCGTTTGATGATTTCATTCATCATTGAAAACATCAAACAAATTTACATGACTTTATGTCAGTTATCAGTTACATTATTATCCATTAAAAAAAACAACTAGCTACCAACTTCCGTACAAAATTCCGATCTTCGTAGAATTTTTTTATTAGCTATATATAAAGGTATTTATGAGAAACTTTTTTAAGTAGTAACACCTGTCTGACATTTGTTTTACTGGAAGCAATTAAATCATACGATCGTGTTGCTAAGCAATATTGTTATAAATATACGCAACAGCTGTTTACTTAGCGACGTCTTATACTCGACCTCGTGTAATCGATTTATCTATTAATTTGTCAGCGGTTCCTTAAAAGTATTCCAAAATAAACAAATCAAATTGATTTCAACTGATTAACATGGTACAAGATATTTGAAATATTAGGTAAGTCACTTTATTATATTTACTTCTATCACACGACGTGTATTTGATTTGTAAATTTAGAAAATACCATAAATTTATGGCTATGATTAAATAGAATAATAGAAATATAACGCTATTATGTTTTAAATATCGCATTTACTCCATAAAACATGGTATTTATAATATCAACAGTTTTAGTATACCTAATAATAATAAAAATCTTTTGCGTATGTATATATAAACTCATATCTATTTCCCTTTTTCACGCAATATCTTAACCGATTTTGTTATTCTAATTGTTCGTTCTTTTTAAGCACTGTATAAAAGGTTATTACGAAACAAAATATTCGGAAAATTGCTCAAAACAATGGAAATTTTCTAAAACTGACTATTTAAACTTCGAGCGTTCAATAAGGCAGAAAAACAACTGCGAATACTAGAGTACCTCATACAAGAACTAACAACGAAGCTAAATGCAAATAACCCAGAATTACGTAGCTTATGCTATTAATACATTATTCTCTTTTTACCATTATATTTTTTTTCCTTTTGATACTGCTATTGTAACTGATTTTGGTTTTTATGAGCATTGAATATTGTAATTCATTTTATATGTATTTATATTTGTGTATCCTAGATCTTATTCATTTTTTTTCTTATCTTTGATTAATTTATATGTATCTGTATATAGTAGAAAACCCGCATCTTAGTTTTTTTTTTATGAGTAATGGGGGCTGCCTGAAAACCAGCGCTGTATAGGTGCACCTCATTAAGGTTGTGCTTATATCAACAACAGCTGAGGCAGCACCTATTGCCAACTTTCTATGTTATTATTTATTTCTCATTTTGTGTCTTATTGTAAATTGTATTATTTGTGTTAAGTTGGCAATAAATCAATTATCTATCTATCTAACACAGCTTCATTTAATATCAAGCTAAGCAGATCTTCTGTTAGAGGTACTAAACTAAACAATTACATTCAGAAATAAAAATCTTTACATTTTGACAGGAATAGAACCCGCAACCTACTGAAGTTAACCCGTGTGCTAAATCGTTAAACCACCGAGGTCGTTAAATACAATATATAATAATATAAACACATGTTTCCCTACTACAAAAATAAAGATCTCCACAGAGCAAACTAGATTTTAGAGCATTACGATACAGTCGATGACGAAAAGTGATAGCAGATAACTATACTGTGATATTTGTACATCGTAGATTTATCTTATGAGATGTTCTATGCTAGAAGATTTGTTAATATCAGTTAAAATAACCTAGTCATATAAGGTCATTACCAAAATGTCACAACCTACCGTCCAGTTGGGTTAGTTAGTTAAGTTAAAAAGAATTGGCAAGAAACTAAACTAGAACATTTTGTATCCAATGCACATGATAATTTAATATGCAAATGCAAGCACAGCTGTTTGTCAGCGGAAACACGAATAATAAATATTATTGCAATATTCTCAAGAGACACTAAACAGAGAGTACAACCAATGAGCACATGCTCGTTGAACGGGAGGTTTATTTCATAAACTATTAATATACTTAGGATGAAATTCAAAATTCCATTACAAATGTATACTAACAGCGAAAATGTAATATAAACTTTGATAAAAATAAACAAGAAATTACTTCCATGTCTTTCTGAAAATGTGAAATACAATCGACGTGACAATGATAAATTATCTTAAAAAGATCTACTACAAAGCTTGTGCATATATTATATTATACATAAAATAAAATTCTAATGAAATACCTAAATACACAAGACCTACCAAAAAATATATTTAAACATAAATATAAAAAATATATATTAATCCATAAATATTATTATAATACATATATCTAAATTGTTAAATTATAAAATATGACGAAAGTTCCTTATTCTTCTTAGTATTTTTTTATATGTGTGTTTTTTACCTATGTATACCTATATTTCTTTTATTTCAATATTATAATAACACCGGTTATTTTTTGTTCATTCTACTAACAATTATAATATTTATAATTAACATTTATATTAATTATTTTTTTGTAATATTTATGACGAAATAAACACGTCGGACAAATGTATGCTGTACTATTATAACTCTATTCATGTAGTTACGCACGTTTTGCAAATAATAAAATACAACTGAGGTTTAATTCTGTATGTCAAATATTCAGATATGATGTAAATCAATATCACAAATATTTATGCCTTAAAATCATGATTAAATAATTCACGGTATGTGTACAAATGTATGTACAAAGGAACTGACCTCAAACTGACAAAGTACTGGGGTTTATTTATTTTGGTTAATTACTGGTAAGTATTATTGCAGGATTCGAACTCTATGAAATGAAGCCGGTAAATTCAAAATTTCATCATAATTCCTCTAGCCGTTTTCACTTGAAATCTTAACATACAAACAGACGAACATACAGTTTTCACCTTGTCACGATTTTATCATATGTTGTATGTTAAGAAAATAGAGAGCATCTATTGAAGGGTAAATTCTGGAATAATTACACTTATTTAAAAAAAAGTATTTCACCATTTCATAGGTACATTATTCCAAGCAGACGCAGGTTATATATTATGTAGATTGTTCTACCCGGATGATATGGGACGGGCTACCAGTAAATTTTTATAAGGTCGCGAGTTCATTTCTGCTTATGAACCGTTTATGGGGCACGGCTAGGATTTATAACCTCCATGACCTACATAAATAGTCATAATATGTCAAATCTAATAAGCTTTAATAGTTTTTCTGTTTCAAGTGTAAATTATAACGTCTTAATCATAGATATAGATTTAAATTTTAATATGTTTACTGGAAAATTATAGTGAGGAAGAGCAAAGTGAACTTCGGAACCATCGCGCCAATTTAAACATTATTCCAAAGTAAGTTATATAAATATTTTGTATTTGGACTGTAATTTCATTCAAATTTCTTTTAAACAAACTAGCAATATATAATAGTGTTATTAATAATAACACTATTTATTACAAACAGTTATAATGTCAATTTATAAAAAAAACTAAACAGAGTACAAAGTAATTTTAATTCTTACATTCATAATAATAATAGCCATACATAATTCACACAGCGCCATCTAGTGCCAAGTTACCATAACTTATAATGCTCACACTATTATAAACAATAATAGGTATGGACTATTGTGCGAGGAATCGAACCCGCGACCATCGGAAATAAAGCGAAACCCAGCTTTCATATAGGAGATCCCTTTAAAAAAAGGTCATAATTCTTACGGCAAATATCACGTTTGTGTGTTTAGATAGTTAGATAGAAAGTCTCAAAAACTTTGATTTTATATAAACAGTAAACTATGGAATATTAAAGGAGGAAAGAATATAGGTAACACAATATAGGTAAAGTAAGATTTTCCATAAGTTTTCCATATGTAAATTAACCCTCCTAATGTGTAAGTCGTTTACACCCCCCGAAATGACTCCGCGACGCCAACCCGACAGATCTAAAATATATTTGGACTTCATGAATTTACGGTGACGGGTAATATTCGCTTCAATTCAGTTAAGCTTTCTTATTTTATTCGAAAACTTATTTTTCGGAGCATTATACATTGTACTTGCCGTATCCTCGACTTTGTTTCTTTACGGGTGTAGGATTTATGTAAACCTCAAAGTTAATAGCGTCAATTTATTATTTTATATGCCATTTTAGAATTAAAGTCAATATTCTACTTGATGCCATGTGGCTTTAAGAATACCATCTATTATCAAGTAAATATTTTTTAATTATCGTATTGGCCTATATCTTAATTCATATTTGATTTAAAATACTGCACTTTTTATGAAATCAGTCTACTCGTTTTTACATAAAACGCTTAGAAATCTAATGTTTCATTCATTAACGTATATTGTTGTAGATGTTAGTAGTAAATATTGGTTTTGTGACGATTTTAGAATAGGAATAGACAATACAAATTAATATTTTTTAAAACACACATTATCAGTGAAATGTTTTCTGAAATTACTTAATGATTCATCAGAATGGTTTTAATTTTCTGTATCCATCATATATATTACATTTGAGATTTCAATCGTGATAATAATTATTTTTAGTTTTTATTATAGTGAAGAGACTGTTACGAATTTTTGCCCAATAGTTAATTGCACTGTATAATCTTTATTAGAACAAAATGGCTTGGGGTCTTCCAAAATTACCTGGTTTGGCCTTCGCGGATCCCACTAAAACTCAATATCACATAAGAAGTTCGTTGCGGTACTATCAAGGGCATAGATTTCCTGACACCGTCATTCGTGGTCCAGGTGGGACCGCTACCGATGTTGATAGCAACGCTTTCGCACTACCAGAGGATTCTGTAAAGTGAGTTATGACTACTATAATTCCGTATCTATTATTGTTTTGTAAAATTGTAAACGAATCTATTTGTGATCTTTTGAAGATTTAAAAGTAATTACTGTTTTAAACTATTTTCATGGTTGTTGTTACAAACGTCTTGGTCGGGTCGACTGCAGTGGATGTAAACAGTTATTATGAAATCTGCCTACCCGCTTTTTTTAATCATTTTCTACGTAAACCGTCATCACTACTACTGGAAAATACTATATCATCTTACACTAGTGCCCCGTCAGCCTAAATCGTTAGCACAGGCGGGTGCACCACTCCATAATAATATTCCGTTTATACATATAGAAATAATTTCCCTAAATTTCCAGTCAACAATTTATATATTCAAAATATAAATGTTTTTTTGCTAGTGTTTATTTTAGATTTTATCACACGTAAGTACACTAGTATTCCCGTATAACTTCTATCTTGCTATCTAAAACTGCTAACTTTATTATTGAAATTTTCAAAGTGTTTTTTGTCTATATGTATCTATTTTGTTCATATTATTCTTCGGAGTAGCAATAGATGATTATTTTTTGCATTTGCTGTGGTGACCATATTAAACACGCATTATGAGAAAAAATGTTATCATGGAGACATCTACACAAATAGTAAACTATTCAAAATGGCGAACAAATTAACGGTGTAACTAATGGGAATTAGTAATAGTTATAGTGTGGTCGAACTACTATCACAAAATACACTAAACCACAATAGTGAAATTGATGTTCTTGTTCACAGCTATGACCCATCACTGACTTACGGCCGTGTTAAACAACCGGCACTACCAGCCGTTGTTCCGCACTGGGTACATTACGATAAAAGGTGTTTGAATTTCACCGCATTCTTCAAACAACCAGTATACGACAATCCTAATGAAAACTACAGAGTCCGAGTGGTCAACATAGTGTACTTCTTGGAAGATGACACCCTTACTGTGATGGAACCGAGAGTAAAGGTATGTCTAATATTATAAAAAAATATTCAAGGATACAAGTTAATATTTTAGTTATATGTATATTTTATTAAATTGGAATGGCAACAAACTATGTGTATGTCTGAATCAAAGACATGATAGTCTGTAATAATTTTTGTAATAATTTGATGTACATATTAAGCAACTTTGACTGTGTGAAATTTCATTCTTCTCCGTCCGCGTTTATTCGGGAATAGGGTTAACCACTTCATGTAATACTATAATGATATACATAGATATGTAACCAGCCTATATATAATTTAATGACCGTCTAAAATGAAATGATGCAATTAGAAAGCGGTACATGTTTGTGCCATGTGGACGCTGGCGTCACTAGGTGGATACTGTGGATATATAACAACCCCTAGGCAATATTTATATTGTTTTTGTTCTACTTGTTATTCTAGCCGCAAACGGCGAGCGGCACGTATTTTCTAAAACAAGATTTGCAACACAAAATACATTGGTATTTCAACTCTCAAATTAATTTCGTTTTGGTAAAACAAATTTGTAGAATAAATACAATAACCGAAGATGTCCACATTTATGTATATGTAATGTGTAATTTAATCTATGTTGTAATTAAAATTATATTTAATGTATTAAATGCTCTGTAGCTACATATTTTTTACATTTATTAAAAAGTTTACAAAGTGTGTATTTAAGCTAAAATGGTTATTTTTAAAACCGATATCTGTCATTCTATTTTTTAGGTTATGAAGATAAGAAAATTGATTGATTAAAAGTTGATTAGATGGGTATTAGGCTAAATAAGAATGTATATATTAATATTTGACTAAGTTAATATCATATATTTCATTAGAATCGTTCATAGATTTATAAATAGTGTATAATTTCGATTCTCTATTCTATTAAGTCCTGTATAATGAGACTTTCAATTGGATAGTTACATTGATTAATACCACCCATCTAGATTTGGCTAGTTCTAAATCGTCTAGAACCAAAATGTAATTCATTCAGTTATATGTACATAATAAACATACGTATAGTTACACTACAGTCCTTACATATACGGAGATAAATCTGATTTACCCTGTCAAGAGGTTCCTAATATTTTTTTCACTTTTAGATGTTGATAGTCATCATACCCAAACTCTGTAATGTTTTTAGTAAAATGTTTAACTTTTACCATTTTATTAACATCCTTCGGAAAATGTAACAAATATAAAATATCTTAATTTGTTAAAAAAACTGTTTTGATTTAGAAAAAATACACCTATAATGCATATAAAAATAACCATAAACATATTCCTGTTGGTTCAACTGTTCAAACAAATTAATATTTTAAAATTACCTAACAGCCCAATAGTACACAGTTTTTACTAACTGGGTTGTCATTAGATTAATTTTATGGATGTACATTATTGTACATGACACTAAAAAATGTGGTCAAAATTCAGCTTTGTCAAGTCTACTTGTTTTAAAATGTCTTTTAATTTTGGTACAGATTTAATGAAGAAATATATCTGTATTTTATAGTATAAACTGTAAAATCTGCGACAGTAATAAACTTTAAAACCTTAACTCTTAGCCTCCGGGAAGCTTGTAACGACGCTTTCAGTGTCTTTATCTGGGTGTTGAAACAATGTAAGAGATTGAAATTTAAGCCTTAATGATTTCTTACTAGCTTGAATTTAGACTACGTACCATTTTATTCTTATACATACTTACTTAGTTGTCAAGTATTTCATAAAAGAATAGGTGGGGTATACTTAGAAATCATTTAGGGAATTGATAAGTATTAGAGATTATACACACTAGTAGTTATTACCGGCGACTTTGTTTGCATAAACTTTCATTCCCTTCCAGATTCTTTTGTGATATAAAAGATAACTTGTATCTAATATTTGATGCAATCGATTTATCATCGATCATGTTAAATTCATATTTTTAGTCGTGAAAAGGTTACAAGACAGCCAGACTAATTTGTATAACCATACTATAATTATAAATGCGAAAGAAAATTACACTTTTACACCTTAATGGCTTCACAAACCATTATGAAACTTGCCATATTAATTAGAGATGGAGAAGCACATAGTGTGTATCACTATCAGTCATAGGTCTGTAGATAAAATCTTGCATTGAAATTAGTTTCCATATATTTTTTTACGATTGGTAGATTTTGGTTTTATGAAACCAAATGTTACTAATATTATAAACGCGGAAATTTGTGAATGTGAATGGATGGATGTTTCTTACAATTAAATAATAAATAATAATAATATAGTATATTCTTCAGAATAACACATAAGCGGTAAATTCTATGCAGGTGAAGTCATGGGCACAGCTAGTAATAATAATAATACAGGACAATTTACATAGCGACATCTAGTCCCAAATTAAGCAGAGCTTGTATATGGGTATTAAATAATTGATAGAAAATTATTTTTAGTAAATACATAACATAACAGACATAAAAAGAACCCAGACCAATATAAACACTCATACTCGAAATATTTCTATCGTGCGATGAATCGAACCCGTGGCTATCAGAAGGAAAGGCGAACCTCCAAACCGCTACACCACCGAAGTTGTCATATACAAGATGTGTTTATTGTTAGTTGTGTATAAGATGGGCAAGATATACTTAGAAAAAAAACTGGTATTATATGTGGTAGATAATGTCCACTGTTCCTCCTCCAGTTCCTATTTGTTTTTTCATAGCAGAGCCTACTGAAATGCCGCCATTCAACCTCAATAATAACGGGATGAACAATGCTTCTCATCTCCGCGCTCTTTTTTACTGTATCCGCTTAATTTGAATGGTTCTCAGTTAGATTAAAAAAAAAAAGCTTAATCTGTTTGTTCACTTGTCGTGGTGTCCATTCTTATTTATAAGGAAATTATGTTTTATATTAAATATATATATTTTACCCGCGTTTATTTTTGTCGTCTTCTCTAAAAGATAACCTACGTCCGTCCTCCTAATGCAATCTTCATGCCTAATTTAATTAGGATCCGTTATAAGTAAAAAAGATTACAAACAGATAAACTGACATACTGACATACCTATGCATCTATAATATTAATATGGATGTAAATTAAGATAAAAGTATAATTATTTTCAGTCCTGATGAAAATTTACTTTGTACATTTATTTTATCGAATGCATTTGTTTATATATGGATATATGTACATATAAGTAATTTATTTTTATTCGTATTTTTACAAAATTACCATAAAAGTTCTCTATAACAACCGCTTAAATTTGCAAATAAGAAAAAAGAATAAGTATCTGCACTATTGTATATGGGATAAGAATGGAATGAAGCTAGCAAATGAGCCAGTATTTGTTCACAATTGAATGCGCTGGGGCTGCAGACTGCCTTGTTCCGTTCTACGGAATTATCTCTGGCTCACAATAATAATCATATTTCATTCACATTTGTATATTGGCAAATTACTTTAATTGTCAATAACCGTTAAGTGTAGACATACACCCGTCATGGCCTCTTAATAAGAAACAATTGCGTAAATTATTATAATATACACAAATTTTGTTATCATAAGCAATTCTTCGCATGTAAACGAAAGAGTTTCTATTCATAAGTATTTATGTATAAACATAGTCTAATGTTCGAAGGTTTTTTCAATTTAAGTATTCGTATTTCACTATAGGTAATGTAGGTACTAACTTGTTTAGCAAACTATAAAAAAAAAGTTATGATTAAATGTACTTGGCAATAAAAGCTACATTAAAATATTTGTCGTAAACTGATATGAAATTTAAAAAATATATAATGTGGTAAATATTGAAGAGAGAGTAAAAAATAAGAATTTTGTTTGAAGATTAAAGTAACTATGTATATGAAAAACGTATTCTGAATGCAGAAATTTGTAAATTCTGAAGCATTAACATTTGCACACTATTCATTAATTGACATTTAGGTATTTTGTTATGTGAAATCTAAATTGTTTGACCAAATGATTGCGATATTCATTATCCGAATAATGAGTAGGTATTCAGATAATTAATATAACTACGATATTATAAAATCATAATTTATAAAATTACTGATTGTAGAATTTTGTTTAACTCGGATGAGTTGCAAAGATTAATACGTGGGTTGTTGTAGTGTTTTGTTGTAAAAAGTAAAATAAATAGTTAGGCAATAATAAGAAAATCTTGATTTTCATTTCTTTGAGTAGGTGACAACTGCGTGATAACAATTAGTGTCTGAATGACTTGAAGATTATCAAAATATATACGCCTATAATTTGTAAGAGTTTGAAATCTTATTAATTTTATAAATGCAAAAGTTTGTGAGTATGAATGGAAGTTTGTTACTCTTTCACGCAAAAACTACTGAACGGATTTTGATGGAACTTTACAAATAATAATATACATAGCTTATACATCAGAATAGCATATAGGCTATAAAATTCACGCGGATGAAACCGCGGGCACAGCAGTATGTTATATATTTTAATTGTTTTGTAATACTTATATTTCTAGAATTCCGGTCTATGGCAAGGCAGGTTGGTGAAGAGAGGTAAGATACCGAAGAACGACCTAGGCGACTGCTGGCATTGGAAAGACTTGGATGTTGGCAAGGATATTTGTATCTATGGGAAGGTGTTTCACACAGTATCCTGTGATTTCTTCACCAAAGTATGTATCACTACAGCAATAATAAAATATTTGAATTATGTTTTTAACTGATTTGGAGAAATCGGTAAAAAAGTACCTCCAAAATTCATGCTATACAATGTTTTCATTAATTAATTAATTACTTCAGTATTAATACAATAAAATAATACATAAGTTTTGTATTTCTATCAGTCGTTTAGCTCATAATGCAAAGATTGCTTAATTTGGGACTAGATGGTGCTATCTGAATTGATCTACGTTTTTATTACTATATTAACACTATATAGTAAAGTTCATCGTTATTTTTTTTTGGAGAACATAAACATAACACAAATATACTTGTAATACTACATAACTATAAATCAGAATAAATCTGCCGTTACGATTTTCTTGCCTATTGCCATTATGATTTCAGAACATATCTATCCAATATTTTTAATTTAATTTCGGCAGCGATGGTTGAGGCAGGTTTGAGTAGGGTCATGTATTTAGATTGTAGCTGGAATTGCTTGGATATTGTTCTCATTTTTTTCATGACATGATATTAGGCAGGCGTGATTTGTTCATAATATATTATAATAAAACATAAAAATTAAATAAAATTATTATGAGCACCCACTCTTTAATTGTTCACCATAAATAATTAAATAAATTACCAACTATATAGGTACTTAGTTTATGATTGAGAAATAGTAAATTAATCTAACAATATATTAAGAGCTCTTCAATAATATTATCATGGTAAATATCCAGTTTATATAATATCGCACTTAATACTGAATTAACTCAAAATTTACAAACATTGGAAAATAGACTATGAAGTTTTTGTTATTAAAGACTAGTTTAAAAAAAATCAGAAAATCCCTGATTGAATATGCGATATATTTCATACAATTCTAAGCTACCGTGATTTTTTTAAAAATAATATTTTATGTCGACGCACTGCAGTGTACCATTGAAGGTACCTAGAGATAACTACCTACTACCGTAGCGGAAAACACTGGATTTCTAGACGAAGAAATTTCCATGCAGCCAACAAGGAAATCGGTATTAAATAATAATAAATATAACCTCTCTTAACTCTGATCAAAAACTGAACTTCAATAATAGAAATTGGAATGAAAGCACTAATGCTTTTTACATGCCTAAGTATGTGTATTCATTTGGCGAAACACTATGATATTTTATGATATATAATTAAATTATGTATTTTTCAACTATTGAAATGAGTGTTATAATTTAGACCCACGATTAAAAAAAACAGCTGAACGAAACACACATAAAATTTTAAATAAATTTTGCCATAATACAATAATAAAACCCTTTGAGTATTTAGGACTAATTATTGCTAATTTTTATTTTGAGTATTTAGTACTCATTACTACCTACTAGTCCTAACTGTTCAAAGTTAAATACACATCCAACTTAGCAACCCGTTTTTGAATTTAGCTTTCACAAAAGGACAGACAAGCAGACAAAATTCTAATAATCGTTATTTTAGGGTCTATTAGGTTGTTAAAGTCGCCAATAATATAATAGTTTTTCTCGTATTTATAATAACTTACACCTTTTTAACATTTCCACTCTTTCACATCACCATTTCGCACAATATTCCAAATCACGCATATTTTAATATGTAAATATACATGCATATTAAATTACATATATATATACAAATATACATCTTATATTCATGTCATTGAACATGAGAGTAGGCAAGTTGAAATCAAAGCAAACTTCATAGCGTTCATTACAGACCGAGGTCTCGCAACGTTTACATTATATGTCAATTATAAAAATAAAACAAACAATTTTGAACAATTATGTAGTAGTTTAATTAAAATTGCTCTTGTATTTGCTTGTAACTCGGGTAGTGACGCTCTTTATAATTATTTTATATCTCTTTATAATAAAATCGTAGTACTATTTAGAGGAGATTGACCCGTCAGACAAGGTCAAATCACTCATATTGACTGTCCATCAAATCGTAATAAATTGTTAATTGTGTATGTAATTTTTTTATATGTAGACTATCAATATGCATGGTATAATGTGTTGTTGAAAAAATTTAAAGTATTTCTATGGAATTATTAGAATTTCTTACCTCGATCACTTTGAAAGGATGAAGTTGTTTGTCGATAACACGTGGTAGCGATCGCGCCGGTCGTACTGAGCATATGCTGCAGGGATCGTATAAAATAATGTCTCGTTGGTATGCCGAAAGTTATTTTTAGATCTACCTACGTAGGTAAATACATTTTTTCTTGTTACGCCTATTATTATCCATGTAAATATGAAAATGTAGTATTTATTGACTCTCGCGTAAACCTGTCACCTGTCAGTAGAGTGAGTATATGTGAAACCTATATTTTAACAATTTATGTTTACATTTTGAAAACAATGCTTTTCGTCTGTATTACATATGCCGTGTGTTTGTGGTATCATTCAAGTGTTAGCATTGTGGAGGATTAACATACCCAGCCCAGCGTAACCTGCAATTTTTCTGCTATATCCTTTCTACCTTTCCAACCTGAATCAATATTAATTTATACCTTTATTAGTGTATAGTTTGATATAGTCCTGAACTAGCGTGAGCTGTATTTCACGAGTCAGTTGCATCCCAAAAATATAAGGATTACAGATTTAATTTACATCTTACATCTTATAAAGCTATCTGCTTTATGACAGATATGGGTGAGACAGATATAGAAGATATTGTACAGTCTACCTCGCTGAACAATATTCTTTCTTCTCTTCGGTCGGAGTTCGATGCTTCTTTTCCTATTTCAAACACGAACAATTTCTCGGCCGATAACGACATTCATTAACAACTGAGATAAACTAGAAAATGCTTTATAATAACATTCTGTATATTGGAAACATATATCAGTTGTGGTTAAAATTCAAAACGGTATTCCTCTGCAATAACATAGCAATAACGCGAACGAATGGAATGGTTGCCGTAAACCTTAGAATGGCTTTTAGAATAAAGCGGAAAGGTCGCGTGGCTTAAAGAAATGTGTTTATTGCTTGAGGAACAGTGGGCCATAGTTTAATAGGGTTACTCATTTTTATATTTAGATACTTATAAAATATAGATATTGTAAACCTATAAAATATTTCACGCTAGCTGCTAGGTAAAAGATGGCTTATATCAGTCTTCATGATTGTATCTGAAGGTAGATTTATCTTCACGTCAAATTTCATTAGATCCGTTCAGCTATTTAATCGTGAAAAGGTAACAAAGAGATTTATTGATTTTATTATATTTCCTTTTTGATGCGATATTTTTAGAAAAGTAACATGTAGTTAGTATGTTAATGTAGTAGGTAGTTAGTGAATATTGCACGTAAAAATATAAAAGAATTATAATTCTTATATATATATAAATACTTAGGAATTCCTTCCTATAGCCTCTTAAAGCAATCGTTGCTGCAGAAAACTTGCTAATTATTATAATATAATGACTAATTATAATAATTTATGTGAAAATGTAATAGAAAATGTCTACGTAAGGCATGTTGGTGTTAAAATACCCACATCCTTATTATCTTGCACTTAATTACTTTCGGTTTATTTTTTCCTACCCATATGATTGTAATGTTATACGTAATGTGCACTATATCACTTAACATTAGTTTTAGTAACAGTTAGTTACTTCATTAATAAGTATTTTATTTATTTCTTTGTATACTCTTTAGTGCAATAGATGTATTACAGGTATCAAAATTAACATAGTCATAGGGTACAATGACGGTTTTAGCGCTTATGCAATCTCTTTCAGAGTCTTCGCGAAGGTTATTTCTGTATTGTCTCGTATTGTTCTGGATTAGACTGAGATATACTATCGAAATGAGTTTTCCATTTCATCAACTTCGGAACAATAAGGAACTAACTGTGTTAAACGATCGCTGATTTGGACAAACGATCTGCCTCCTCATTAGCTTTTAGATCTATGTGTGATGGAATCCACTGACATTTAATTTGCACATTGTTCTGATTAAAAATTTATTCCAAAATTGAGTATGCTATTGTTACACGTCTTTATCCAAAGACGCATATCATTAAATGAACAAAGTACTTTTACTGTTTGTAAAAAAATCAAATTTTTGGTTTCCTTATCCAATCGCATGTGACATTGCTTTCGAGATAGCAACCAATTCTACGGACATTATGGACATACTCTACTAAATCCTTTTTTTGAATTTTCCTGTGAACTTTCTTGTCCGATCATGAAAGGTCGCTCCTTGTACACTCACATATTTTGAACCATCAGTATAAATCCAATGCTTATTTCTCTTATAATGTTACTTCTCATTAAACTTACACCTTGGTAAATTTTTGAACCTTTTATTCAAACATTCAAGTGAATATTTCTAATAGATTTAATACTTTATCAAAATTAATCAAACTTTATTATACTAGCGACATTACCCAAATTTTTACGGTTGTTAGTACTTCGGAATCTCTTAATGTGTTTGTTGTATTTGGAAAAATAAATACAATCAATCCAATTTACTAGTTATAATACAGCTTTCTATTAGTAAAATAATAAAAAATATATTTAAAATCGGTTAAATATTTTCTGAGTTTATCCGTATTAAATGAAAAATGTAATCTTTCGTTATTATAATATTAGATTAGATAACATTTGGTTGTCATGTGCAAGTCACGCTCAGTCATATTATTATATCTAATTTAATAGTATGTACGAGTTATGTTTTGCAATTTCATCTGCATGGTCATCACAATTACTTGTTATCTCTGAAATAAACATTACGTGTAATGTTATATTTCCGATACCGAAGGGGCATATCTAGTGATGGAAAGGCGATCCAAGAGACGACAGTTGGTTCATTAAATTCAAATGTGACATTAAAATGTGTTGAGAATTGCTTTACCATAACTTCGACAGTTAACAATACCTCTGACTACCCCTTTTGGGATAATAGTCGGGAATATATAAATTTGGATTTTTTTCAGAACTGTAAATAAAAATAAAAGTAGTAGGTATTATTTATTTATAATAATTTCTATTTAGAACAAACAAATAAAACCATACAAGAAAAGCAATAGCTCTTTAATACATAAGTATATTAAAATGTTGTAATTGTAAACATATATATTTCTTATACAAAATACATAATAAGTACATACCTATATGTAGTGTTTAAAAAATACAACTAATTATTGTGTTAAAATCAGTATGAAATAGGTATTTAAAATTTAGAAACATTAATACTAAGCACTTATTAATATAGTTATAGTACTACTGTAGAAATACGCGTTACTCAACATATTACAAAGTGAATAGTTCGCTTATAATGCTGAGGCATAAAACAAGACCACTTTGACACCCATGTATATCATAATTAGATATGGAATTCCGAATGAAATGCCGCGAGCCGGCTGCGGTAGAGGCTTGACTGCATACACAATAGTATGTAATATGCGACCCACAGTATATGCTCGGAATAAATTGACAGCTAATGCAGTGTCTGGGGCAGTAGTCAGGTACAATCCTCCGATCAACCAAAACGCAGGAATGTTCTCTAAATCGTTGAGGTGCGCCCGACGGACTCGCTCCACGTCAGGATCATCTAATTTTACAATACCTTTAGTCGACTTTGTATCTTCTTCGTTTGCAAACACTTTCTTACGATATCGCGTTCTCCCGGTTAGTATTGCTACTCCTAGTGTTTTCAACGCTAACACACCAGAGTAAAAAGCGTAGGATTGTACAGCCGGATCATCTAAAGTAAATCCTCCCATTTTTATGTGTCCAATCAAGCAACAGTCTAACTAGAAAAGCGACGTCGAATCACTAAACCTTAATCAATTCGTTTTTGACATAACAAACTTACGTAATCGGGAGAGATCCATTTTTACGTTAGCTTGTAGATTACTTCCAACAAATGGATAATTTTTTTCCGATAAGCACAAACCCATTTAACTATAGAATACTTATCAGTTAGAGATAGTAATATAAATTTGATTATTTTCGTTAGTTGAATAGTATTTTTTTTTAATCTGCGTATATTTCATTTAAAATTTTAACATACTTCATAAATAATATTGTTGTTGCCAGTACAGGCGCCCAAATGAAACATACTATGACCTTGACGACTTACGATGTGTGGCGATGGTCGTCGCCTCCCTTTGTTGTATAATACTCTTTATGGCGATGAGAATAGTGACAACATTACCTTTTTCCTGATTATAGTCTTGTCTTCAAGACGTCTCTACTTAGCCATGATGAAACTACTGTTGTGTTGTCTAAACGACCCAAAAACCGGCCGGCCGGTTTGAGCTCGAACCAAAACCCCGAAAAAATAATAACCTTAAGTATATTTTATAATTAACTTAATTTAATTGATTTTTATAATTGTATTTTAAAGTTTGTAAAAATAAACATGCTCCGTCACATTACACCTAAGCTCCTAAATTACAAATATTTATGGAAGACTTATTTTTTGTTTGTAATGGATATAACTTTTAACCAATTATTTATAATACTAAGTATTTTAACTTATTAATTAATATTTTAATAAGGTTTGAAAAGAATCTATGATAATTTCCTGTCGTCTATCACTTCTCACAACTATTGTCCTAGTGTGGTTCTCAAATGTCGTATTCAACGTGTGGTATACAAAATCCTAGATATGTCAACATTTCTCTTAATATATAAAGTTTTTTGGCATCAGCCAGATTTGAATTGATTGCTTTTCAGCGTAAGTAAACGTGATAAATAATTTAATATTTTATCACCAAGTCGCTCAAGTTTCCCTAATTCACCAAATTAATGAGGCAAGGCCATAACCCCCATGTTATAAAAATAAATAAATAAATATTAGCGACATTCCCCAGTTTATCCACGAGTATAATAAATGTCTAATTTCTAACTTAGTTTGAAAAATACAATTAATACGTGCCAATCTCTTGTTGGAAAACTTATAAGTTCATCCATTATATAGTGTATCAGAAAGTCAAATCTTTTAATCTTAATAATAGGTTATATTTATCATTAGAATTATTTAGAAATCCATACTAAAACTTCAATAATATGACCAAAGGTGTAAAAGGATAACCATAAAATTACATTCATTGCACACGCCGCTGAAACTATTGAGGATAGAACAAAAACTATGTATGCAATTTCATTGGTGTGGTAAATGCAAATAATTACGATGATTGAAGTATGGTCTCGGAATAAAACGTAATAAATGGCATGCATTTATTACGTTTTATTCCGAGATAATTGATAAAGAACGGGTAATTAATGTTCTATACGACTTCTCACAATAGAATGGTTAATTTTATTTTTTTAATGTAAATTCAATGAACGTCTAATAAGACGTTTTGTATAAATTAATCATAGTACCGGATAATATCCGGTACTATGATTAATTTATACAAGAAGCGAATAATATGTGGTAAAGTATTGGACGATATATAGACTGAAGAAAGCTGAAAAATACTCTCCAAAAATGCAAATTATTTAATCTGTGAATATTTTCAAGGCACTTACATATTTATGAAATAATTGATTATTAAAATAATACGTGTCATTGTGAAGATACTTTATTATTGTTATTATTTTGTTATCTACATAGCGATCTATAATGTATAGACTTACAAAGTCGCAGGCTCTGTCGTATAGATATTGAGAGTGGTGAAGGTAAATTAATGGTTTTACTATCCCAACTGAACTGAAGGTCGTAAGTTGAAATAGGTCAATACTAAGATGTAAAACTTTTACACTTCTGATATCGGAGAGGCATTTGATGACAGTGATGGAACTGAGATAAACAACTTAACAATTTAATATTAATTTGACAGACGGTATTTTGCTCATTGACTATAAATATGTTCATCTAAATATGGGAATATTGTGTGTTACAGTTACAATACCTCTGACAACTCCGTCTGGGATATCTATCATGGATTTATATTTTTTTACATTTTTCAATAATCAAATTTTAGTTTCCTACTTTTTAGTAAATAAAACCACATGCATAAGAAAAGCATTAGCTCTTTTGATTTTTTATAATTATATTACAATACTGCCAAAAATAAGTATATATATATATATATATAAATATTTATTTTACAAATTACATTATAGGTATACATAGTGCCTAATAAAATACAACTACTACTTACTGTGCTAAAATAGTAACAATAGCTATTAAAATTTTGACCTTAACACCACCCACTTATTTACATAGTGATAGTACTGCTGTAGAAGTAATACAACACACTAAAAACATAATATTTTTTTTATAATGCTGAGGCATAATGCAGTACCACTTTGAGACCCATGTATACGGTAATTAGATAAGGTATCCCGAATGATATGCCGCGAGCCGGCTGCGGTAGTGGCTTGATTGCATACACAATAGTATGTAATATGCGACCCACAGTGTATACTCGGAATAAATTAACAGCCAAAGCAGCGTCTGGAGCAGTAGTCAGATACAATCCTCCAACCAACCAAAATGCAGGGATGTTCTCTAAGTCGTTAAGATGAGCACGACGCACTCGCTCCACATCAGGATCGTCGTATTTAACAACACTTTTCCGTAACTTTGCATCTTCCTCATTTGCAAACACTTTCTTACGGAATCGTATTCTCCCAGTTAGTAATGCCATCCCAAGTGTCTTCAACGCTAACACACCAGAGTAAAAAGCATAGGATTGCACAGCTGGATTTTCGAATGTAAAGCCTGCCATTTTCATAAGTTCGCGCCGCAATACAAGCAAGATTTCTATAGAAAATCAACGTCTGAATTACTTAACTTCACGCAATGAAGTGGATTAGTATTGACAAACAATATTACGTATTTAGGAACGATCCATTTTTACGTTACACTTAACTTAATAATTTCTTATAATGGAACGTAATAATACAATAAATTACATTTAATTATAGAACACATATAATTCATAGAAAGTATTTTGTAATTATGTTACTTATTTATGTACATATTTATTTATATTATAGGTACCTTTTAGTAGGAAGGTACCTTTGTATTTGGTTAAGTAAAATAATCAGCGTTAATTTTTATTTTTATTTTTATGTATACAAATAATGATATTGTCAGAATGGGCGTCTAAACGGAACGTAACTATAACCTTAACGTCTCATGACGTGTGCGATGGTCATCGCTATGATATTCTGCATACTTAAATATCCTTTGATATTGTATAATGGACTCTATGTTGATGAGTATACTGACATCATTAGCTTTTTTAGTGATACTTGTCTATGTACTGATAACATATTATCTTTGCTTAGTCATGATGAAACGATTGTTGTGTTGTGTAGACTGGCCCAGAAACCGGCCGGTTTAAGCTCGAATCAATAAGAAAGAAAAAAATATGCGTGGATAGAATTATTGACATTATTAACATTTTTAAGTTGCAGGTGCATTTTTATCTTCTAAAGTAATATTGTAAAAAGAAAGATCATTTTTTTTCTTGTTATAATATTTACAATAAATAACTCATTTAAAATCTTTCACCAAAAACATATTATCAATAAGAAACATATTTTTAGGTATTTTTTTGAGATTCCTGTAATAAATAAACACGTGCAAAATAAGGTCGGACGCTAGTTTCTTCAATACAGCAACAAAATTTCACTTCAAATACATATGCTTGAAATTTGCACTCACGAGTATTACTAATTTTTGGCATACATAATTATTAAATTAATTCTCTAGAAAAGAAAATATTTTCCCATTGAACGAATCCATGCAATTTGTTTTATTAGTTAAATCATATAGTTATCTCTAATAGTAATCGAGTAAGAAATAAGTGTAAATTTGTATTTATTTATTTAAATCGTTATTATGTAAGATATATTACTGTGTTATTTCGTAAGAAATTAATAAAAAGATAACATCGTATGTTTATTTCAACATTTGTCTACGCCTGAGGTACCACTGACGTCACAGTGTAGCTTATTTGGATTGATACTTGTTTATATTACATGTAACATAATTAAATGGAATCTATGGTAATGTACATGTCTATTAGCAATGGTTACATCAGGTGGACCATCAAAATGTAAGGCGATATCCATTAATTACGTCAGGCGATTTTGGCTATTTATCAACTCTCCTGGACCCTTGTGCGATGGCGTGAGATTTCTTTGGACTCTGTCCCTTCTTCCTTAGACTAGAATGAAATTTTTCGTTCATTTGCTTGCCCGATGTCAGATAAACACTAAATAAAAGGCACTGAGTTGCTTCATAGAAATGTTGCTGTGTAGACATATTTTGCTTAATTTAACCTAATTTTCTAGGTACATATTTCATTGTTTCTAGCGAAAAAATTTTGCCAAGTTTATGTAACCCACGTGAGATAGGGTGAAATTTAGCTCTATCACGTCGACTTGCCCCTAAATGCCTCATTTAATTAATCGATGCACATTAATGACTACAAAAGGTACCTGACATATAAAAAATATTTTTATTTGTGTTGTCTTCCTTATGAAAATTTACAAAGGCATTAAATTAAATATGTAACAAGATATAGAAGAGAAATCAAAAATAATAAGTGTGAAAGGTAAAAATAAAACAAGGTAGACAGGTAAAACTAAAACACCAGTCAATTTAATTAACAAATAAACTATGTACTTAAAACCCAATAGATAACATAATTACACTGCAGTAATATAGTGTAAAACCACTTGTAAACCAATATAGATCTTGATTGCGAAGGGAATACCGAACGCTAACACTCGAGCCGGTTGGGGTAACGGTACTACAGCGTAAACAATTGTGTGAAGTATACGGCCTGCAGTGTAGACGCGGAAGAGTAGTTGCGCCCACGCAACCGCCGGTCCAGTAGTCACATACAACGCAGCAAGCACCCAGAATGCAGGAATATTCTCCAAATCATTGAGATGAGCACGTCGAACACGCTCGATCACTGGGTCGTCGTATTTTACTTTTCCCCTCGTCAACGCAGCATCTTCTGGATTTGCAAACACATTTCTTCTCATACGCGACAACGCAGTTAAAGGAGCCACAAACAGTAATTTCAACGCTAATATAGCTGAATATACTATGTATGATTGTACGAGAGGGTTATCTAAAGAAATAGAGACCATTTTGCCGTATTATAGTAATGCGCACTACACAGAATATGTTAACCTTCTGAGGTCGATTTACAGAATAAGTGGTCGGTCGTTCTGATGTACCGTACACTGAACTGTGCCTATGTTCAACGCTCAACAGTGAAGTTAGCGTGTTTGTGCAAACAGATAAACGGCCACAACTTCATAGTGTATTATGTATTTTGATTATTTGTCACTAATTATGATAGTCAAGCTTAAGTCATCATTTTATTAACGTTTTCTGTATCATTATTATCATTAATTATCGATTATTATGTGGCGCTGTTTCCGTAGCTTATGCAATATGAATGGCCAAAGGAAAGATTATATATAGATACATGTCTATAATTGTAATAAATATTGTGATTTCTTCGTATCTTTATAATAAGTAGGATTAGCTAGTGAACTAAAAATATAATACGAATTTTTTTTCATGTGCACGCCATGTTACTATCCCTAATATTCAGTTTAGCTTGTTCAATTGAAGAAACTTGACTGGTAGATTATTATTATTATGATTTATTGTCATCGAGATAATCATATTTGTGTGTGATATTGTATAAACTCGAATATTTTAAAAATTTTAAGTAACACTGTAGATATCAGCATAATTAACTGGAAAAATTACAAAAATATTAAAGTAGTATATATGTAATAATTAATATGTGAAATTAATAATACCAGACATCTCAACTTGCATCTTAATGAGTAAAATGCACTCAAATATTGTACATATAACTATACAGATATTATTGTCTTTTGAAATATCTTACCGCTTTGGCTTAGCAACTATGACTTTAAAATTTCTTGTTGAAGTGGATGAGTAATATATTCGTCCCTATAGTAATTTTCTGATAAGACAAGTATTTTTAAATTATGCTATATATATATATATATATATCTCTCTAGTTAATTAATAATAAATTATCTAATCGTAGTCAAAGATAAAATCTGTTTTTAACCAATTTAATAGCAGACATTTCATTTCGAATATCATATTTTGCGAATTAACTATATTCGTATTAAATAATATTTCCACTAGAATGGAACTATTTTAGATTTGTCTACTTGTTTCAAGTCCTGAATATTTTTCGTACTTTTTATATAGTAGTTTTCATAGAGTGAATTATAATTTAAAAACGATCGGATGAAGTATGTTAGGCATATAAAGGAGAAGTGTAATTCATATTAAACTTAAATTCCAAATTGGCATAACAGATGTATATTAAAAGATGACTAGGCTTCTGTGGGATTAGGCTGTTCACATCAGCCGCATAAATCCCGTTAACGGGACAAAGTTTTCTACCAAGCCTTTACATGGACTGCGTATCCAAAGCCGGCATATTAGGCAATATTATAAATTGATTTGACTAAAGATAGTTCAGCGAAGAATAGATAAAAATGTACAGGAATATGGGAGTCCAACAGTAGGACAAAATAAGTTTAGTAAATAATATAATAATCACATCTCAGGACAATTCACACGGCACCATCTAGTCCCAAGCTAAGCAGAACTTGTGTGTACTAATGATGCAGTACTAATGATATAAATAGATAGACACATTTACCAATTACATACATTTTATGTAAATAAATACATTATATACATTCAAACAACTATACTCATGACCACAAATGTTTGTAATGTGTGAGGAATTGAATTCACGATCTTCGTAAGGCGGTGTACTAAACTGCTAGACCACCGAGGCCGTTGATAAATAAATAAATTATAATTTCCACCAATATTTTAGGATCGATTATCAAGGATATTTTAGTTAGAATATTTTTACATAACACATTTAATAGGTAATAATCAGAAATAACTCAAACTAACTACATAAAAATAGTAAGTCAAATATCATTTACTATTTTTATATAGGTATATAATGAATAGAAGTCTGATTCTCAAATAAACACAATAATTATCTTTCTCTGGCGTCGATAGTGCCGATACCAATGGTTAGTTGTGATTAATTACTTCAACTTGAACTTTGATTTATTGTAACATAATATTTTTATAAGTTATTTATATAAATATTTAACAATTATGATTTTAATAACGTTGTTTGAAAATTTATGTAGTTGGTATTTACTTCTATCGAAATGTTCTATTGATTTCTTTCTGGATGACTAAGATGTAGTAAAATATATGTGTTCATGTTGATACTAATATTGTATATATAATTTATTGTGATGGTCATAAGATCACCATAATCTCTAAACGTGTTAACGTGATATTTGTAGTGCTGTTCATGTATACAGTTAATGGTTACCCCTTATTAGGTGGTATCATTTATTTGCCATTTTAATTACATTAAAATTATTAGCTTGACATTATTCTTACAAAATCAAATTCTATATTTTATTCGTCAAAATGGCTGTAGCTACAGTACAGGCGATCGAAGGTATTGTGCAAGTAAACATGCCTGACCATCGATAGATAGCAATAACGATATCATACAAACTTGCTCGGACAATTTCGCTCTATTGTAAATACCACCATCGCCAGCTTATTCTCATACTCGTACGTGTATAGAGCAGCAGATGTCTACTTCCTTGATAGTTGTCTTTGTTCTCATCTGACCATTGTTTTACGTATTAATTGTAAATGAATAATGGCATAACCTTTTTATAATGCAAAATTTAAAATCACTAATAAGTTATACCCATTAGTAGCTAATTCTTACTAAACAGGTAAATATTGCTTGTTGAAATTTTTAAAATAAATTCTTTGATACCAACATACTGTACAAATCGGAAGTACTGACATTCCGACACTAGGTTGTAAATTGCATATTTTATATGCTGTGATTTAGGCACAGGATTATTAATAATATGTTTTGCACTTCGACATTGAAAGAAAATCATATTTATGAAAAGGGCTATCAGACATATAGGCAGAATGTCGCAATTACTACTGAGGTTGCGAGATTGCTGTATAATAGTAGTGGGTTTTAATGTCACATTTGTCTAGTTTAATGTTTTTGCTAAATATGTATTTGTTATACAAATTAGAAATAAAGGTACTGACTAGCCAAAAATGAACAGACTGAGCTAAAAATAGAAAAAAAAATATATGTGAAAAGAGCAGGACTAGATGGAAATGGAAGAACTAATCTTGGAAGTAAATACAAGAAGTTAGCATAAAAATATGAATAAAATATACTGGTACGTCTTAAAAAGGCTCCAGTATCTTACTTTTATATTCACAGGAATGGTTAGAATCTCAAGGTTTGGAGTTATCGAAGGAAGAAGATCTTCCAGTGGATGCATTTGCGCAGAAGGAACGATGGAAAGCAGTCCGTCCACCGCAAAAGACGAAGTCACACGATGATCGTCTGCGTCGCTATTTGGAGTACGATGGAAAAGTCTTAACGTAAGTTATTTTATGTCACACTAATTACAGTAAATTTATATTTCAGCACATCCCCCTGTTACAGCTAGTTAGATTTTAATAACGAAATTTTACTTTTGTTTTAATACTAAAATTTATATTTTTCAAAACATAATCTAAGCCTCCAGGGCCTTTTTAGATTTTTATACAAAGTTTGTGAATCTTTCTCTTTGTTATATAAAATCACACTTTATCGAGCCCCACTTACTACCCTTATATATTTTTTTTTATTGTAAATACATACCTACATAATATACATAGAAAACATTCAGACCAATAAAAATAATCGTACTCATGAATACAAATGTTTGCACCATGCGAGGAATAAGCGAGAATGCGAAGCATGCGTGGAGGCACCGCTAGGCCACCGAGGTCGTTTATTGTCTATATCTTATATACTTCTTTTCACCGTCCTATAGTAGGTATATTTCTATAAGTGTATATCGAAGATAATAAAAGAATTGCTCAGAAGTTGCAATGCAATACATCTAAAACATAATATTTGCAATCAGAAATTTTGTAAACAAATCGGTTTGAAAAAATGTATCGGCGCAGAATGAAGAATGAGCCTTACACTAAAAAATTCTTCATGTTCGAACTGTATGCTACGTTGGTATACGTTGGATATGCGGAAATTGGATGAAAGTCGGATGCCGGATGGAAGATTGACGAAACAGATATGAAATACGAAAGTGAAAGAATGCAGGTACCGGCGAAGTCCAAAACTAGGTCAGTTTAAGCCATGATCACATAGATAGCGTGTTCCTTGATGTAGGGTCTAAGAGTTTCCGAAATCCGGAGTATAGACGCGTACATGAGAATCAAGCAAGGACTGTGTATAAGGAAAAGTGTGAATAAATATAGCCTGTGCTACTTTTACAAAATATTTTTTTTATTTTGTCATAATGTTTATCAAAGTTATCTAAAACCTAATTACCTGTCTGAACCTTGTTTTACTTCCATATCTTTAGCACAATAATTTCTGTATCTCTAGAATTGTTGAAATTAGCACTGTGACAGTCTGATAAATAAAATCGCCCCTTACTATAAATACGTAACTTAGAATGCTTTCATCTGTCCTTCCTTTTCCGACCTTGGCCGAAATAAAGGAATAATCAGTCACAAAAAGATAAATATGATAAGAATAAATACCAACATAATAGTTGCCAAATAAAGTATTTCAAATCAGTTAATTTGTAAATATAACTTGTAAAGTGTCATGTATACCGAAAGCGTATGTGTTCAAATCCCTCCGACACAAAAAAAATTGCTAGTTTACTTATTATTTATTTCTAACTGTCAGGTAATTGAATCACCTACAGTAAGCAAAGTATTATGTTAATTAATAAATCCAATAGATTACAGTAGACTCGCCCCTTGCCATGTTGGTTTAAAATATACTCTGCAAAATGTGAGCATATCAAGTATTGTGTTAACTATGGCGACCACAATCGACAATGCCTCTAACTACATAGAGTACCTACTGGAATAACAGTGCTAAAATTGTATATATTAATTAATATTTAATGAAATGTATTCACAGCCAAATATTTAATACTTAATTAAAATATGTTTCCAAATAATTTAACTAGCCTGGCAGCAATGTTGCACCCGTCAGCTTCACTGCACCGCATACTGGGAAATTGTTCGTAATTTAATCGCTAGTGGCTTTACAAATCTAATCAGTTGCCAGCTCCGACTACCAACTAAGACTCCCGAAGGAGACATCGCCGTAACTTGAATTGTCTTTTCCTTAATGTATCAACTTACTCTGCAATAAAGTTGTCTGTCTTCAAGTGGAAGAATTAATGAACCTTTGAATACAATTCCGTACTTATACTGACACTCGATTTAAGACTTGTTTGTAAGCTAATATTCCTAATCTAATGTGCTGTTCAACTGACTTCAAGAAAGAGGAAATGCTCAATTCAAACATTGTTATGAATGATCACACTATATCAACATAAATTGATAGAGTTTCAATAGATGTTGCTGTTTTTTTATGGGTCTTCAAATATTACTATTAGACATATATACCAACGATTTTTTAATAGAGTCGACAGAAATATGTCCATCTAATAATTGACCGTAATTTTAGTTGGTATAGTGCTAAACGTTTTTAAGATAGGTAATTCCTTTTAAATATAGATATATAAATAATAGATAATTAATGTTCGTCTAGTTAAACGTAGTTAAATAAAATTAACTTAGTGTCAATTTAGGAATATAGTTATTTTATTTCAACAGTACAACTACAAGGCAATCTACTTTCTCCCTCAATTCCCATTCCACTATTATTCACCTGCTCTTTGCCTCCTGTTTTTAAAGTAAACACTGGAAAATTAAAGCTTATCCGTGGAGAGTCTAGAACAAAATTACAGCAAGTACCTACATACCAACTTTCGTAACACATTTCTTAATTAGGATCTAACTGGATTTATCTTTGCTTTACATATTTAAATAGACTGGAGATAATGCTAGCTACATTTACAAAAGAAGCACTGAAATTGAAACGATTACATTATTTAATAATATGGTTAATAATTGGAAGTCAAGATTGCTTTAGCGATTTAGCTACATTGAAGTATTAAAAACTATAAAGGCATGAGCTAAATTTACTTTACATGTAAAAAATATACGTATATAGTGCATGAATAATGCAATAGCCTAGCCTGATAAGACAGGCCTCGGTTACAAAACACCTGAAATGACGGTTGACCTGTGAAATAATGTTACGTTAGAGTTGACCGTCACCTGACCTTTAGTTTGGTCATATATGCATGACGATTTAGTACAATAAAATAATTATTATATTCCACTCTTAAATTACGCAAAAAATTGACTGAATTTATGAGACCGTATCAAATTATACACAGTTCACTGGCTTGCTCAGGACTTTTCTTTAGCAATATGTTTTATAAACATATTTTAGTATAGTTGACAGTAATGTATATATTTATGTAATGTTTTTTTATTGTATTTTTCCTATGTGATTGAATGTTCCAATACTATTATATAATAGGTATTTTTCTTAGAATATAAAAGACGTCTATTGTGTTGTGATTACTATAATGGTAGTTTAAAGTAAAGAGACTGATTTATTAGATTGGCCTTACAAAGAGACTTATAGACCAAGGTCTTTTAGAAGGGTAAAATTCAAATTTAACAAAGATTTATTAACTACACGGTGAAATTTGTTTCTTATGTTAAACAATGAAATCAAATATTGCTTTATTAAGCAATATTTCATTTATAGTTAGTTTAATAGTTATTACTATTTCATTTATTTTATTAATGCAGTAAATAAACTACAATATTTAATATGAAAGTTTACCTTTAAATGTGATTAATAAAGTGTAAATAGGGAGCCAAATAAATGGGGCATGAACCGTTTAGCGTTTCCTATTAAGATTATATCATTTTTATTCGTTGACAAAATAATTTAATTTAAGTCCAGACAATATGGACTGAAATAAAAATGAACATGAAAGTCGTAATTCCTGATATAAATCAAGTTTGTGTTTGCAAAGTTCCCTCCGTACAGCCGGGTTTCTCAATTCGCTCTCTTGATTGTTTGGTCGCAGTTAGTCGCAACTCTCTTTATGGCTCATAAATATAAACCTAAAATAATCTCCGTAATGCTTCTTTCAAGTAGGTTTTAAGTATTTTTTTATGTACATTTATTGATGTACTATGACGTAAACTTTTTACAAAGTCGTCTACAACAGTGGTAGGTAGGTACAAAGTCGTACCCACCAATGTCTCAGCTACTTCGGTCGGCAACCAGCTTGCTTTGTAAGGTAGTGGGTTAAAGAGTGAGATATTGCAGTAGAATTGTAATGTGTGTATAATAATTTATTTGTTCGGAATGTCCATGTATGAGGGGTACCACGATGATTACGCGATGGCCTGATTTTACCTGTGCTACTATTCATGTATATAGAAGCGAGAGTTGCTACTTACTAGGAAAAGGCGGTGAATATGTCAATTTTATTTATATAATGCCATAGCCTATTTATTTCATAATAATGACAACAGAGTTGAAATTACTTACTTTTTTTAAACTATTCTTAGTTAAATACAATTTAATTATTTACTGTCATTACACACAAATGTTGGTATGTTATGTCTTTTAATCTGTATTACAAGCTTTATTTGAATTCTTCCATACGTCATACGTGAGTATGTGGGCGGCATAACAATTAAGACCCCTACACAAAGCTATATTATGTTTTCTGATTGTCTATGAAAAAGGAAATATATTATGTACATATGAACCATAATTCTCAACTGCCACCTTGACCTTGTACATATATCTACTATTATGATCGAGGGCGGGATAGTAAGTACCACTAAAGTATAGAAAATAATAATTACACATTTGGTTTATATTATTGGAATGTCAAACAAGTTGGCAGATTACCTGATAGTAAGCGGTAACTATTCCCTGTATACTATACATATACAGACATCATCTTATCATGTGACACCCGTGATACCACTCATACGTCGCCATAAGTGAAATTGAGTTACCCACGCTGGTGACTAATACATATGTACACATATTTTGTTTATGTACAAATTAAATCTGGGCTATAATGGCTTATAGAAGTCAGTTTCTAAAAGTTCGAAATGTGATGTGATGAAAACACCGACAATAGAAAACTAATTAATCAGAGAAATGGCTCATTTCCCATTCCTACAAGTTAGTAAAATATTTTTTAATTCAGTACAACCTTGGTAGATGTTACAAGGTACAATTTTAGTACATTACTAAAATCAATAACAAAGTTATATTTTAATTATCTGGTATTTATGTATTACTAAACTATTATAGGGTTTAAACAATACTTTATTCTTTTATTATTACCAGGTTTGACGTGGTATGGGACGACCGTGAATCTGAGAATGGTGATTTACGTGAATATAAACTCCTTTATTTCTTAGAGGATGATACTATCGCTGTCAAGGTAATATTTTGTATATTTCTAGATATATATTTGAAATGTCTAAATAAGACATTTTATCGAATAAAATAGAATAGTAGATTTTTTATTCAAATTTAGTTAATCTATCGCTCATTCGGAAACGAGCAAGAAATTTGCGTGTTGCTCTTTATATAAAGTAGTTGAGCCCTCGTATAGATATTATATTACTGGAGTAGGTATTAGTCATCACCAAAGGAAAACTGTTTTAATTCATTACAAAATTAGATACAAGATAATATATATAGATTAGATATAATAGATATATAGATTAGATATAATAGGTATATAGATTAGATAATATATAAGATTATATATATATATATATATAAATATTGGATCTTTTGACAAGGAGGTCTTTTTACTTGTTAAAATTATTTGTTTTTGTCTACAAAACCATTTCCAATATTCATTGTATTTCCGCAAAACCAATATTATAATAACAAACTAGGTAGTCTTAGAAATACATGCTGATATGTGATATTATTATAATGTATATACCTACTTAATATGTAAGTATGTAACATCTACATTTTCACTTCCTTGGAAAATCACAGCAATAAATATTTATTGAAGTTCTGACGCCAGGACAAATTCTATTTCGAAACTTAATAACATTCCTTAGTGACGATACACAATACATATTTGATATTAATTCTATATAACAATTGTTTGGATATTTTCATTAATTTTAAGTTATTCATGACATAACTGACCTACTTTTGATTTAGGCATAGGCTAGTATAAGAGATTGTACTATAATATAATACCTATAGGATACACATTTCAGTCACTTATGCAAGTTATTTTTCTAAATAAGTAATGAGGAAAACTATAATGAGGTACTGTGTATTCCATTTTTTTTTTCGATTACTTAAAATTTTTAATTATGTTTCAATTATTATTCACATTAGGGATTAGAAAATGAATTGCTACGCGGAGACAAAACTCTAGAAAAACGCTAATAACTAGATAAAACTATATCGGTTACTTTATGCATAGGTAAAATTTATTGAAATACTATTACGTTCTAGGAACTCCATGATGGTAGAGGTGGGAAAGATCCATTTCCTCTCCTTTTGAAGAAAACGAAGCTGCCAAAGAAATGGACAGAAAAGCCAGGTAGTATATCTATATTTCATAGACGTACAAAAATATGTAAATTAAGAAAGGCACAGATACTTCTAGGGTTAAAAAAACATGTCGGACCTACTTACGGTATCACGCTGCGGGATAAAGAATTATAATGAAAGGTACAATTAATATGTGTACAAGTACCGTATTTACAAAAAAAGATGATCGCGCTTCCTGTTTTGTATTTCTATATATAGGTCTAGTAATATTCTACTATAAACAATAAAAAATAATAATATTGAAAAAGGGATAAAAATAGAGATTGCCAACAATTATAAATATTTTTATTTATTATTAGTTTCTCAGTGCGTAGTATGCGTCAAAATGATAATTTTGTGACAGAATTTACATTATATGTCAACTATTAGGTAGTTTTATAGACACAAATAGCAGGTACACATTTATTGATCCAAACATTATTCACGTAATGGAGTACTAAAGTACTAAACTTATCTCTGAATAGGTTTAGTGGACACTAACAATATGTTATAATCTTTTATCTGTGTTAACGGCCAGTGTTAAGTAATGAAGATCACGTTTATCTTTCAGTCCACAAAAAAACGCATAATGGTCTTTCAATAGCGCTTGTTAGGAGCTCGCGAAATATCGATAAAAAAGATCGTGGAAATGATATGTGCTTTGGCAAGGGTGAAAATATCGAATTCCTTTTCTCATAATGGCTCAATCAGAATAAACGGCTTTTACAAATATACTTTTATATGAAAGTCATTTATATTGATTACGTGTAGCTAACATTTATTAGGGTCTTTAATATATAAATGATACTTTAAAAAATATATGTATTCGTACGTATTTACGTAGATGAGTAAGAATACCTTGAGACATAAAGCATATGTATAATAAACTATCTATAACTGCTTTACAAGTACGATTGTTAATATCTCTGGGAATTAAAATTAGAAATGTCTTAGTGTGCACTTGCCTTATATGATTTTGTAATTGCAGTTGTATATAGTGTAAGTTGAGTGAATTACTTTCTTCTATTTGGTATATACAAATTATAAAGTCACTGTTATTTTGACCACAAACGACAGACATTATTTTTATTAATTAAAATCTACTTTCTATTTAAGAGAACTGACTAGAAACTCTGCTCTTATCATTTCCAAATAATCTTGTACATATACAAGAATGCAACTTCAATTTTAAATTCAATTAGGGAGAATATAGTGACCTCCACATAAAATATTTTTACGATACTAGTTATATAGTTTTTTAAATATACTCAGTAATTACTAATTATCAATTTTTAAAGTACCTAGTAAGATAAACATAATCTACTAGAATACAATATCAAACTATTTTGTTTACTCCTAAATATAACTTCTCTGGCTTTAAACATCCTATGTTATATGTCTCCGTAGAAATCAGTCCAATTTACAATATTAATAAAGTTACTTTTGGACGTCTGTATTCTTGAAAATTCAAAAACAAAGTTATGTAAGATAAACAGCATAGAAACAATATTACAAAGCCTTTGCTGAAAACGTCTTCATCACTTGCAATAATTCATAATCTCCTTAGTAAATAAGTTGCAAGTTGAAACTCTCGACAAGTTCTCAAACTTTCATAGCTTAATCTCCCTAAAAGCAGCCTATTACAAAGTAGCTACCTTATTTATTCGCTTCAAATACTGTTAAAGTTGAAATTAGAAAACGTTTTTCATGTTAACTGTAGGGATAATCCTGAGCTCGAGAGCGTGTAGAGTCCGACAAAGTGCAACATCGAAATGCAATTTCAGCTTTTAAATAAGTTAAAATAAAGTATTACTGACATTGTACTCATATAATATTTAACTTATTATTTATATATATATATGTGTATGTGTATATTATTTATATATATGTATATATATTATTTATATATTACTTTACATGAATGATTTATCAGTAAAATAGGTAATAGGTGTATTTTTATTATATGTATATATATAGATTAAATGTAATAAACTAGTATTTAACTCTATGATTGTTTACTGAAGTCGACAAAGTCGTCCGTATCTCCTCTCTCACTTAACCTCTGTCTCGCTTAATACAGATATCAAGCATCTTGCTTTGTAACCTGTGTTTCGGTTGAAGGGTGTGAGATGTCGCAGTATTACAGAGTACAAAGACATAAAGTTACCTTCCTTTGATGGATGTTCATATGTATTGGTACCGATTTATTAAAAGGTGGGCTGTACTGGGCAGCTTATTTACCGTTCCAATGACAAAATACTATATTTTTTTAATAAACGGTCAATAAATATTTTAGTATTCTTAATATTATTACACTTTTACATATTATTTCATACAGTGTCTTTTCCATCGACCGTAATGGAGACTACGGATGCCGAAGTAACAGAATATTATGCACCAATGGATTTAATTGTGGGACAGACTATATTTGTGCTTGGCCGTAGATTCCTCCTCAGTGACTGCGATAACTTTACAAGAAATTATTACAAGTAAGTGGAGTTGTATATTTTCTGTAGACACATTTTATTTATAAACAAACAACACCATAACACAAGTGTTCTAATCTAGAAACAGTTTTTGTCAAGCACGCATAAATAACTACAGTTGAATTATATGTGACTAGCTGAACCATGTCTTCATCTGCATCACACCTACTTGACATTTATCATTGTATTTCGCCCAATTTCCAGAGCATCTTTTTATATTATAGCCTATGTGTTATTCTGATATATAAGCTACTATAAAGTTTCATCAATATGCGTTCATTTGTTTTTCAGTGAAAAAGTAATAAACATCCATCGATACTCACAAACTTCCTGTTTAATTAGTAAGAAGTAACATTAGTAAACAATAACATTAGCAGGTACCTTACGGTACTTAATAATTACAAATAGATATAGTTATTGGAAAACTTTAACAAACTGCCACAACATTCTGCTGTTTGTGAAAGTAATTGATAAATAAAAGTAAATGGTAAATAACATTCACTGCAGTATGAATACAAAGTAACCGTTAAAGTTATGTTGATTGCTCGGTAAAGCTGGGTAAAGTATAAATACGGTAATTTTACGCTCATTTCCATTGCAGAGGAACTTTTGACAGAATTGAATCGTAGTCAAATTTAAGTTTGATTAAAAACATTTACCTTTTTAACCTTTTAAAAATTGACGAAAAAATTGTCTGCGTGGATACCTCTGCTTAACTTTCCTTATTGTTTTTTTTAGTCGGAAACACCTTGGTTTGTAGCGATATAACTATAGATATATAGCCATTGAAAACACAGGACACGAAGCATAACATCTTATATGGATGTCCGTAGTGCTGTTATGTATATAGGCGATGATTTTGCTTACTATCAAGTGGACAGCATCAGTGTCGGCTTGATTGCCATTACAATTTCACATAAAAAATATCATAAAAATGTTTAATTACACCTCTCGATCCCGATTAATTCAACAATTAGAATTTATATAATAGGACTTTATCCCAATCACAAAGCTTTTCTATCTAAAAGACGAACCTTAAATCGATAGATGTTTTAACAGTCAGCGGTTAAACTATCAAATAGTTGAAATTTACTGAGAGAACAATCGTAACGTTCGCCTTGGTTTCATCAATCTTCATGATAAATAGGCAGCATTCAGTTTGCGAATAGATTCCTTCTATAAAACTATCCAAGGGGAATGGAGATACGTTATTTCGCTCTAAGGACTTGTATGAAAGGAAAACTTGGACTCGAGGATTTCTTCTTTAAGAAATTGTAGGTATATAATTATTGGTACGTGGACAGAATCAAATATCTTGTGTCGAGTGGTACTAAATGTGGAATCGTTATTGAGAAGATAAACCTCAAACAGAAAAATAATAATTGAAAATTGTTTCTAACACAGTACATATTTCAATGTTCAATGAGATATAAGTATGTAATATTATATTATCTATGATATAAGTAATACAAGAGATGTAATTTGTAGATGATATAATTTCAATTTTATAGTCAACAACTAATTATTTGTTTTTATTGTACCTACATAGGTATACGAAAATACATTATGGGTACTTATGCTATTCGTACTGTACAAATTTTCTTCACAATATGTTCATCTTTTATCAAAAACAAATTCACCTTAAATATTGTCATTGTTGTTTACTGAATCGAGAAATTTATTCTCTTGAAAAGATTGGTTCTATGATGTATTACAAATGACTAAGTTAGTAATGCAAACCTTTAACAAAAATAAATAACTTCTTCATGTTGACTATCTATGTTAAGATTAATTGACTTGATAAAAGTTTGACAAAGTGATCATTACTTTTGTTGCTACCTATCTATTTTATCGGTCAAAATTTAAACAAAACTCTGCGTATTTTAACAAGATATATCTACATATAATATTAAGATGTACCCCCTTATTAAGGCAAGTGTGCTTATTCTAACCGAACCTCAACTTTTTCAGAAATTACTCGATTATAGATGGATGAAAATAAAAAAAAAATCATTTAATAGTATTTGGCATTATAGGGAAAATACATATACAGGCGGCGAGGGTCTTTGATTTATAATATGAATAGTTACCGTACCTCTTTAGTATTAAAATAATCGATAACTAGAAAAGAAAAAAAAAAGAATAATATCTTCATGACTCACATGGCAAAAACTATTTGCTCTGGTATCATTATCCAGACTGACACAGAGAAATAGCTAAACGGCGCCCTCATACATCTAGAAGACCTATTAATGAGTGTCTAGTTTTATCGGTATATATCACCTCCTAATAGGTACATCAAAAAAGAAACTTGTTTGAAACAGAACACTAATTCAAAAGGTGTAGCAGCTATACATTGAACGGAAAATCTGCATTCTTCCATTACAAATTGTCACTTATATTCGATAGATATTATTTTATTCTTAATTTTCTTACTAAATTAAGAAATAAAATTACCTTAAAACTCACTAACATAAGAATAAAGGTTATATATCGCCGTAGAGTTTCCAGACCTCAATATATAATATGTATATCGAGCTATGGGAACTCTATGATTATAATCTACATCTATATTTGGTACTTGTAGCGCTGACAACCAAATTCCCTCCAGAACTGAATTCATTACCTACAAATAGTGTATAAATAACTATGAAATTCAAAATCTATGTGTAGCGTGTAATCCCCGCGCACCTACAAATGGAATGTAATAATAAACCTTAATTAACACTGTTTTAAACTTCTGCGGTTATTTACAATTGTACGTACACAAAATGTAAATGGGATATTAAAATCTATCCGTGACCAGAACTTTTCAGTATAGAATTATCGGGAGCTGATATATAATTCATTGTAAATATCCCTTTTATATAATGTGTTCAATTATAAACCTTAATATCCAGCTATAACTGATTATTTTTCATGTGTGCCATTTAGGACGATGTTAAACATAGATCAACCAACACGTATAGAAGTCCATCATGAAACAACGAAGGAATTTCCGAAGGTGAGTCCACTTCCGAATTCAGGCAAGTCATCATACAGATAGAGCGTACGTTAATTATGAGGTTTATTAACCCCAATCAATTTGTTGCCAATTTAAGCTCCGCATATTTCAGGTAATAAATATTAACTCAATATATCCAGTTACTGAACCACGAAATTGTTTAAAATATGCTTGATTATACATACATTAATGACACGAATGAGGGCCAAAGATTTACGTCATTGCATTATTATTTTATTCATATTCTAAATGTATAAGTTTGTACGTTTGTTATTCAGTAAACTTTTTGAGATTGGTCATGATTTATTAATGATATCGTTGGATTGACACAAAGGTTCCAACGCCCCGCTCCTTTTTGGAAATGCGTCAATTGAACAACCTAATCGGGACGATTCGTCCGGACTGAACCTGATGGTGTGAGCTTTAAAAACATACAAACTTCCAATTCGGCGGATTCGAAAAAAAAAAATGATATAATTACTACCTATATATTTACATTTACTATATCATTTAGGCACAGTAAATCAACATTGATAATTATAATAGTTCTAAATTAACAATTTGAGCGGTGGGACAAATTAAGTTAATATCTAATAATTATTATCTATTTTTTATTTCTTTTAGGAATATTGCAGTTAATTTTACATGTTACTCATCAAATTGATTTAACCCATGTTAATTAATTATCTTCACTGATCATATCTAATAAATTATTGTATAATAAATATAAGTATCTATATAACAGCAAATATTTATGTTTACAATTATCATTACAATTAATTGATTATATTCAACGCTCGTTTAGGTAGGTAATAGTGGAATAAAACACGTTATTATGCTTGTGTATATCACAAAGTTTGTTTGTTTGAACTACTTAAGGTACTAAGGTAATTTTATAGCCTTAATTTCATTCTTTTTCCAGAGCTTACCACCTCATATAGGAATAGGTTCACCAGAGGACACACTACAGTCCTGCTTCGGTCTACTACCCAAGCCCCCACATAAAGACATCATTAAATATAATCTCAACGCAAACAAAGTGAGTATATTGAGCGATTAAAATCTCACTTCTGTGGTACAAAGATCAAAGTACAGTGAAGTTATGTAGTAGGTATGTATAATTAGTATTTAATAAGTATGCTAGGCACGCGTTGATTATTTTCTGTTCATAAGGACTAATGTAGTTATATAGCTTGAAGTAGATTAAGTAAATTGAGAAAATAGATCAGGACGTGAATGACCAGATACTTTCAGGTAAATAAGTAACTCTCTGAAAAGTACAACATTAAACCAATAACATGTTACCGTTTACCTATTGGTTAGATAAGGTTGGCATGTTAAATTCATTTATGAAAAACAAACAGCTATTTACATAAGCCATATTGAAAAACAATACAGGTATGGTTCATTATGACAATGTAATTGCAATGGTAAAATTAATCTATTTAAACAGTTCTTAACTAAATGTTATTATTCCACAAAGGAACATTTAAATTATAATGGATTGTAATAGTAAATAATGATAATTTTAAGTAAATATCTTCTTCAAATCCTTTTGGTCTTCAATATATTTCGATTTTAATTTTTATATTTATTTACTTAAAATTTTATAAATTGAGATTAATCCATTAACTAATTAAATAAATTAATAAATAGCAAGCAGTATTTTATAATTTTAACTTATTTATCTTAAATATTATGTTTAAAATTATAGAGGTCATTTCTTTGTATCTTTAATAAATAAAATCTATTATTTCTATACGTCACTACTCGTATCTACACGCAAACGTAATTTACTAAGTGCGTAATGCACAGTAATCAATACAGCAGGTATCTAGATACATTTGTCAGAGACAAGTGTATTCGGCATTATAAATTTCACAAGCTCCTTCGTATTGTTGTTGTAATTTTAAACAGAATGTCTGTGTTTATACTATAGTACCAAGGAAGTCGGCGCCACATCTGAGACTGAATAGCTAGGCGAAGTGATACGAACAGCGAGACTTTACTTCTTTGCGACTTTTGTTGAGTGGTGCAAGTTTAATTGAGTCGAGAGGGTGCTGCGAACTCAAACTCGCCATAAATTCTTTGATAGCATAGACATTTGAAGTTTTATAAAGTGCATGGATACAAGAACTGCTAAGTCCAAGTTCTTCTGCTTATTTAGTAGACGACAAGTTTAAACATTAGTTTAACAACAATCTCAACAACTATGTTTATATATATTTATATCGATTTTAGACTCAGATAGTAAAAAGAGTTTATTTGCTGTACTTAGTATATAATATATTATTAAACTGTTCACTGATTAGTAAGCATTGTGGTTTTTAGTTTTTTAACATTAATAGATTTATTTAGTAGAACTACAGTAAATTGAAATGTAAATGTGTATCAAGAATAAATATAATTATTAATATATTATTATTTACCTAAAAATAAATTTAATAACGACTAAATTAAACACACATTAGGTACTATTGTAATCTTGAAAATACGTGGTAAGTAATCCCTTTTTCTAATTGAGTTCCAACAGAACCACAGTAATTTAAATAAAGTCAAAATTAAAATTTATTTCTACAGTATCTTCGTTATCTTTGTGAGCTGGACTGGATCCACCCCGAAGACTACGGTCGTCGTTTCGTATTAGCATACAGTTTGGCAGACGGCACGGTGAAAATTGGCGAGATACCGCGCCGTAATTCTGGTATCCGTGAAGGAAAGTTTCTGAAGCCAATGCGGTTGCAGATGCCGGACTCCGATCCTAACTTCCCCACTTACTTCACTCCGGATAAGTTTTACATAGGTTAATTTTACATAATCTGTAGATAATTATAATCCACACTGACTATCAACGTCATAATTACAAGTCTGTAACTCGTATTCTAGCTGATCTTCGTAACAGTGAAATAAATTTGTAATAGGAAACCAATAAGATATTGGTATTTTTCGAAATCCTAAAACAATTTTAAGATAAAATTGTTTTAGGATTTCGAAAAATAATTAATGTCTTCTAATAAAGTATACGTATTCATAGCGAGATACACACTACATCAATGAATTTCCAGTAACAGAGTTATTTTAGTTATTTTCATAAAATACTAAATAAAGTTATTTTCATATAATTAATGTATTTGTCTATCAAAACTATACTTAGTCTAGTCAGATGGAAAATATTCATTGTCAATTCCCGTACGCTTCGATTGACTCCCCTTGATTGGCACGTATCATTCACATGCCCTTATACCTTAAAAAAATTATATTTAATTTTAACATGTACTCTTCAAATTGATTGTGAATTTCAGGAATTTAATTTCACTTGGAAATCATATTAAAATCATTCCGATCCACTGAGTTGTAAATTTAAAACTACACTACTTCAATTGACTATGAGAATTTTATTACGTCATAAACTGAAGATGTTCTGTCGTTATATTAAAACACTTAAAGGATTACATCTAATTATTGTGATGCTGTATATTTCTTAGTAAATTTTTTCAAACGATAACTAAAAAAAATATTTTTTTTCAAAAATTGCAAGCTGTTTATTTCATTTATTATATATTATATGTATAACCACACAAAAAGGGCAACGTTCTCAATACAGTCCATACATGTGTACGGTACATCTATTTGAACTGCAGGTGCAATAGTGCCGGTATTCAAGCATCGCTTCAAGATTATCGGCTGCGACTTATACGTATATCGGTACATGAGCGCGAACCCGGAGAAATTCCCGCCGGAGGTGATCGATAACGTAAGGAACTACCACATGCGAGAAGGAAATCTTAAGGATGAATTGAAGGTATTTAGCTAGTTCGTTTCTAATTCCATGAATAATTAAATAGGATCGTTGTAATCTTAATAGGGATTTTACTACTGACTTACATTATTTTTAGACGATGGATAAATATCCATCGTATCGTATATAGTAACAATAATTATAACCTAGTACAATTCACACAGCGCTTGTGTTATAGGTACTACACAGCTGATACAAATCCTTAAATACAATACATAGAAAACACCCAGACCGATACAAACAATCATACTTAGATATTAATAACAAATCTTTCGAATCGAACCCGCGATAATTGAAAGCAAACCGTTACACCACCAAGACTGTTAATTTAATATTCATAATGTGTAAATTGTATATTTATACTTTGTACAAAGCTGTCTGCGGTGATATCTCTGTCTCATTTGTTTCTGCCATCAAGCAGCTTTCTTTGTCAGCTAATATAGCTAGTTTGCCATTCCATTAATAAAAAATATATGGTAACGACAAGATAAGGTTTATTTTGTACTAAGAATAATAAGGCAATTAACTACTTTATTCAAAAAACCACAGCAAGCTATAAGCAATGAACAGGCTGCGGAGACGAGAGCCCAGCTTGCCAAGATCGGGCAGGCAGCAGTCGCTGAGCCTAACGCTATGGAACGATGTCTGATGGCTCTCGATGTGGTTGAAGGTAGCGCAACTCCGCCACGACCTCCAACACCGCCGATGACCACAAATCTTATATCGTATGACGATTCATTGCGTGTTACTAGACAGAGGTATGTCAATAAAACAAGAATACTACCTAAGTGACATAGTTTCTGTTGTCGATTATATCATACTTTAATAGTACAATATAATATTATATATAATTTTAAAAAATTATCTTAAAGTACGTCAAGTCAAAAATCATCAAATAAAAGTACGTATTAGAAATGAAATTATTATATATTTAATATATCTAAGTCAAGGACTCACTTAAGTGGATATTCAAATATCACCTCATTTCAAAATCAAATATTAGTTGCAATAATTTATTTGAAATGAGCTGATGTTGAGCTTAATAACGTGTATTTATTAACCTTATATATTATATACTTATTATTATATTTATTATTATTAGAAATCAATTTTAATAAATTATTAAAGAAAGAAAGAAATGTAATATAGTAATAATATTGAAATAAAATAGATTAAAAATGTCTATTAAGGGTAGTTATCTTCCTCTTTTCTATAACATTATTTTTATATTCCGAAATTAAGACAGTACCCCTGTGAAATAATGCTTCCTATAAATCTATCTAACCTAGTGGAACCAAGAGTTCGATATTATTAAAATTGTTAATTTTATGAGATATATACAATAGTAGATATTATAGAACACTTCATATTGTAGTGTTTATGAATCATATTTTATAATATTATTTTATCTACTCTCATACTTTCGTGTTTGTGTAAAAAAGTTAATACAAAGCCTTGGATATAATTAAATCTCTTGCGCGCAATCCCCATTGCGCGCAAGAGATTTAAACTGGCCTGACTCTCATTACTCTCAACGGCAGTAATGAAAAAATAGTAAAATTACACGCTTACATTATTTGAAATGTAAGCTGCAATCACAGTTTTTAATATGAGACTAAATAATAATTAAGTATAATACTAATTCAGCTACTTTGAGAAATCTGACACTTAACGTTATTGTTTTGTCTAAATTTTCGTTAAATTGAATAACGAACATTTTGAGAGATGAGGGTACAAAACTAAAATTACTGAGTATCGCAGATTACTTGTCTGCGATACTCAGTAATTTTAGTTTTATACGGTGCGAATAATTCGTAAATCGTTTATCGATTTGTGTGTAAAGTTAGTTTGTCTAGCATATAACACCAAATCAATACTAAAATATAAGTTTTCCTTTTGAAATAGCTTCAAAATTTATTCACGATTCAATTTACGTTGTCAGTAAACCTACTTGCGAAGAAATACAGCCGTTGAGGGGCATACTAAGATCGGGGACTGCTCGTGAGGACCATCAGAAGGTGGTATGCTTCAGCGGGCCAGCAGCGGATGAACATCGGGAACACCGCGATAGACCTGACTACCTGTCGGGACAACAGCCGCAATTTGATGACAGTGATGATTTTTGCGTGAAACAAAAAGATCCTGTAAGTCACTATTATTTCAACATTAAAGATTAGGAATCCAATGATATTGGTATGCCATTACAAAAGTACGTGCACCAATTTTATCGATTAAAAGCCGATTTCATATCGATTGATTAAGAATTTATACTGCCTCGATATTAATTCAGATTATGGATATACATTAAACATTTACTCTTCACGTTTACGACATTTATAAGAATCCATTTATCGTATCTCCTCAGTTCCAGTCAAGACACTCTCCTTGATGTGAAGCCAAATCTCGAGGTCCTTGGCGTTGATATATCCAGTGACGTTCAGTTTTCCGGTCATTTGGAGGACATGGCTAAAATAGCCTCAAAAAAAGCTTGGTGTGCTCAGTAGAGCGAGACGGTATTTCACGGCGGCCCATCGCTTGCAATTATACAAGGCGCAGATCCGGCCGCATATGGAATACTGTTCTCATCTCTGGGCGGGAGCACTACAATACCAGCTACATCCATTTGACCGCATTCAAAACCGAGCAGCCAGAATCATTGGTAATGAACGTCTATGTGACAGACTCGACCCATTGGCTTTACGGCCAGATATTGCATCTTTGTGCATTTTCTACCGCATATATCACGGGGAGTGTTCTGAGGAATTGTTCGGGTTAATACCAGCTGCTGAGTTTTACCACCGTACCACCCGCCAGAAACTAAAATACCATCCTGATCATCTGGATGAATGGCGGTCCTCCACAGTGTGGTTTTCTAGAAACTTTTTGCCACGCACAACCACATTGTGGAATCACCTCCCAGCAATGGTATTTCCAAACCGATACGACATTGAAACCTTCAAGAAAAGAGCTTATTCCTTTTTAAAAGGCCGACAACGTACTTGCAATTCCCCTGGTGTTGCGGGTGCTCATGGGCGGCGGTAATCACTTACCATCAGGTGAGCCGCATGCTCGTTTGTCTCGTCTGTCTGCGTTATAAAAAAAAAAGAAAATGTCAGTAAAAAACCTCCAAAAAGAATGCTATAGCTATTTTAACATTAACAACGTTATTTTAACATTATTTTTTATTTATCTTTATCGTCCTAACGATTGCGGCGTAAAAATAAATATATAGGTATCCACTCATATTTATTAGAACCTCATCTACGCTGTTTTCTTTACCTTGAATACAAAACATAATAATATATCAAAAGAATAGGCACTTTCCCTTAATTAGATATGGTTATAAGAGAAAACTTTTTATAAGCAATGTAACAGTCTGTTTTGTTGCAAGATTTTTAGCATCTTTTAGGTAAATTGTAGATAATATAGAGTTTATCTATAAGATTTATCATGTTTAGAGAAAAGATTTGTTACTTAATAAACTGTATATTTCATATTTTAGCTCTCAGAACTAATTGGTTGATGGAGTATATTCACACAGTCTTAAAATTAATTTGTTTTAAAGAGTACCTGACCGACATGTTTCTTACTGATTCTTTTAGAAATAAGAGAAAGCATCAGCAGATTAAATATTAAAATATATTAAAATGATAAAGTTTACATGTCGACATTACAAAAATTCCTGAGATATTTTAAAGTGACATATTCTATAAAAATGTACAAACAACTAATTCTACGATGGCCAGCATTATACTTCCAACAGATTCCTCTTGACTAAATCTGTATTTCGAATGCGCAGTAGAATATACAATTACTTCAAAAGTGTACATTTCTATTTATTTGATTTGGATAAATAATATTTATATTCTATTATCCAGGACAGTTAGTCTATTATGCTATAGCAAGTAATTCTATTGTTGGTATATAAATATCTATGTAATTAGATATTTGCTGGGCATTGTTAATTATTCTAATTACCTATCTATTGTTAAACCTGTTAAGAGTCAATACTAATAAACAGGAAAAATAATGTTACGATCAAAATCATACAAAGTAAACATAATTATCTCATTTCATTACACAATACTATATTGGAATATCAGTTCAATATTGGAAAATCTTAGGTACTTTAGATATAAACTTTCGTATTTAATAAATATATCTATCTATACTTTGTCCAGTCATAAAGCGAGTAGCCTATGTAGTAGGTATACTGTATGGTATCAAATATATATTATACGTTGGTCCAAGTTCGCCTTGGTTACCAATTAACATCTTTGTGCTCCTTTCATGGCGTGCCTCGGGAGAGGCCTATGTCCAGCAGTGCACTGCAGTGGGCTGATGATGATGTGCTCCTTATTCCTCCTTAGTCCTATTATAATTTTATAAACGAACAACTCATAGAGACAAACATAACTATATAGAGACCTAAACCATTTGAGTTAGGTTGCCTTTGTAGAATAACAGGTTTCCATTTTCTTTACAAATTCGTGATGGTTTGGCACATTGCCTTACAGCAGCTTCCCCAGGTCTTAATATCACTATCATTTATCCAATCTCTCAGTCCTGACTATTTTAGAATTAAATAATATTTTTTATATGAAGCGTGGTATAGATAGGAAAGGAAATAATGAAGAAACCAAGTTATTTTTTGTATTTACTGCTCTTTGATGAGAGGGAACACTAGTACTTTTAACAATACAGGGATCAAAGGAGCGTGAAGAACGTCGCGCTCGAGATGAATGCCCATACCAGATCATGCCCAGTGCGCAACTTGTCAATGGTACAGGAGAGGAGAGTGCTGATAGTCCGCAGTTACCAGGATATCTTGGTTCTTATGGAGTCGATTGCAAGCAGGTATGTTAATATAACCGTTTAACAGAGGCCGTAGACTAAAGTCGCCTACATGGGTACCAGAGTTTTACCTATTTCAGCCGCCTAGCAACTTGCTTGTAGTGATGACCGCATGCTGTTCATGTATATAGACAATGCTTACCGATTTAGGTAGGCGTCATCTATTTTTACTCAGAAAAAATTAAAAAAAAACAAATACAAAAATATTTATCGGCTTTAGGCTTGTTTGCAGATTATTTTCAAATGTATTTTGTAAATAAATATTATATTTAAACCTTTGAATAATAACTGATGACTTGGCAATATATGAGGAGAGAATTAGACATTCATTATATACGGGATGGAAACAGACTTTCGATAATTAAAAAAAAATAAGTTTAATTAATTTTCATGTTGATGTATTAATGTATTTACCTAATAAGAGTAGATGACTATATTATTCGCTAAATCTATTTGCCATTTTAATTAGTGTAATAATCTTGATTCTCTCTATCTTTCATTATAGATACCAGAGTACATGCGCCTTTCATCAGACGCATATGAAAAAGTGAAAAAATTACGTCGCGATGTGCCTGAAATATCACCTGCAGCTACACGAGTATCGCATTACCCGCATATACCGGAAACAGCCATGGAGTCTTGTTTGAATCCACCACCACAAGCCTCTGGACCTTGTGCTCCGCTTAAAGAGGAAGATGTAGCGTTTGCCTGCTCACACATTGACCCTATTAAACCATGCTGCGAGCCAGATAAAAGAAAAACTTAATACTTGCAATATTCAGTGATTTAGAAATTCTATTAGTATTGTATTCTTTTTGACAAATTATAATTATTTAATTATTGATTATTACAATTGCACAGTTAGCACATGTAGGTACTGTGCTTTATTTAGGCAATATTCAAAATTTAGGATCCTGTTAATGTGGTTCCGAGTCATATGTTTCATCAAGCTTATGTATCAAAATCAATAAAAATTGTTCCTGGATTGTGGTACCTGTTTGCATGTATGCGTTTTAGAATCTCCCGCATCCCAAATATGTTTGTTATTGAACAATAATGTGAAAATCTACCTTTAAAAGTTTCCTTTTGTTTGAAAATAGTGGATGTATGTAGATAAGGTAGGTTCTTAAAGGTTGTATATTATATATTGAAAGCTATTATGCATGCAAACTGCACGTGAATCAAAATAAATTTTGAACTTCACAATTTCAAGATTGATTTGTAAGTTCATAACTTATGTATGTGAAAATACTTAAGTTTGGTTTGGTAAATGTATATATACTACCTACTAGTACTAGTACACTGTATAGCCAGAGACAGAACAGAAATCCCAAGACAACATAGCAAAATTATATAATTTATTAAAATAGTTCCTCTATAGCAATAAATTTACGGTAACATTTATAACAAATTTATGTAGACATAACGTAAATTGTACAAGCTTCCTTTTACGTTTTTTTGGCATATGTTTTCAATTCAAAAAAATAAAAAAAAAACAGTATTATGCGTACAGTTTTTTTTAATTCCCAGGAAACTAACATGCAATGAAGAGTAAAACTTTGCAAACAAAAATATGCAGTGGGGATAAACTCGCACATATTCTATTCTATGTTATATGGTTCCCAATAAAGGATTATCGAATAAACGCTGAATCCTATCTTTTCTATAATATTTAACTGCCAGTCCATTAGAGTCTCAGTCTTTGTAATTATATAATTTTACAAATAAAAATTTCATTTTATTTCAAGTGCCCAATTGACATGTTCTCAAACCATGAAGTTAATCAATATTATTCTAACGAATCAAAAAATATTAAAATGGTTAAACATCACTCGCTATCAATATATTGTTTATTTTACTATATGTATCCTGCGGTGTTGTCCGTGTGTAATATACTCTATGTTACGCCCAGATTATGTTGTATTCTATAGGTGATTTTTTAAATTGCATAAGTATTTTTTGAGTTATAGATATCATTTATAAACTTTTCTTTACAATAATATATATATATATATATATTGTCCTCGGTAATGGACATGGCTTAACACTCAATTAGTAGAGATGTTTGAAGATTGTCAAGTTTTTTTAAATTATATGCAGTTAACATCAATCTATTCTAACGTACATATAATATGTACCGTAGTTAGCTCTTCATGTCATATAAACAATCTCTTATTGATTTGATCAGGCCATAAGTTAGTAAGCTCGTGGAATGATCGACTACTTGAGATGATATGATATAACTAATTCTATAACGCGATGTGTAAATTATACAAGTCTATAGTTATTTTTATAAGAATATGGATTTATCCATATTTTCTTTATAATCTATATTACAAAATTACACTGCCAATTTAATAGTATATAATTAGGCTGTACAAATTGTAAGAGAACATACTTCTCATTTCTATCGCTTGCTACCAATTTCATGGCATATTCTTATTTCTAAAGTTCATGCACAATTTTAAATAATAACTAATAGAATAACAATAATAATAATAATATCAATTAACAACCAAATAATAAACAATTTTCCATTATTTTCATAACTAATAAATAACATGTATTTCCTACCCATAAACTTATACAGTTGGTTACAGTAACAAAGTAACAAATGTTTAGAATACACTTAACTTACATACACTTAAAGATACAATGTCATTCTTATATTGATAATTGCATATGCATAAAGTGCATATATGAAATCGGAGAATACATTTTTAAGATTTTCCATTTTGTAGTTGACATATAATCGGTTATAATTGTTTTAAATATAATATAACTAAATGCGTTGGAATATTTATGAAATCAATTAGAAATTTTTAAAAGGGTTTTATATTACAATACTAGTATTTATGTGTCATTTAGTGAAACTAATAATGGAATAAATGATTGATTGAATTTACAAATGAAACTTTCTGTGATTTCTGTCATGTGTTTTTTCAAATGAAGACTTTCCTATATTTCATAATATAAATTATATTTAAGGTAAAATTAAATTATTTCTCAACACTAATGTCTAGACATTACATAATCGCAATATTCATTATGATCATATTATTAAAGAGCCCCGATACCCAATGATATTATTATATAATCCAATGAAAATATAATTTATATAATAAGTACAATTGTAAACAACTGTGAAAAAACTTGAATACTAATATGTAATGTATTTTCCAACTGAATAGGATTGTCCATCAAACTCTCTTGTTTCAAATACGTATCTAACAAAGAAAAGAGTAGCATTTCAAATTTCATGCACTCTCATAGCGATCGGATTATGTTTATTACTTCTAAATAGCTTCGCCGACCTTTAACAGACCTTCATTAGTAAGAATCATATTTTCTTTGACGCATATGATGATATAGGACAATAACAATAAATACTGTTTACTGTTTACTTCCAATAAAATCTAAGTTATGTGTTTTTATAAAGGTGCACAATGAGCAGCCTTATTGCTACACGCGATCAAGTGTCGTGTATCAAGAACGAGTAACCTATGAATGATCTGTAGGCAAAGGTGGCTAGATTCATATCTACACTTTATGCAGAATTAAATATTGCATTATTTCTGGAAATGTAATATAAAACTAGTAATGATTGTTAATTACGTAAGATATATGATAACAATCACAATGACTGTCAATGTGAGGAACATTCCACCAAACAGGATATATTTGTCTTGTGATACTCTTCTTTCTATCAGAGAAATAGTGGCATTCGATAACCCTAACGTGTTGGCCAAATCTATTAGTCTTCTGTGAGCGCCCTTCAATGTTTCCCTGTTGGTCCTTAGTGTGTCTAATATGTTCGATCCTGTAAACAATAAGGATATTATTAAATTTAAAGTCTTATTTTTAATAATAACAACCTACAGTCGGTAGTCACTTCATTTCAAACGCTAGTCACTTCATTTCAAACGCTAAATAAAATTAAAAAGTGGTCTTTGGAATGACATATAAGCTGATTCGATCTGATAGTAACCCTCGCTTATGTACAGCACAGTACAGAGACGTTGCGTGCGATATCCGTGGTAACAAACTGACGTTGCCATTGCGGGGGACTAAAATGCCATGCTTCCATATCCGGTAATTTCACCACTCACTCTTTAATTTTCACTTTACAAAGCAGTTTGTCTGGCTGCTGAGATAGAGTTATCCACGCGGACGACTTTTCACAAATAACAGCACATCTAGAGAAAGTATAAGGTAACAGATAAGAGCGTATAATACTTCAATGTTTTAAGTACCTACTTATGTAGATTTTTAGACAAAGTCGTCTGCGAATGGAATCATTGTATGGATATTTTTATCGTCATGCAACTCCTATAACCGCAATTTTTTTAACTCCTTCACCATATGAAAACCCTAATTAATCTACATAAACATATGCTAAAAATGTAACTAATGTGTACATACCTAGAAGATACGTATATATCAGAAAAACTATTTTTGCAGAACTTTGTCAATCTAAAAAAACCACGAACAATGGATTGTTAGAATTTTTGTCATTAATCACAGAAACAGGTTTACCTAACCGATTTAGGTGCGGCTTTGACCAATGTATTGTTTGCTTAAAATGTTGTGTTTGTTTTATTTATTATTATGTATCATTTGAAAAAAATAAAGCAAACCTATTGATAATTCGAACTCCATGGATACAAAGTCGCAGGCTGCGCCATTATTATAATATGATTATTGTAATAACACATAGCAACTGGCTTCTAGAAGGTTATCGTCCTGAGCAACGTATAACTAAATGACTTTAAAATTACAGGTATTTACACTTGACAATGAGAAATTAACCGATCAATATTGCAATTAGAAAAACTTCGCTGAATTCAATGAAGTGTTAAATGTGTATTTCATTATTTAACATAAACAATATTGATTAATTACAGAAGAAAACGCTATAGACTTAAAAAATATAATCAAGACCAATTACGATCGGTAGCTGCATACGAAAATAAAAACAATACAATATTCGGAATGCGACGCTGTCTTTTTTAATAATAGTATAAGAATATATAGATCAATTTTAAAACATCCGCTTCAATTAACATAGTCTTCCTACACAATATTTGCTATGAATAATCATATATTATCAGCAATCCTAAATTCAACATACAATGTGAACTTTGAACGATCATCGTTGGACTACCAAGGTCTGATCGATTAACTACCTGGTGATGCCTCATTTAAAAGCAAAATACACGTGACGCATGAATATATATCTTTCTAATATACCTACATATACATGTGAAAGTCTGTATTTGAAAATATTTTCAAATTTATTACTCAATCACGTTTAAAATACAACCAATACGAAGTACCTTAATTTTTATTGGGCTTGTATTATTATTTTTATTTATATTGTATTCTGTATTTTAATATATTAAAATACAGAATGTAAAGCATTCTGTATTATACATGGCGGAAAATATTCTAGTAAAGGGCATTAGGGCAAGTTTACCTAAGTAAAATTAAGGTCAGACCTCTACTAAGAGAGATAGATAGGTTAAAGATGCTAATTAAAGCAAACAGACACTTTTCAGCATACGTGACGATCAATTTAATATGTGCCTACACTGAAAAATTTTAAACGATCGTAAAATCCAATATCTAAGAATATAGTGTCCACGATATTACAAATAAAACCAATTTGAGTGCTAGTTAATAAAATATTTTGTATTATTAAGTATCGCTCATGAATATTAATTTCCTAATTCAATTCAATAATTTAATTTTTCGGTTTCCGTTCTACTATGATAAACAAATATGTGTAGCAAACGCTATTCATTTAATAAGCAACAATATGTCAAACGCAATCCCTTTCGATTTCAGCTGGAAAAGAAACTGTTAACGACATTCAGTTCCCTGGTAAAAACTCGCTTCGAAAATTTTTAAATAGCTATATTTCACTAGATTAGAGTTGTTGGTATCTATACATTATTATTTTCTTGACTTTTCTAATTACAAGTATAAGTAGAAAATATGCTATTTACCCTTTCCACTGGTGCCTATCAACTGTCATACCTACATATCTATACATACAAATAAAATTGGAGTATCTGTTTGTAATATTGAAATAACCGTTTCTTACAAATATATTTCTCAAATTAATATTTTTTGCCATTTATGTCCGTGTGATTGTTCCGGCTAATCTCTGAAATGGCTGGACCGATTTTAACGGGACTTTTTTTGTCAAGTAGCTTATGTAATAAACTCCTTATTACATCAGCTACTTGCCAAAAAAAGTAAACTTAGGCTACTTTTATTTTAGAAAAATAAAGTTAAATTTCACGCGGACGAAGTCGCGGGTACAGCTAGTACAAAATATTATTATTGTCATTGATCATCGAAAATAAGCAACAATACGGAAGATAACAATTCTATTACCTTGCTTACTTACCTCTAATCATTAACATAACCATAAACTTACAAATTAATCTTAAAGCATGAATATAATTATTCAGTGGTGTATATTCATATAATTGCTATATTTAAGTATATATACATTCACATGATATATTAATTATCCGTTGTAGTTTTTTATGTACCTATCTGCCACAGCAAACAAACCCATCCAATGCTAAGTGGTAGCTATTGTCAATCTGGAGTACTAGAATGATCTTTCATTCCAAATTTAAGAGTCAATGGAGTAGAACATTAGTTAACCCTCACAAAAATGTAACCTCTAGTTGATCTATGTCACATCGGGATAGATAGGGCACTTAACGTTCAGGATAATCGATAATATAATAACAGCTATGTGAATAACTAAGCGGCCTATTCATAGAGTAGGTATAATTAATAAAATGTAAATAAGCTGCCTTGATGCGGTGTGGTGTCTCGCAGTTGTTTTGTTTTTAATTTACCGCGGAACACATGTCACGTTTGATCCAAAGAGTAAACAGTGTCGCAAAATATAATGTGGTAAGTTTAATACACTTTTTTACTAGTACAAGTTCAAATGGCAATTATTAAAATAATTATGCACATAATTTGATAACTGGTGATTATGTTTTATATAAACAGGTCTTAGGGAAACCGGTCGATTCTGCCAGTGTTTTTTATACATGAATTGATACGAAGTTCGATATTTAGATTTTCATTTTCATATATGGTATATTGTGTGTGCATAGTGCAAATTTAATATTAATAAACAAATATAATTTTATTGTAATAATATAGCGAATTCCTTATTTATTTCCGCACAATTAAACCATACCAACTAATAAAATCGAACAATACGCGACGTGTATTTATGTTACGAATTTTATTTATGCTTTTTAAGGGATAAGATCTGTCTTTTGTTAAGCACATTTTTAAAGTTTTCTTATTCTTTCAATAAACATTTATATGTATTTTTTTATTAACACAATTGTTATTACAGCAGTACCTACATAGTTTTGCTCTATATTCAGTTGTATTAAATTATTACAGGTGAGTAGTTGACAATTTTTTTTTTATTACTTCATGAAATCAGACAAAAAATTTAATAAATAATTTTATTGATAAAAATGAGTGGACTTAAAATTTACAAGCGCATTATAGCATGTAACATACAGTACAATGCTTTTAGGGTACACTTATAAGTTATAGTTGTCTTTTATTACATGTACTAGTTCTCTAAGTGCATTTTTATATATATTATATATACACATACATATTAATGATTTTAGTTATGGAGTAGTAAGGCAATGCATGCAATGTAGAGATATAAATATAAGTTCATTTATGAACCAGAAGTGTGATATTATACACTAGACGAAAACTTGAATTGGAAAAAACATGTTGACAATATTTGCAGAAAAATTAATAGATTTGTATTTGCATTGTTCAGACTCCGACAAGTGGCCACTTTACAAACTGCGCTCAATGCGTATCATGGGTTTGTTTCTTCTGTATTGCGTTATGGATTGCTAATCTGGGGCAACTCATGTGACATAGATAGAGCTTTTAAAGCTCAAAAAAAATGTATTAGAGCCCTTTGCAATGTCGGATTCAGAGAATCATGTAGACCTCTATTTAAGAAACTTGGTATTCTTCCGTTGCCTTGTATGTATATACTTGATATCTGCACGTTTGTGAAACAACATCCAAACTTGTTTAGCACACATGATCAGATAAAAGACTGTCTCAGATCACAGAGAAGAAATAAAATATTGGTACCAAAGAGCAATTTGACGCTTTACCAAAGGAATGTATCATTTATGGCACAAAAAATCTTTAATAAATTACCACCGGACTTGAGAAAAATGCCCTTAAATAAATTAAAAAATCGATTATATTACTGGTTGCTGGACAAGTGTTTTTATGACATCAAAGAATATTTATGTGATGATTGTTGACTTTTTTTTTTTTTTTATTACTATATAATTAGAATGGTACATAAGACATTAATTTTAAATTATAATATTATAAATTATTCCATTTTAATATACCCAAAATTTGCATGCCCGTAAATTGGGGCAATTAAACAGTTGCCAATAATATTATTACCTGGACATATTATAATATCTAACTGTATAATACGCAAATAAATAAATTTCATTTCATAAATATTTCCAGCTACTTCTGCTATTTTTTCTAACAGCAGTCTGCAATGTTCATCTTTATGATTTTGTATTTCTATAATAATAAGGATCAATATGTGATAACAACTAACCTGTGTGTATCATTTCATCCACATTTCTATGTGAATTTTGCAATGAATTCTGTTCCTGTGCCAAGTAGTCTACAGTGATCTCTGTGTGATCATGCCCAAATCTTCGATTTAAGAGTTGTTCTCTATCTAAGCGTTCTTGTTCACGTCTCATACGCTTACTTTGTGAATTTGTTAATGAAGCCTACAAAAATTATTACATGTTAATAAAATAAATAAATAATTAAATATATATGTCTACTAATGTGTAAGTATGTAGCATAATAGTTTGGATGTTAATTCAATTCACATTATTATTTCATTCAGTTTTCTCCATGTTTCCTACATGGAAATAGGTGTCATTTTCAAAACAGTGCTCAGGAAAATTGTTAATGTTTATTTTTTTTATTGTGTTTGAATTTTTTTTATTGTGTAAATAATTAAATTTATTCAATTGTAAAATATATAACACATTAAAATATAATTCTTGGGCTCCATGGCTTGTACCTTGTGGTTACTACACCTAATTTTGAACAAAATGCAATGTTTTTCTTATATTGACTCTTACAATTTTGTTACAGTATTTACATTAAGGTTTTATGAAAATTTCCAAGAACTAATATGAGACTAAAAGAGATATATATGAATTTCTATTGAACTTAAAAAAATATTTTGATATTTAGTTATTTATTTATATTGCAGATAAGGATATAAATAAATGACACAACTACCTCTAGTTTTCATGTAATTTTTTATCTCTAAATTAAATAGACATATATATGAGTTTAAGATTAATAAATAACTTTTGTAAACAATAAGGCAAGCAGTTGGTATTTTGAGTACACATATAAATTGAAGTAATTCCTTAATCATTATGACTCCAATATATACTATATGCTCATGACTATTGGTGTCATCCTAGGTATGGTAATCACATTGATTATCAATGTTTTTTTTGTATGAATATGGTACAATCTCTGTGTAACGGTATACTATGGTTAGCTACCAATTCAGTATGATAATATGAGCATAAAGTTGGGTACTTCACTAGTAATTAATTAGAGGGACCATGTAGATATGAACCTGATCCAGTCCCCTTTATTCAAAATCCACTGTCCCTCCAAATATTGATGTTATAATGATCATAAAAATATTTACCTGAATATGTTTGTTGTCATATTTTAATTGATCCACCCTCATCTTTGCCATAGGTCTTTGGTTAACTGGTGTTTTATACACATAAATATCCAACTTTTCACAATTTCTGTAGATACAATGAGTAATTGAAACATACATGATACATTAAAAAAAATATATGAATTCTCATAACATACTCTTTATCTAACATTATCTGTTACTTTTTAATAGAATTAATACAAAACTAGATTTCAATATTTGTAACTATGGGATAAGTGTACACCATATGGTAAACACTTAACTAATAAGTAATTATATTTAATTTGCCATGGTTACCGGTAGTGGAGGTGCCATTATTTAGCCTAGTATTTATTTATTTATACCTATTCTTATTATAATTTACACAGCAAACTTACGAAGTTATTGAATTGATTTTCGATTGAATTTCATTTTCTATTTCGTAACTATGTCCTGGGTCCTTTTCTAACTTTTGAAACAAATCCGATGCTTCTTGAATAAGTTGACTTGTTTGGTGATATAGCACTTCCATGGTTTCCTATATTGAATAATAATTTATTTTAAAACTTTATATAAAACGTATCAAAGAAGTTTTAATTAATTATATAAAAATAAATTAAATAACAATATGGGAAATAGTTACAATAACACCACAGAGTACATAACTAATGTGACAAAGCTATTATGTCATTCATATGTCAATTTGGCTATGACATTTAACGTGGCCTTCTGTTCGGATTCATACACGGGAAATATTTTATGCTCCTATGTATAAATCCTAGCCTCAAATAATTAACAATAAATGAAACATAATGGAATATTAACGACTTGTACTTAAATAGTATATCGCTATGTAATGAATTACGTTTTTGTTGTTTTTCATATATAAAGGTTTCTGGAGTTTACCGGTTACCCTACTCCAATGAATATAATCTTTATTTTAAGTGTCCACCACCAAGCCAACGAACGTCATAGTTTGAGAATCACAGTGTCACTACTGTACCGCCGAATGACAATGACACAGAAACTGCCACAGACTGACGTTCTGGTTGCATTATATTATATTTTCTGTAGTTTGTTAATTATCTGTTCGTCAGTTCAGCAAATATCTGTATTTCTTTGTCATCAATCTCTTTTATTAATTCGTTGTAACTGTTATACTTTGATAAAATTAATTTATTTTAAGTGTTTTGAACTGTATCTTTCGAGACATTTACTTCTTATACAATGGGCGACGCTTGTCAAGCTTGCCTGACGAGGGTTCCTCATGCAACCCTTATAGCTACAATTATGTGTTGTTTGGGCGTGGGGGTGTTTTGTGGCACAATGTACCGAGGATCAGCTTTATCTATTCTGATGTTCGACGAAGTATTCCATTTTCGATTGATATGGATTGAAGCACTGCAAATGATTTTTATTGTTGGGAGTGCTTGCATGGCAGCTTTAGGATTTATGCTGCTGTGTTTGGGTTGTCTAACAACAGGTGCAACAAGACAAAAAGTATACAGAGCATGGAGGGCACGAGTCGGCGGCAGGATATCGTGCGCAGTATTTATGATTATCACTTACATCCTGACATTCACGTGGCTTGTATTATTGGGTTTCCTGGTTATAACAACATTTCTGTTTACTATCTTTTGGAAACTGTGCTCGAAACCGAAAAATATAGAACTAATGACTTGCATCGATTTCACGCAATTCGACTTTATGTTCCCGTCTACTGTTAAACAAGAAGATATGAAGATATGTGAAGCTCATAAAGTTAAGCTGTTCTGTAAAGATTATGTTGAGAAGGCAGAATTCATGTTTATACTGGCAATGGTGTCATGTGTGCTGGTGATTTTGAGTTTAGTTCATTATTTGATGTGTTTGTCAGCTAATTATGCACATATCCGTGATCATGATAAGTTCCAAGAGTTGCAGGAGCTGCAGTACCTCGCTACAAATGACATGCATTCGTCTAAGGATAGATTCTAGTATATGGCCCGAGCGCCCCTACTGCGCTCCTTAGAGGCCACCACTAAGATGTGACATGGTAAGCACCCACATTTGTGTGCGGCCAAACAAGATGTTCACTGACTAACTTAAATTTATTAAAAGACTGATGCGCAGTGGTTGGCAAACCTCTACAGAAGTCAGAATATTGGGATAAGATAATACTTTCAACATATCTAAATATTATTTTGTAGTATTGTTGTTAGTGCACTTAGTTTTATATTACAGTTGTTTTCGTCCATTTATACATTCCTATAAGTATGATTTTATTATTATAAATAAATTATGTTTATTACTTTGATGTTTAGGTACCTATTTATATGGGGTATACCTTGCATTTAATTATAGAGGAGTGTTTATAATCCTGCCAATAATAATTTATTTACACAAACATTATAATTATTTACACAAGTAGGTAGTGTGACTCGAACATTATTTGTTATGGAGTGAGTCATTTGAATTTTCTCTGACTTGGTAAATGCAACTGTAAAAAATGTTGCAAGCGCCATAGTAATATTTTTAGGAGCCAATAAAGTGATATATAAATTGTATTAAATTTATATTTTGCAGTAACAAACTAAAGGTATTATTTTTTGCTAAGTAAAATTATAAGGTTGTACTACTATCGGTGTAAGTATGTATTGTATGTATTGACTGTTTAGGTAATGTATAAAAATCCATTGTCTTTCCTACAAGATAGATGTAATTGAAAAAAGTATAAGTAGATAAGTTATAGAATGTACTCTTGGTCCTTATGGTAACCATTATGGTTTTGGAACAATATGAGAAATATTTCTATATCAAAATACAAATATTACAATTTGTGTACAAACTGCACTGCCTCCTGAGATTGGTTAGATTATTAAGTAGCTTTTATATGGTATGAATTTAATGAATCCACCCTTATTTATCTGTAATAATTATTATTAACTAGGTGTAAGTTGTATTGTAATCATAAGTCGGCTTTTTGACCAGATCTTTATTTATAACCATAGTAATGTCACAATTTTGTAATTTCATTTAAAAATGTTTCTCATAAAATTGACTAAGAATCATAAGTTTTTGATTATTTTTGTCAGAGCAGAATTACACATTTACAAATGTAATAATTCCTTTTTAATAAACTTTTACTTTTATCTATATAATTGTGTTTAATAACTTATATTATACTTGTTATAAATAAAATGGAAGATAGTTTGTATATTAGTTGTTTATAAGCCTAACAAAACCTTTATTTAATATTTTCTAGTAAGTACAAATTCCAAAGAAATAGCAATGATAGGAGGAAATTGATAATTAAATGTGGACATATTAACACTCAGATATATAATATAAGATATCTCATCAGAAGGGTGTTGAAAAATGAGTGTTTTTTCACTCAAACCCAAGTATCGACTAATGCCTTGATATAGGCTCAAAGGGTGAGATAACTCTCACCCTTTGAGCCTAATCCTTAAAAAATTTAAAAATCCTGTGAATATATTAATATAAACCTGTGTTGATTGCATCATAGACTTCATGATACTTAGTTGCTTTTCTAATTACCTTTTATAGGAAAGGGATGGGATTGTTAATAGTAGGAAGGACAAACTCCACACGGTCCCCTTAATATCTACCGTGGTTAATTCGTCATATCGGCTCACTGTTATCAACTAATTTCATGCTCATCTTGTCATCCTCCACTGGTTGATTACCAGCGTATACCGTTAGCGCAGGCGGGTACATAAAAAAAACCTATTATATATGGGTAAAAAAATAAGTACAGCCTTAATTACTTATTAGCAGTCGTTAATTTAGTTTTTTTCGTTTAAGAACAATTTATTCTTTCGTCTATGGTTTTCATCGACCCAGTTACGAACAATAGGTGTATACGAAATGTTCCGATGACTTTCCCAATACAATAGAATTTCAAAATAATTGAGAGAAACGAGTTGGCAGTTCAATAGATAAGTTTTTTTATACTGCAATGGTGGCAAGTTACCTATATACAAAATTTAGTGCAATAATTTGTTTTCCTTTTACCTATAAATGATTTTAGACATCACCTACTTTTGCACCGGCCCGGTTTTAACTTTAACTAATTAAAGTACGGATAATGCCTCTATGCCTTCATAAAACTCGAAAAGCCGGGCATTTCGAGTCTGCTTATAAGAGGTATATTAGTAATGTCCCATAACTTTGTCTATTTTTTAGGTAAAAGATAGTCTATGTGCGTCCCCATGATACAATCTATCTTCATACCAAAATTCGATTCATTCTGCCGTTTATTTGTGAAAAAGTATGCATAGATAGACAGACACATTTAATACAGTATACATTTCAACAATGTTTGATTTATAACGTGGTACGAAAACACGCGGGGAAATTATGGTAGGATAAATCTACCTATACTTTACTTTTTAAATAAGTACATGAATAGCACAGATATAATCAATAGTTACATACATTTAAAATAATTGACAGTTACGTTCCTCGCGTTTTGTAGTTCACATAAAAAAAGGTCGAAAACTTCGAATATAGTTAAGAAAGCTTTGTAATAAAGTCTACTGAAAGTCAGCTGCGGTTCCGAGGGTGGATTAAGGAGGGACACCTTCATATAAAAACTGCAAAGAAAATAATTTCGTATTAGTCAGTGTTATCTTATAAATGGTATCATTAGCATCTTACATTAAGGTCTCCACCAGTGGTACATTTGATCAAATCTAATTAAACTCAATTTGAGCGAGTAACCTACTAACAAGTAATACCATTAATTCCTCACCGACTAAGTGAAAATTAAAATCCTTACAATAGAGATCTGTTATCACATACCTTTGATCATAGACTTCAATGATTTATTTATATAATAATGCCTCTGTCTCGTTCATAACGTAATTCCTTAGAGAGTATTCATGGGTAGAACCTATGCTTTGTATATGTATCTAATAGAGTTGTTAGTTTGTGTTTGTGTTGTGATTCGTTTGGTTATTTATAAACATAATAAGTAAAACAGTTTTAACACAGGTCACCTATATGAACCTTTTGTATTTTAAATATTTAACATTATATTTTAATAATTTAACTAATTAATAACAATCAGTGGTGTACAAATACTTTTAAGTATATTATGAAAGTCATTTAAAGTAAGTGTATAATATTATGCCAGGTAAAATAAAATCTCCGACACTGAATGAAAAGCGCCAATTCAGATCCTATTCATATATATATTTCAATGGCAGGTACAGTAACAATTGTAATATCATTTTTATTCCTTAATTATTTTTACACTTCATTTAAAGAATGTGAAAGTAAGTTTATTCATTTAGTTCCACTTTCGCGCTCTAAACGATTAGTACGAGCGCGAAAATTGACTTTTTGATTATATACCTACTCCATAGAATACCTTACAAGGTACGTTATAACATTTACCTAATTCTATGAATCAATAGCTACCCATACTTTTTAAAGACAAGTACTTACAAAACCAAGTTAAAAATATAAATTAAAGGTCGTAAACAAAAATAAAGATAAGTAGTGGATATTTAAATGTTAAAAACACCATGATATATGAAATTATTTCATTTGGAACTGTAAGCACAGAAAATATTATGTCGACCACGGTATTTCATTTGAAGAGACCCTTTCTTATTTCTCTGATACATAAAACTTCAGTTATCATAATTCCAATAGTTCAGCACCGAGAAAACCGATTAGAAATATCAAATGATTAAATCGGAATTTTTTGTCTTTACAATAACCACCAGGTCATATTAAAATATTATATCAGCTACAAGCTACAATCGAATTATTTAAAAACAATGTAGCTCTCCATCTACTAACTTCATAAATTATTAGGGTTTATTCACTTACTGATTTACCGCTTTGGCTTCCGCGAAATTGGGTCGTGTCAAGTGTTAATTCACCGCAATGTTAATTGCATAATACTGCTAATAATATAATACTATTTTTTTTATACATGAACACAGCACCACATTAACGGAATTGTCGTAACTTGAAAAACCCAACTTTACACCACATTAAAAAAACTCATACATTTATCTAGTTAGAAAGTTGAAAATTTGCGTGTATTTATGTAGTATTTAATCAATTCAAGTCAAAGTCTAGTAAAATGTTAAATAAGGACTGGGGACCATAATGTATGCCCATACAAACTCATTACATACTTACCAAATAACCCACTTAAATGCCACTGGTTGTCTTTAGTATGTTGTATAGTTCATATTATATTATGTTTCTAATTCCTTAAGTAAAGTCATTAATTACTCATAACGCCTTAATGTAATGTAACAGCAGAAAAAACAAAATATCTATAAGCTATTAGGTGCATGTTTGCATATTTGCTATTAAGTTATGTGAAGTTAAAATATTTTTTGTACACCGGTTTCCAAATCAAAATAGTTATTATTTACGACTAGTTTTATTTAAACTAAGTATATATACCATATGATGTTCAGAACTAGAAAACAAAATACAAAGTGACTTTTGTCGCAATCTAATTGAGTTCAAATCATTATCATAGACGTCATTGGTTTTCTTAAACGCAATTGATTAAAGTCAATTGTTTGTAAACATGTGCCTATATTTAAATAAAAAATGTAAGTATAATTTGATATGCATATTATCTTTTCTTGTACTCCCATTTTTATAATAAAAGGGTATAAGGGTAAAGGATACAGCCATCTATATTGCCAGAGAAGGTGTTATATTCTTAAATATTTATTTAATAAATAATACTAAAACTTTCTCATCTATAGTTTCAAATAAAATTGAGAACAAGAGGGTTCCCACTTCAAGAAAAGAGCCAATATCTATTATATCGGCTTTTACCGCCAGCTGTGCTTGCGATCTGCACATGTTCACAAATAATCATTGGTGAACAACGTCTTTGTGACAGACTTGAACCATTAGGCATAACGGCATATCTGTGCATTATCGACCACATATATCTTGGAGAGTGTTCTGAGCAATTATTCTGATTAATATCAACTGCTGTATTCAATAATGGAACATAGCGCCAGAAATTAAGATACCATCCTGATGATCTGGATGAATTGAGGTCGTCAATATACTTTTTGCCATGTATAACCACATTACGGAATGGCCTTCCAGTGATGGCATTTCTAAATTAATACGATATTAAACCTTCAAGAAAAGAGTTTATTCCTTACTTAAAAGGCTGCCTGACTCACTAGCCTAACATTCCCCTGATGCGGAGAGTGTTTATAGATGGCGATGATCACTTACCATCAGATGTGACGCAACCTTACCGTAATTTCCCATTTTTCCCGGTAATCTCAACGAAATATTAAATCATTTTAAGAGTCAACCGACGACAAGTCCTCTAGTTTTGTTTTCTAAAGTTTTCGTAATTGTTTTTTGCAGTTTTGACAACATTTCTGAAGCAAAAAGGCTATTCTTATAAATGTTGTTAAAACTAATTTCAATTATTACCGTATTAACTTAATTTCTTTCTCATTTTTTATTATTAACTAGCTGTACCCGCGACTTCGTCCGCTTGGAATTTAACTTTAATTTTCTAAAATAAAAGTAGCCTAAGTTACTCCTTGTTACATCAGCTACCTGCCAAAAAATGATTTCAGAGATGAACCGGAACAAACAGACAGACAGACAAAAATTGCAAATAAAATCATTTTGTTGATTGTACCGTATTTATACTCATGTGTATTTAATAAAAAACGGTCATTTCAATATTACAAACAAACACTCCAATTTCATTTATATGTATACAACTCCAATTTATTATATATATTTATAGATAAAGATTAGAAAAATAATAGTGACATTTTTAAGTAGGTATTTATTAAGTATAAAATAATGACTGAATATTACAAAACTTTTCTCATAAATATTTACATTTATTTTACATACTGAACCAGTGACGTATGAGTTCAACTCGCACTTAACTTTCGGCTTTGTTTAGTTACATTTTAAGACTAGGCTCAACAAACAGTGTGGGTAGAAATTTTATTTAAAAAAAAATATTGATCTAATTTGCGTGAATAAATTGTCCATTTATGTTGTTTACTTGATATCTAACTGAATGCTGTCCGCTTACGCAAGAACCGCATCATTAAACTGAAACAATACTAATGGTGTGTATTCCCATTTAGAGCGCGTATACTCAGTGTTAAGTTAGGTATGGTAATTTATGCGCCGTACCGGCGATCCATTTTCAATAAATGACCGCACAAATGTAAGAGTGAACTGCCGCGGTAAGGACATGTTTTCTGTTGTTTAAAAAGTTAATTACGATCGAGCATCTCTAAATGTAAACATGCGTATTCTTCCGTGGAACAAGAAGAACGACGAAAAGAAGTTTCGACTGGAATTCCGTCAGTTGATCACCGGTCGGCGTCGTGTCGCGAAATCAGTCAATAGTGAACCATCGTTACGATCGTCTCTATCCGGAGACAGGTATGTACACTTGTCACAACAAACGGTATTTTAATTAGATTTTAATAGTCGCTAGTATATCATTATTCGTTTATTTATATTGGAATGACAAACAAGTTCAATTATCAAAAGCAGGGTCGAGGACTCATAATGTTATCACTTATCCAAATTTAGTGCCTCTGTTGATGTCTGTTAAAATTGTCGTTAATTGTGTTACTTGGTTTAATAATTAAAACATAGTACAATTGCATAATATATTTACTCGTTTAAAAATCAAAATCTATTGGTAATGTAACATTCTTCATAATATTTATAATCGTAATATATTGCAATGTCGTTTAGAAGAAAAATATCGTTCAAAACTAAAAATCAATTGGAATCTAAAGGAACTCCCTCGACTTCACCAATTTTGAAGAGTGAACAAGACTTTGAAAGAATCAATTCTACTTCAATAACGCCTATACAAGAAGCTAGTGCCGCATTGTCGGAAGATGTTGAAACTCCATCGAACGGGCATTTCAGCGGCAACACTGTGTTGCAATCTGACAAAAATAATGGAAATCTAATGAATAGTTCAGAAGTTTTGTCACCAGTTTCCAGAGATAACGTAGACAATGACATAGAACGTGACCTTGTGCGTTCACAGTCTGAGTAAGTATTGTGACAGAATACCTGCTTTATCTCGTATCTCAGTAAGAGAGTATTGATATCAATACCACCCATCAAAACAATGCATCTCGCATGTACGTAGTCGAGATCGAGAAGCAGCAGACATAACTGTTGGTTTCGTTTCTTTTACTTGTTTATAAATATTGTCATGTGTTCGGTGTATCGTTGCCGGTGAATTTGTGACTACAGATTTAAAAACAATTCTAAGTAAATTGGATAATTTTTGTAACTATAAACCGCTTTTCAAAAGTAACATTTATTCTATTACACATAGTCATCCGTCACCACGTGTGAACAACTTGTTAGTACATATTGTATAATATACCTCTAATATCGACTTAATAAGGCTTGGTTATCTGTATCTCCGTTTTACGCTATTTGCCGACAGGTGAATATTTTGTTACTTATTAACGAATAAATAAAAAATGGAAAATGCAATTTAGCACAAATATGTTTTTCACACGATTTTCTGCAAATACCTACTTAGATCATGATTTGTACTAACACACATAATATTACCTATCCTATGTAGAATTCTCTATACATTTTATATAGGTACATACTGTAATATTATTTTTCGTTAGCCAACTTTGTATTCAGGAAACCAATCTAGTGTATAAAAACAAGCCGAAGATTATCTAGTATATAGCTTATGTTAATTTATATGTCAAAGTATATAAATATATTCCACACCTATAAATTGACAAACAACTCTGATGATTTGAATATTTTTGTACAATGATAATATTTTACTTTATTAAGTTCAATTAATTTCATATCTACTCAAATGTTTGTGTGGGTAAGTGATGCAGTGTTGCATGGCATGATAACATGTTATTTCCCCAGAACACAGTTCCATAAACAAGCGCTCTGCGGTACAATACGCAGAAGTACATACCCGAAAATAAACTCTAGGATGTGGTTTTAGACTTTGTGACAATACGTAGAAAGTCTATGATATTAAGATCGTACCTAACGCAAATATATGACCCGATATTAAATTTCCCCTGTATATTCTAGAAATGTATTTCGACAACATTACAATATATATATGGTACAATACATATCAAATCCATACTCCATTCTACTAAGTAACAGTTAATAATAGATTTTCTAAAATCATACGGTACAGTCCCTTGACAATACATATCTGTGAAATAGTAAGAAAAAGTCCTAGGTGGTTTAGTCTTAATATTTATAAGTACATTACACAATATTACTTTGTGAGTGGGATCCATTGGACTACGAATGGGACATTCAGCATCACCTTTATATTCAAAAGGAACTTATTTTAATGCATGTCTTAAAAAAATACACCAAGGAAACATATTTTGTTTGTTTTTATACTAAGTATATGTATATATTTTATATTATAGACAAAACATGCCTCCTAGATAATCTTTTAAAAAAATATTTGGTACCGTTGGTATGAAGTAAGCACACACATTTTAACATAGGTAATAACATTTATAAAAATATTTTCATAGTATTTACTTACATATTACACTTCCCTGGCATTTGTAAATAGGACCTAATTGTTTTGTATATTGCAAATGTAAGTTGCCCATATAATTGTGCTAATTAATACATTACACTTTTACGACGTTTAATTCCAATAATTGAAATATAAAGAAATAATGTGGTTTTTAAGAGTCCATTATTTTTTACAGTTCGACCTTTATCAATGAACCAAACTAAGTAGATACGTATCAAATCAATTGGTAATTTACTGTGACGACATTCACTAAGAGTTTTTTTTTCGAGACAATTAGCATGAACAGTATTCGTACAATATTAAAGACGCACACACACTATTAATACTTATTAAGCAAGCAATCGATACTTATTTTTACAATAAATGCTTCCGGGACTCATTTAAATTAAAAAATATTAGATTAGAATGTAAGTACCCGTAGTACTAGCTCTCCTTAATTTGAGACTAGATGGTATTATTTTATGGTAGGTTCTTACGACTATTATAATATATTCACAATTTTATTTTCATCAGGTCATTCGCAGTGTCAGACGGTCTGGTGATGGATCCGTTGGCTCCGACAGCGCTCGCCGTCTCCACGGAGCTAATGGAGCGCATCGGTAGTGGCCTCACCTTGCTCAGAGACCATGGCAAGAAGGTACAAAAGGTAAGACTGGTTAATATTGTTCAAAAACTAAATAGTATATTCCTAGTTTTCAAACTAGTAAGTATATAGAGAAACTTCAGACATATGATTTCGTAGGATAAAACCTGGTGTGCACTCGTATCTAATATAGTATTGAGTACACGCTAGCTCTCTTTAGTTTGAAATTAGTAGTACTATGTTCTTAATAATTTATTTAAATTGTTACGAACGAAAATTAAACCCGGAACTTCGGCGCTGTACAACGCGTCTACCACTGAGGCGTGGAGGTCGTCAAGATGTACGCAAGGATAGAGGGGTATAAATAAGTGATATGTCTAGGTATATAACTAAATATATCTATAGATACTATATAGTATTTGTATGAAATACAACGGATATCCAATGTCTTAAGAAGAGAGTGAGAATTTTATAGGAAAGTCTGTTTATCTCTGATATTATTCAAGCCAAGCTAAGACAAATCGGGCAGCTAGTTTAGTCGTTACCAACAAGTTCTAATAAGCTGCCAATGTAATCACGTTACTACTCCGTCTCAAAAAGATCTCAACGATGTTGAGCTCGAGCGGATATAATTTCTGTAGTCCTGTTCATGCTCACAAGCAACGACTACTACTTTACTGGCAGTTTGTTTTCAATTTTATTGAGTTACATTTAATTTAAGAGTATATTATCTGAAGGTACACGATATAAGGATAAAAAAAAAACACTTAATAACGCGTCATAATCCTGAACTTACAAAAAACTGAGTCCTACTGGTTGTGTAATATGATATGAAAAGTAGAAGACTTTATGTAAAAAGTTTGATTGAAGATCGAGTTATAAAATATTGTTCATACATTTTTAAAGCTAATTGATATTTTTTACATTTATAAATCCTCCCTCTTTAATATATAATTGCTGTCCAGTCTTACTAAATAGTCTTTAGTTATAATATGCACTTATATGCATATATACTCATTTATATATACCTATACTTAGTAATAAAAACCCCATTATGATTGCTAACAGTTATTGTTTCCAGTAAAACCCACATCTTGTTTTAGTTACTTGATTACGTCTTTGTGAACATCTATAATTATTGGAAACTTTCCGTGATTCAAAGTTCAGAAAACTAGACACATTAACCGGCTTATAATTTAACTAGACCGCAGATGATCTGGTGCCGTCATCTGCTGATTTGATGATTATATAATTATCATTTCCGATAATATCACAGAGAATTTGATTTCTAGTCGATTCGTAATAAAAAAATTCTCGGATATTAATATTATATTAATGAAATATTTCTGATCGTTCTTTTTATGGTACTATAATTTAATTTAAAAGGCAATCTTCATTTTTATACTTATCGTTTCCACGTTTAGGTTTTATGCTGTATAAGCGTTAACATAATTCTTATGTGACATATTCATCAGAAACATACTATTATACGTTTATATGTGTATTGATTGATATGAATATTTTTCTTTTTTCCTAGTTTGTTTTCAAAAACAGAAAATATGATATACTTAGAAAATCATGGAATTCAATAGTCAATGTCGTATTAATAGAAGCCAAAGACTTGCCCGACGGACCAACAAATGGATCTAGTGGCCTTTACTGTAAGTTCAGGTATGTATCGTTTTATTTTTATATATGGATTTTATTTGTTCTACACACATTCTGTATATACATTTAATAAAGAAGCACATCGTAAATGTTAGTGTCTAGTTTCTCGGAACTGGATTCAAAGTTCAAAATTAATAATACAATTAACAAGATATGCTAAGTAGTATTTGCTTTGTGACGACATTATCTATGATACTGTTATATATGTTAATAATACGTAAAAAAATAAATCACGATTATTTTTCAACTCACAAATCAGCGAAGGTTATAGAGGGACATATTACGATAATTCTTCAGCTTGATGATTTTGTTGATTATTTAAATTCGCCCTACATATGCATTTTAAATTATGTAACATTATGAAAATATAAAGTTCAATGCACTCGCCGATGTATGAACATATACATATATAATATGTTGTGAGCATATATGCTTTACACTTTTAATTATTCGCCTACATGTACTATAGTTTAATTATAATGAAGAGTTTGTTTATTTGAATGAATGAATAAACTATTTGGTAGTCATATTCGTTTAGTATTAGTATCACACTAAGACTCATCTTCTATGAGTCTTAGTGTGATACTAATAACCATCTAAAGAAAAGAGGTAATCGCGCGAATAGCTGATACGATGCGATGCTGTGCAAGAGTGCTCACTATAACTTACACGAACTGAACGTGTAGTTTACAACTAGTATCTAAAGAATAAAAAAGACGTTATATACAATGTCGTTTACATTAATAATAATAATAATCTTTATTTGTCTCAAACAAAATCTAATACAACTGTTGTCCATACAATAATATAATTTAAAACTAATGAATGAGACAAAACGGTCTATAACTCAGTGAGGGCAGTGAGTCCACCCTCTCCGCTATTCTGTTATAGCCTTTATCAGTAGAATAATACAATATGAGATCGACGACGACACGACAGCATATTAAGTTAAGTTCTAAAATACAACTAACATAATAAACATAAAAATTGACAATAACAAGATTACAAACTAATAAGACTGGACAATAACAAACTTAAATATATTTATATAATCTAAACATTATTCCGGATTATTTTATCATATATACCATTAGACGCAGACTTGCGCGTACACACACATATCGACACAACTTAGTACATTACAATACTACGAAACGAGGGATTGGTCTTGCAGCAACCTATTGTATATAAAGTCTTTTTTATTGTCATAAATTCAAATTGTAAAATATGTGCCAGTAGCACATAACCACAGCTTTGCCATATGATTATATGCTCAGAGAAAATATGTAAAACTAAACACTTGGTTAAAGAAGATTGTATATTAACCAAAAAATCTGACCGCAGTAATAATGGTCTTAATATAAGTACGAGTAGTTCACATATCTTAAATACATAAACGAACGAAACTAAGCCACGCAAATTAGTACGTATTAGAAGTAGGTATAGTAAATATCTTTAAATAGATTTTATAGTCTTACTTATTGTAAAGACCCATTTATTGAGCTGCTGTTGGGTACAAGTTCCTCCACAAAAGATGAGGACGTGGTCTATTACATATTACCATGATGATCATGCAGCTGCGTATAAATTTTTCTACATTTTTCTGCATTACGAGAACCTGGAGATGAAAAGCAGTACCTTGTATGTAATATTTAAAAAGTTGGGAGGAAAACTTAAATTATTTAAACTTAAAGTCAAATTTCTTATTTTTTAGTTACTGTTACTTATTATTAAATACTGTCGATATTGTCTTCTTACGTCATCGCTAAAATGGTTTGCTAGGTATTTGATGGTTCCCTGATTAACACAAATTGACAATATGTTTTTTTCCATTTATGTACAATGAAGGTCACTGAGTTAAACATACGTAATTAAATAAATTTATTAGATAAAACAAGATACGTAAACGATGAATACTGGCACAGAAGCTGGGTAGCATACTAGTATATAATATTTTTTATTTAATTATGTTATCTATTTATATTCGTTCCGTTTAATGTGATTGATAAATCAATCTAGGTATTATAGGTGTATAACAGTCCTTACTAGTTATATAAGCACCTTTAATATTTTTTAATAAATATTTATACACGTTTACCTAACTGTACGTTTCAATAGTTAGGAGCTTAATTAACTTTTTGAACCAAATTAGACACAGAAACCTTGTTTACAATTTTATGAATTTGTTGAATTGGTATTTCAAAATTTACCATACATTTTTAAGTGAAAATGTTAATATAAAAAAATAAAAATTATGAATGTGATGTATGAATAAATTATATGTGTATAGCTTCGTTCCCTAAAGTTAATTTTACACTTTCGTGTTTAATATTCATTATTTAAATTATTAACCGGGTCTTAACACGAGTAATTTTATGGCAAATAAAGATATTTACGTCTCTCGACGTTTCGACTAGGTTACACTAGCCGTGGTCACGAGCTGACTGGAGTAACAACGATGTCAATGTAGATAGGTGACAGCAGTTTTTTCTTCATCTACCGTCACTAGATTGTTTAACGAAAGTTCGCGACACACAGCACTCACGGTATTTGTACACTTATTGACTATTGATGCTACTGAACTTTGCTTGAACCTAGTCGAAACGTCGAGAGAGATAAATACCTTTATTTGCCATAAAATTATTCGTGTTATGACCCGGTTAATAATTTAAATTCGTTCCCTAAAAATCGGAATCGGACTATCTCCATAATTTAAAACAATACCAATGATTAGTCCAACCCTTCTAGTAGTTCTCAAAGTATTTCTTTTTTTTATTGATAATAAGTATTTTTCTTTCTCCTTATTTGCAGATTAGGTGCAGAATCCCACAAGTCAAAACTAGTGACTTCAAAGAAACCGACTTGGCGTGAAAGATTTAATCTTTACTTATATGACGACAACCATTTAGACGTCACCGTATGGTGTAAGGGAAAACAGAAAAACTTCATGGGCAGGTACGCCGCAAAGCAATTATTTATACATACTATCACGACTGTTATAGATGGAATACTTAGAGGCACTATTAACTGTCGATGTTGATATGAACATTTAAAGTAACCACATTTCGATTGGTATATTTTGAATCCAACGTGACTGGGAAAGAATTTCGCCTCGCCACAAAAACTAAAAAACGAATTAAATAAAACTAACAGCTGAACGATATGCAAAAGGGCAAACATGTGTAAATAGTATCAATACTTATCTGTGTGATACGCGCGCTGCAGTATACAGGGCTTTTACTTACATTTTACTATTTTTTTCAGTTGACAATGAGTCGAATTAGTTTTAAATTTTTTGGCTAAACAACAGCAGATAATGAAAAAATGAAGAGAAATGTTTTGTGCAGAATTTTTTACTGTACAACTTTTATTTAACACATTTTTCATGTGTCTTACCGTTAACGAGTTATTTTTAAAAAAGGCGTTTATCGTCACCTTTCCTGTCAACTTAAATCAAAATTTTTTTCTGAATATTATTCATGTATTCGCGGATATATTTTATATACTGCGCCAAAAGTAGTCACATCAGGGTTTAATTTAAAATTTTACTGGACTGTACAGTCCCTAATATTTCTGTAATTACACAAATATTAGTAAAATACCTAACAAATAGTCAAATGAAAGACCTAACTTACATTGTTATCCATTTATTCGGTTAAGTATTAATTACATATTTAAAATAACATTAAAGAAACTGCATTGGATTAAAATATATAAATAAATTGTAACCCTGGACAATTAACTCAGATATATATTGTAAATAAATACATAATATACATAGGAGACACCCAGACCGATACAAACAATCAAACTTATGAATACAAATGTTTCGTCCGTGCGAGAAATCGAACCCGCGAGCATCGAAAGCAAAGCGGTGTATTAAACCGCTAGACCACAGAGACCGTCAAATCAAATCCTATATTAGGTATTAGATTATTATAGCTATTAGACTCCAAAGTAGACCTGCGGCTCTGTTACACCATATATAATTCTGCACCGTCATTCAACTTACGTCAACTCAATTGAGCATCGAAAAATATGTCTAATTTCATTTGTAACGTTTGTTTACTGACGTCCGGTAGAAATAAAAACATGTTTAGTACTTCTATAAATCTATACGACCTTGATAGTCTAGTGGTTTTAGCACCACCTTACTTCCGATGGTCGTGAGGTCGATCCTGTTTGTATTTTTAAGGGTGATAATGGATTTGTGCACCATTTTGCTCTAATACGCTGGCGGAACGCCAGTAGAGGATGATAACATGAAGACGAGGTCTTGTTTTTGACATTTAAAGCATTCTATTACAGTTGCAGCAAATCATGCTAATATGTGTAAATATTTTTTTATGGAATTATATTAGCAAACGATCTGATGTCCCACCGATTACAAGCGGCAATCTGTAACCACAGAGATCGTCTATAGTAGATACATACAAGCTTTTAGCATTATAATAATAATTTTCATATTCTACGTATATACTCTAAGGTTACTGCACTGAGATATAATCAAGGCCTACAACTTACTTTTTTAAATTATAAACAACAGTATTGGAATAATATCTGTTTTATAAATAAACATACTTATGACTTTACATTTTATTCTTTTTATTTAATTCGATCATCCATTTAAGTAAAATATCTTACAGCAATGTGGCACTTATCACATATGTAGAGTAAGAAAGCAATTTTTATTAGTAATAAATACTTATAAGAAACTGTACTTCCTTAATTATAATATTAGTAATATATAATATAAATATGATCTTAGTTACTTTCTGTGATTGATTTTCTAACACTGTCATTGCCTAGTTTAATACTTTTATTACAATGCCGCAAAATATAACGTCATGCAATATGCGATTGTTAAGTGAGATTTTATAGTTAATAATTATGCTGTAATGACTAGAACATGCCAAAGATTAAGGGTCAAGTAGCATAAATTTAATGATAGCTAATTATGCAGAAACACATATAGAGCAGTGATACTATTTATTTGTTATAATAATTAATTTATCTATCTTTAAATCTTCATAAAACTTATGGCATCATAGGCTTAGGAAAAAAATAATAATAAAAGGATTTATTTATGTCGCGAGATCTAACGGTAGTCGTATTATCTTCAAACGTAACCCGGATGTACATTTAAGTTAATAAATAATAATAAATAAACAACCTTAGACAATGTACACAGCGTCATTTAGTCCCACGGTAAGCAGGGCTTGTATTATGGGTATTAGACAACTGATATAAATAATTAGATATATATATTATATATCTGTAAATATATACATAATAATTACAATTAACTCAGATATATATTGTAAATAAATACATAATATACATAGAAAACACCCAGACCGATACAAACAATCATACTCAAGAATATAAGTGTTTATACCGTGCGAGGAATCGAACCCGCGCCCATCGGAAAGCGTTGTCCTTAATGGCAAGACCACCGAAGTCGAAAAAGACTTTTTAATTTTGTTCCATATGTACATAGAGTGTCTAAAGTAATTAATGTTAATTTCAGGTGTGCTATTGACCTTTCGAACCTGGAGAAAGAAAAGACCCATGACGTATGGCATGACTTGGAATGTGGCTTTGGTAGTATACATCTTCTGATTACCCTCAGCGGTTCTATCAGAGATGCTGACAGTATACCTACCACACAAATTGTTAAACACGAGGAATTCCCTGAAGAACAATATGTAAGTTTTATTAGTCAAATACAAACATACATTTTACCAAGACACACTTTGAACAAAGTTACTTCCGAGTCATATGGATGTTAATGGAATGGTGCGCCTGCGCTAACGGTTTACGCTGGCGGGGCACCAGTGGTGAATGATAGGATTAGCACGAGGTCAGGTCAGTTACCACATCGTTGTAAATTCACCATGAATTAATCACGATGGCTTCCAGGGGGAACCGCGTGGAGGTCAACTTGATATGATACACTACTAGCAATGGGTTTAGTCCATATTACTAACAATCCCTTGCCCCTCAGTTACTTGCGAGTCAGTTACACGCAAGTGGCGCAGGCAATTCTGTCTCATTTGTTTTTGTCATCAAATAACTTGCTTTGTAAACTGTGTGTTCAGAGAATTTAGAGTGAAAGATATATGACAAGGAAATTACAAGGTGACTTTTGATACCTTAGTTGTTAGAAATGGGAAAGTATAAGGTATCACGGATCTCACATGATAGGACAAATGTTTACGGTACTGTTCATATATAGATATATGGTACAGGCGACGATTACGACTTTTTGCTATTCTATTTATAAAAGAATACAAAAATGTAAGAGTAGTTGTTTCTCAATATCTATTTTTACTCTAATGAAAATACAATAACTACACTTAAGGAAGGATGAATAAACATTGTATCTTACATTTAAGGAAAACATTCAATATTGTACATTTATTGATTAACAGATCATAAAACAGTAGGTATACCTACTACTTAATCATTTAACATTGTTTCTAAGAGTGTTTGTTTTTAAAATATTTGATTATAAAAAATTAATATTCTGTATGAGATTGAATAAATTTTGTTGTATCTATACGGCATTTGTTACGTTAGGTATACAATCGATTTTTATAAAATATAATAATTAGTTTTTAAATATTTTCCTTTTAATTATAATTTTATCCAACCTGCGTATTTATCATGAACAGACCTCTGACTGTTGTCGTAAACGATTGTCTCATTTACGATATATTGGTACCTAATTCATTTTTTACTGCGCATTTCCATTATTTTATTAGAGGTTAAGAGGTTAGGTAACAATTACTTATTGTTCAGTGTTGTTTATTTGTTGCTTGTCATTTCCATCGGCTTTGCTCGCGCAGATGTTTAAAATTCCTCTTTAATTAGTTATCTTAAATTGGTTTATAAATTCTTTTATTTAGTAACCTCTTTCACAACAAATCGGCTGTACTTGCTCTGCTTGGGTTAAAACGTAAAATAGCATGATAATAATTTTATATCATTGTTCCAAAAATCTCTTATACTCCTTGCTATTCTATAGTCTAATCCTTAAATATGACATCCTATATAATGACTTACTAGAAATGGTCCGTTGTAAAATAATATAAAATGGCCCGTGGTTAAATACTGAATGTGTATGTTAATCTGTAAAAGGAATTACTAAATTTCTTACGGGAACATTAGATTTTAGTTTTTAGTAGATTTTGTTGCGAGATGTTTCCACAGGCACCTGTCTATCCTATTTCAGTCGCCTAGCAGCATTCTGATATGAAAGACGAGATACGGCAGTTACAAGGTGCATAGGCTTATATATTACATATATTAGTCCTCAGGAAGGGCAACATAGGAGAGTATAAAACATGTGATTTCCATGGTACTGAACATATGCTTGTTTTCCTTTCTAATAAAATAATAAACGACGAAGACAGAAAGTGAAAACAGTCAGCAAACTGCTAGTTTTATTATTATTTCAGATTTGGAAACTGAGTAATTGGAATGAAGTGGGAAAAATGCTGGTAACGGTGTACGGTGCCAAAGGGCTGGGTTTAGGAATTAGCGGCAAAGCGGACGCCTACTGTGTCCTGGAACTAGATAATTGCAGGGTGCAAACTCACACAGATCGTGCCACATCGGAACCTAACTGGAATAAAACTTACTCTTTGTAAGTACTTAGTAATAATATTTTCATTATATAAATACAATATATATATAGCGTATAAATGTATGTTACCAGATATTAAAGAGGCTTTGTAAAGCGTTGTCGTGATAAAAATAACACTTGATCATGCCCATGTTTCGCAGGGTATATTTAAATTGCCACGGTAGAGAAAATAAAAATATAAATTGAAGCACAAAGTTTTTTACGTCGGTCAACTTTGAACCTACGATTTTTGGAATCTAAGTTGAGGTAGAAAGCTAATAATCGACGATGCACTCTATATTACTGCATAATCGTACTTTATTCAATGTTCATAATCCTTTTGTTCTACAGAGATCAGTAAGATAATATAATAATAAAAAAAGGTATATGACGCATACCAGCCACGTTTTATTTCTAGATTTCGTTGTCATTCTATTATACATATAGGTACTAAACGATAGTTGTGTAATATGTTTATTTAATATTACATTTGAAGAATAAGCTTTTATAGCTTACTGGTGAATAAACTATAATTAATTAAATTACTTAACATAGTGCCTAATACACATTAGGTTAAGAAGAGATATACATAACTGATCTATACCTATATATTTCTACGTATTTTTTTACTCTATCTATCTATCACAGCATATCTAACGACTTTGGTGGAGTATCGATTTAGCAGACTGCCTTACTTCTGATGGACATGGGTATAATTCCTTGCAAAGTGTAAAAAATGTATATTTATGAGTACGACTGTTTCTATAGATCTGGCTGTTTTCTATGTCTTTCCAAAAAAACTACCAGTTGTCTAATATTATGGGAGTAGATGACGTAGTGTGAATTATCCAGGATTATTATTATTAATATTACCTGCCAAACCAAGTCCTATGAATACTGTATTTATCAAAAAATATGATTTTTAAATAGGTCGCGTTTGTAGGCAAGAATATCTTCTATACCTTCTAAGTTTAAACCGGAAATTTATTACACAAGACTTGCCACTTTTTATCACAACTTCCAGTTATTAATAATGCTCTTAATATACTTCATTATGTGTTGCCTTGACTGTAACATGTAACTATTGTTTTGAACTTATTAACGCGTAGTGCTTGTCTATCTTTAGAATACACTTATAGCATTACAATGTAGACTAATTTGTTATAGTAATATTAGACACAGTGTCAATGAAGTGATTAATACAAGATGTAATTTTCAACTTAAGTAAATTTCTTGTTTTTTTTTATTATTGCTTGATCTAATTTTATACATTTTTTATCTCAATCTTTGACACTTACTATTGAATATGACGTCTGCAAACCAAAAGATAAAGATAATTGTTTACCTAATACAATATTAAAATGATTATTCATAACAACAATGATATAATAAACAGCAATTAATTACTTAATGTAAAACATCTTTAGACTAAAAAGACCTTGTTGATTCCTGTTGTAATTCATGTTGCTGATAAGTATACAAACTGCTATTAAATGGTAATAACAAGGAAAAGATCAAGATTGTACCTTCTTGACCTTTCGATTCGTGCCAAAATTGATAATACGGAAATATAATAAATACGAGTCAAAAGTCGCCGATGACCTTCATCGAAATATATATATATATATATATGCATTGTAATATGCATGTATGCTTGTTACTATCCCAATAATACATAAACATTAATTAGACATAATCTAAAAATGAACTCTATACTCATATACGTTCCTGTGCTAAAAACAAGTTTTTATACGTTGACCTTCATACGTCATGAAGTTCAGACAACTGAATTTATATGAATACAATAAAATCTTATAGATCAATAACTATTTATTAAACTGAATATTTTTCACCAATAAATCCAAAGTAAAATAATAACACCAAGAGGTTATATATGTAAAATGATAGATGTAAACTACATATAATCCGTGATTTTCAAAATAATCAATAATATTTTTTTTTATATATAAAATTTTGGTACGCCATTTTGTATTGGTAATTCTGTTCAACTTTTAAAAATTGAAAAGGTTTCAAATATTCAATTCTGCATTTATGATTAGAACTACGTTATCGTGTTAGTTTATGTTTACCTCCTCATAGGTTTAGCTCCTCTTAGGGCGCTACCATACCAGAGACATACGAGACTATTGTTTTACACGCACGAAAACATGCGTTACTTATTTAACCGCACATATAACTTATCTACAATGTATACATGTGTATATCTATACGAGCAGCGAATATACATACATCATACATCACGTATATATATGTATATGCATATCTACGTGTATACATCAATAATTACAAATTTTAGAATGGCAGTGCACGAGAAGTACTGTATACTTTCATTTTAAAATATTCGCCTATACATTAAAGTATTTACATAATATGGAGCAGATGTTCCAGTGGAGTTGTCTCGACAATCTTGCTAGCGGTAAGCTTAGAGTTTACTAAACACTTCGCTGGAATACGCTCCGAAATCGCAAGTGTGTTGTCTATACTTTTTGTACATGGTATAAAACCAGTACGTAGTTACGACAAAAAACTTTAATAGAGTTGGTGATTCGTGATTCGATTACAATAGCATAATTTTTAGTTTAAAATGATAAATGACAATTATTACCAATTTTTAAAACAGTATTGCAAATTTGTATCTGATATAAATAGTATTAGATGAACAAAGTATACATGTAAAATTGTAATTTAGATCTCTCAATCTGAATGATGTAAAAATAAAATGTAAAAAGAATTGGAACTATATATAATCAATGTCTTTTTTTATGTCTTCGGAATGAAAAATAATTGGAGGACAACATCTTTGCCTATAACGTATATGGTAATGTGATGTAACATCATGTTAGCATGTGACACCCGCGATACTACTCATGTGTTGCAATTCCAGAGAACTAAGATGTCATGCTTCTTATCCCGTAATTTCACCTTAATCTGTACCTTTCAACCTTAGCACAGATTACGAAGCAAGCTGCTTGTTGGTGAAATAGGTGAGATTGATGTAACCCTATGACCAATTACCTATAGTGTTTCTACTTCATGTAGGTTTATTTATACATCCTACCTCAGAATTTACGTGAAGCGTTTTTGATGATTTTTTTTAACGCTAATGCTTCTTATAAAGTCTGACCAATATTTTTGATTAATTGTTAATACTGCGACTGAAGTCCATTTGTAGCCTGAACACCTTATTATTAAGATAATAGATAGCCTATGTCCGTCCTCGTGATAACATCTAATTTCATATCAAATTTCATTAAGATCCGTTTAGGCGTTTAGTCTTGAAAATATAAGACACAGACAGATACACTTCCGCATTTATAATATTACTAGCTACTCGCCCCAGCTCCGCCCGGGTGTACATGTATTATAACATATAAACCTTTCTCTTGAATCACTCTATCTATTATAAAAACCGCTTCAAAATCCGTTGCGCAGTTTTAAAGATTTAAGCATACATAGGAACGGAGAGACAGCGATAGCGACTTTGTTTTATACTATATAATGATAATGATTATAGATGTGATAGGATCATTTCGCATTCGAACTACGACCTCGAAAGCGGGCATCAACTTTGCACCACCAGAGGGATTTGGTTGAAACTATTATACCAATAATAATAATCACTACCAGTTTTATACTTATATTTGTTTATCTATATTTAAAATAGAATTGTTTTTATATAGATTTGTTTTATAAACACTTTTGTCTCTAAACTCTGTTCTAGTAAAAGTCTACAAGTAGAAAAAATAAAAAAATGTACACTTATACTGTAAAAATCGGTCAATCCGTTTCGGATGAGTATGCTAACTAACATTGTGACACGAGAATTTTATATATGAGTTATGGCGAACGTAATTGGCTAAATAAACTGAATAAATAAAGTGATCCCTAAAAAATAATGGTCCCAATACATTGATCATGAAGAATGTAAAAATTCAAATAGATTTTTTCTATACATGTATGTAATATGGCATAGTTGTCGTTTCATTCCTATATTACCAAACAAATTAATTTATCTTATCACAGATGCTTAACAAAAAATATTTTATAAACAGTAACAACTCATTACCCGGACCTATTGATAATATCGTAATACTTTGTACCCTTGAAAATTAATCGTACTGAAATAGTGAGATAACAATACAGATGATTGCTTAATTTTTTTATGTACACATATAGCCTACGGGATTGATCGGTTTATAAGTCTACTTATGTGATGTATATTATCAAAGATTAATAAATATTCCTTTTAAATTTTATTAAGATTATTCGACATGTATTTTATAAGAGCGTATCTATAAAGTAGCGTACTAATATTTTAAATACAAATATCTGTCAGTCTTTATTCATATTTTCACAATAAAACGGTTAAACGGATCTTATTGAAGTTTAAGATAAATAATATAATAATAATAATGAAGAAACGGCTAATTACATATAATTACAACAATATTTATATATTTTTAATACATAATAATGGAATAGTGCATCCGCCTGCGCAAACGGTTTACGCTGGCGGGACACCAGTGGAGGATGATAAGATGAGTGTGAGGTCAGGTAAGTTAACCCATCATGGCAAATTCAACAGGAATTTATTATGTTATTTTTAAGGGGTACCGCATGGAGGTCAGCCTGATGGTACAGTACATTGTTAGTAATGGGGTTTATTAGCCACGTTACTAACAATCCCCTTAATTGTATTGGATTTGGATCTTAATGAAATTTGGTATGGGAATAGATTTTTTTATGAGAAGGGTCAAGGGCTAGTAAAAAAAAGGCAAAATTGCCGTCAATAGCTTTATAAAACTGTAGTGTTTATTTTTCTGCCTGTGTACTTCTTATTGGAAATAACTTCCGTAGATACTTTTTTACACAAAGCAATGTCATGCGCGACTGGTGGCTAGTGTTATCTTAGAAAGATAAAAAAGTGGTGTAAATCGTTTTGTGTTGTGTTGCGTTTAATTTGTATCTTATTACACAATCGGATTATCGTTATTTTGCCTACGTGAATATAAAGAAATTATTGAAATAAAGTGACAGATTTATAAATAGAGAAAATATATAAAAAAATGACATTCAAAACAAGAGGGTACTCTCTTGTTTGCCCTCTGTTCCCATTGTTCATAATACTCCTATATAAAATAATTGAGCTCTGTTGCTAAGATCAGTCTGTACCTAATGCGCATTTGGATAATTTAGAAAAAATAACACTATAAACACACCTTCATTGTAATTATAATTAAGTCGTGTTTTACTTATACTTGGTAATCTACCTGCATATTTTTTATTTGTCTTATGTGCTCTAGTAACTTGGTAAAGGTAATTTCTCAATCAAGTAATATATACACTTAACATTCAGATTGTCAATGTATTTTTTTATTGAATCAAAATCCACTTTTACATTTCAGCACCGTTAATGATATTACATCTACATTAGACATCGGCGTATACAATGAGTCAATTATCAGTGGTATGAAAGGAGAAACATTAGGAAAACTCTCAATACCCCTATTAAGGATCAACAATGATGAATTAAGATGGTATGCCTTAAAGAACCGCTCAAAGAAATCCAGCGCAAAGGGCAACTGTCCTAGAATTCTTCTGCAAATCTCTATCATTTGGAATCCGGTAAGAATCTTTACTTGCATTTTTCAAGTTACACTTTTTACTCTCTTATTAATAAAAAACTCAAAAGTTTTCTATAATACTCAAACTTTTATATTTCCTAACCGCACACCGAGTGCACCCGCCTGCGCTAAATACAGCATATACACTAGCGGTACAACATTGGAGGAAGAATATGAAATCAGGACAGTTAGCAAATCAAGGACAGTCCTCTCTTGTTTCAAGGGGGCTCTGCGTGGAGTCGATCTCCTTGCATGGTAAATTGATAGCAATGAGGACTCCAGTCTCGACTATTAACAATATCTACATGCCCTGTACCCATTTATACTCTATTACTTCATGTGTTATAACTGTGGTTTAATTGTTTTCCTTATTCTTATTTTAAGGTAAAAGCATCGCTTCGGGTCTTGAGTCCAAAGGAAATAAAATACATTCAAAAACCACCAAAATTCAATATACCCTTGATCTATAGCAATTTGAAATTTATCAAAGATACATTCAACGCTCTGTATATCAGCAATGAACATTACAAGTAAGACATTTACCACATATATTTAGATTTAATTCAGATTGTATTCTGTTTTTTCAGAATGTCTTCCGAATTCTTTTAACTCTTTTATTTGAGTGTGTTCGTTTTTTAATAGTCGAAGTTATACCTAGCTTGTTACTGTCACCAAAATCTAATTTATCAATCTCTTGACAACAGCCTATACATATATAAGTATACAAAATAAAATATAAACGTAATTTCCAGGCGAGTGTTCGAATGGGAGAGCAGGGAGAAGTCTACAGTCGCTTTGATTGTATGGCTAGCGTTCTGGTACTTCTTCAGTTTTTGGATGACTCCTCTACTATTACTTGCTCCTTTCCTGTACCAGTGGATAAGTCAGCGATACTTTAGTAGTAAGTTATTACCCTTAAAAATAATATTCCTCCTAAGACTTTAAAAATATTCAATAATTTGTTCTGGATGTATATTAAGTATAATGACAAGAGTTAACATCCGCCTCTCCGGATTACATCGTCTGCAATAGTACTTTTTATCATTGTTATTACAATGTATCTGTTATTCGCGACATCATCTTCTATTCTTTTTTTATTCATTTATAAATATCAATTGGACACCACGGAATATCGTATATAATGTTAACATAATAATAATATCTATCTTGATATCCAATTAGGATCAGTTCAGCCCATTCTATAGACATACAGAAGCTTTAATTAAACTTTCGCATTTAGAATATTTTTGAACTACAAATACTTTATATAGTAATTTTATATTTCGTTGACGAAACAATATAAATTTACATTACAAATCTAATTATCCCAAAAACCTACGAAACGGGTATTCATAGTTAACATCGTTGAAAACAGGGCCCCGTCCACATCAAAACGGCCGCAAACTAGTTTCACGTCACGTTCAAACGATAAAATTATATTCTTATTACGGTGATTCAATCGAAATAAAATAGACACCATAGAATAGTTACAGTTTCGTAAATTTTTTAATTCATTAGCAACGAACAGAATCAAAATTATAGCGATTTGTATTTTTTTTCAGAAAACAATGCATTGATTTTATTAAATTACTCGGATGATGATGTATCAGATGAGGAACTCGAATCACATAAAGTAAGCTTTTATACGTTTCTATCTAAAATTACCAACGAAGGTGGCAATTAGTGGAGAATTAGCATAAGTAGTAAAATTTATTTCATTTTTACTTTTCGTGGCAGAGATTATGTAATGGAAATACGCCGTAATTAATACTCCGCTCCATATTGTTTATGTCTGCAAATAAAGAAAATGATCATATGCAATACAGATTGTATTGCATATGATCATCGTCTGGTGAGGCAAAGGCTGCGGCTATCAGCATTACAGTAAATCCGAAAAAAATTGCATATGATACTGGACTTGATGTTGTTTATTTTTACAAATGGCCAATTGTTACCACTTCCATAATCCAAGTACTTTGTTGGTTTGTTTCCTATAACTAGTGGTATCGTAATAATGAAATACTTTTTTATAATATGTAAATATTATAAAAAAATGTTTTTTGGAAATTGTCCATTATTGGAAACATGATTTGTAGAACCGATAACTGATATGAAAACTGTTGTATTGTATATTAATAATTCCGTATCTACAAACAATATCAGATAGTTATGTATCTGCGTTATCGACATATAGGTATCTATTGCAGTTCAATATCGATAAAATAATTATGTATGATATTTTTGTATTATCTGTAGCTATAGCTAATTACGTAACTCATTTCTTGGCAGGATGATAAAACGCTAAAAACTCGATTATACGGACTCCAAGACCTCACGTTTACAATCAAGAATAGCATCGATTATCTCGTATCTGTGTTTGAAAGATTAAAAAAGTAAGTATTTTTAAAATATGACTCAATTTCAATTTCTTAAAACTTCCATTAACTGAACATTAGATTTACTCTCTGTTGCAATTTAAATATGCTTCGCAAAATTAACTGGGTAGGATGCTGCATTTACCAAACCAAAATTACTAAACGAAGAGCTCGTTCTAACTAACCAAAACGCTAATAACAAAAAAAGTTCTAAATAACTATGTTTTTATGATATTGAAATATTAAAAATCCTAACAGTAATCAAAACGCGATTACAGAGGTCGCAGGCATTTAAAAATTTATGTGTAAAATTTAATTATGACTTTTTTTATCTTCACTTATTTATTTCAGTTTATCAAATTTTACGGTGCCCTACTTGACGTACCTGGCTATATCTGTTTTGATGTTGTCCTCCGTCGTTCTCTATTTTATTCCTGTAAAATATTTATTTATGGCTTTAGGTAAGTATCACTCTTGCGTTCGATTTCTTTCTTAAAAAAAAGAAAGGCTGGATAGAAATAAATGTTTATCGCAGATTTTTAGAGCTAAATCTATGTACATTGTACATTGTTCAACTTTCTGCGTTTGTTGTACACATTAATAAACATGTAATAAATTCAGTATACATCTTTTGTTTCACAACTCTACATTAAAATTTTAACACTGTACTATATTTTATAATCCAATAACAGTCATTTATATATGAAATAGTTCATTAAATATAACTTTGTAATAAACTTATTGAGATGGCTAATATGATGAAAAGGAATAAATTTGTTTCGATTCCTTTCAGGTATTTATAAGTTTATGCGTAAATTGCTGAATCCAAATAGAGTTCCTAACAACGATTTGTTGGATTTCATTTCTCGAGTTCCTGACGATGAGATTGTGGTAAGTAGTACATAATGATTTATACAATTGGTATGAATAATATATTTCGTTTACAGAAGTATACGAAGCACATAAAATATGTCAATTGTCAATTATTGTCTGTTTTCCTCAATTACTTATATTACAAATAAGTTACTTTTTTATGTGACCCCACTAACATTAAGCAAAAAAAAGTTCCAATATGTTATAGCAAACAGAATACATTTATTTAGTAATAAATATTATCTTGTCTGTAGTAATACTAATAATATGCCCATATACGTTTGTTGTCCCTAAAGGGGTAGTCAGGCACTGTCAATTTTAGTCGTTGTATTGAGGCTTAACCCTTGACATGCCCGCATTTCACTATATTTTAATTCAAGGTTTATTTTTATTATATTAAATTCCGTTTTTTTAATTACAGAAACAATGGCGAGAGTTGAAAGTTCCGGAACCGAATCTCAGTAGATCTGGCTCGACGAGAAGAAAAGATGTACAAGGAGAGAATTGAAGCATTTTTGATGTACTGAATGTGGATGACAACTCCTTGTAAAACTCTGTGATACAATATTATTATTGCTATTGGTGCCATAAATAATGGTCTCATTAGTATAATCTCAAGCGTGTGAATTTATAAAATTGTTAAGTTTCTAAGACTTGTCTGAATAGAAGTGGAAGACGTTCAATTTTTATACAAACATATCTATTGAATCTCAAATAATGTTATGTACCTAAGTGTTTATGAATAAAATTTTCTGATTTTTTCTACAATGTTATATCTAATGTATATCTACAGTACGTAAATATATATTCTCTTATCTGTATCCACAATTTCTCACAACTTTATAAATCCTCCTGATATTTTTTTGTATAATAATTGACTCTAAATAACATATAAGTTATAAACAAAAAAAAATTATATATAAACTTACTTATAGTAAAGGACTTTCATAAAATAAAATAAAAATACTTAGTATAAGGTTATTTCAATTACTAATTATACTGGCACTCTTAAACAGAATAATGAACATTTCGTGTCACAATGAACCGATAAATAACGTATGATGATGTAAGGTAATATTACAGTACCTATAAGGCATATTACATCTTAAACTACCGGAAAAGCAACGTTGGACTGACATCATGGGCTTCCCATGATAACATGATGTCTGTAGTCCAAGTAATATGAGGTATTTTCTTCTTGCCATCAGCTGGACCGTCCTCAACTTGGTTGCGATTCTAATTACATGATGAATATGTGATAGCTGGTTCTGTTAGGTACAACAAACTCTCCTCAAATTCATCGTCATCCCTGTATGTGTAATTCGATTAAACTATTGTAAATAAATGTATTATTGTATATCTACATAAACAGATAACAAATATTATCAAAAATCTGCACTAATATATACAGTCAGGCGCTCATTCATTTTGCTAATAGGTATGTTACCTTCCCTTAACAAAGGGTTGCCGACAACTTGCATAGATGATAATAAATAAAAAATAAAGAATATATTAATTATAAAAAAAAAGGTGAAATATTTTTAGGACTTTCCTGCTTAAAGAAAACAATTTATAGATTTTTGTTTACACTTTAATTCTTACCTATTTTTTTAATATCTTTAACAATACACTGGGAATACCACAATATGTTTATGCAAAATTATAATAAAACATTTATATTTTCTAAATATTAGAAACTTGAATCACATTCATTATTATCACAAACTGCTAAATGATCTAGTTACGGGATGTTTAGCTACAATATTATTATGATCCTTTTGCTCCGGCTCTGGTACATTTAATTCCTTCCAATGTTTCTGCAATAGAAACACGTTCATTAGAATATCAAATCTATAAAATAAATTATTTTATACTAGCTGTATCCCGCGGCTCTGCCTGAAATACACCCTGTGTTAGCCCGGACACATATTTTTGGGTTTCGTAAGATAATTTACGATAGGTCGTTTATATTACAAACAAAAATCAAATCTTTCTTCATTGAAATATACAAAATCTACAAATAATTAGCATACAGTGAGACAATTAATAAAATAAATTTAACTCTAGACAATATTTTTATCCTTTATTGCAGTTGTAACTTAAAACAATATACATGAATAGTCTATGATTTTAATAAAAAAAGATAGATAAAAACTTCTAGGAAAATATCTATCACACTCTAACAATAGTAGAATCGTCGTCTGTCTCTATTCATACAAAGTAAAGTCAATATACAGCCCCGTACCCAGTAATTTCACTCCAATATCTTACTTATCTTCTAAACCTGATCACCGCTTACGATGCACACAAGTTGATGGTGTGTGAGACACAAGTAGTCACGTAAGCGAGTTTGTACAAAGTCTATCACGCTGATAAGTACAAAGATTTTACAGTAATTATAGTTATATGTGATATACATATAACTATAATTACTGTAAAATTTACTTACCAATTGTTCGTTGTCAGGTATCCTTGAAATAAAATCCAGTAAATCGTTATTAGGTGTCCTTTCTGGATCTAAATATTTTCTAGTAAACTTATAAATACCTGTGAATTTATAAAAGCATAGTTATGTTAGATATATGAGTACCTTTACATTAAAAACTATCGATTAAGCGTTTCCTCTAACAGGTTTTTTCGGTTTATGTCATTGAAATTCAATGACACAGGATAAAAGGTATGGCATCTTAGTCCCCACTAAGTCCCCACTAACTTTTATCAACTTGTATATTTTACAACCTAATCACACCATGCAACTGAAATAAATTACAAAGCAAGCTGCATAGCGGCTGAAATACGAGTATGTGAGAATGTGGTAACCACGCACTACTAAAACTATGTAGAGTATGTATGAATGGTACAATGGTCATGGATATATAACTTACCTAAGGCAATCATTATTAAATTAAATGGTATTATGTATAGTCCAACTGATGCTATGACCAAAAACAACATGACTAAATAACTTATAAACGGCACTTCAAACGTCACCAAACTAAAAGAAAAATATAAAGTTAAACAGATAAAATGTCCACAATTTGTTATAAATACTGTCTTATTATTTATTACAATAAGATATTAATAATGTTAACACGGTTAATAAAAACTTACTTGTATATTCTTTCCAACATACTAACAAGGTACTCTACACTCTGCGTTATAGTAATTGTCATTTCCGGTAGCCCTTGCATTTTTGCGGTCATGGCTTTTATACTTAGCTGAAAATTAAACTTATATTGTAATAAATAAAAAATAGCTTGTGTGACTTAATTTATATCATTTATAATATCTTATAGCTATTAAATATCACTAATATAAAAATTATTAAATTCAATAAATTAGATATGTATATGTAATTACAGTTTTTCAAGAGTAACCCATATAGGGTTTCCACTACCGATAAAAAACAAAAGACAATCATAAATAGTAATTGATCCACGAAGTTTTTAGTGTCTACAATATTTGAACTGACGACCTTTCTGTCTTAGTCACAGTAGCAAACAACTAAGTCAGTAATGTAACGCGCTGACAACCTAAATCATAAATACCTTTTCATTGTCGCTTACTTCCGGTTGATCGTCAACATTCTTGTTAGAACCTTTACTTCCATTTACCAGACCTAAAAATATATCATTATTTAGTTGCATTATCTAAGTTTTGTAATGCCGATGTCCAGTGTCATGTGTTATGTAAAAAACGAGGTTTATTATTAGAGCAAAAAAGGCAAAAGAGAATTTTTTTTTTGTCTGTCTGTGTCTGTGTGTACACACATCAAACAAAAATTACTACATGAAATTTGATACAGTTTTCACCTATGTATTTTTAAATTAGAGGTTTAACTTGTACTATGGACTCCATGTTATAGCAAGAAAATATATTATTCCGTGCGAACCAAGAGGTGATCGCCAGTAATAAATAAGATATTTGGGGGAGGCCTATGTCCAGCAGTGGACGTCTTCCGGGCTGCGATGATGATGATGATGATGAAATAAAAGAATAAAATTACTCTTGTTCCGCCGATAAACCCAATAGTATATGAAGGGCAACAATAAACAAAGCGGTGTTGTCCACAATTTAAAATAAAACCAGAAGAATATCCATATGGCCAATGCGACAAACGACAATTCCTGATTCTCCCACTCAAATAACTGCCTGAAAATAAAACACAATAGTTAAATACATTATAGTATAATTGACGCGTTCAAATTGTTATTTTCGCATAAAACTTATTTAAAAAATGTATTAAACTGTCATTTTCCAAATGTATATCTTGTCTAATCTACACAAATAAATACTATAAGTATAATAATAAAACCTAATCGCATGTGGTCATATCCTAAATAGTATTAGTAAATAAATGATCTTATGGAATGGCAAACAGACTGACAGCATACCTGATGGTAAGTGGCAACCGTCGCGCTTCGCCTACCTATAGATATCTTATGAGTTTACATTTCGGAAGACTGAGATGACATACCTCCTTACCCTGTAACATTACTGCCAGAATTCACCTTTTATAGGCAACAGAAACACTGCTTATGAACCTAAAGGATAGAGAAGACAGAAGTGCCTACGCAGACGAGTTTACACAAAGTCGTACCTCGGCAGGTTATTTTTTTTTAATCTGTATTAAAACAAAAATAATTACTTGTAATATTCATTAGCTTGATACAAGGCATCAAACAAATCTCTTATAAATTCCAAGTTGTTGTAAATAAGGAATACGTCGAATTTGGGAGGTTTTTTGAGGTATTTTATTTCCTTTGGCTGAAACATTTTGACTGCCGCTTTCACCTACAAAACAAAAAAGCTTTATACTCTCAATCTAAATTAACAAGATCTCACTTCTCCCTGTCCCTAAAAAAATTGTACATATGTTTGCATATCTATTACTATACTGAACGGATTTCAATTAAATTAGGTACCTACTGGTTTTATTAAAAGAAACTGTAAAGAATATTGTTGCAGGTTACAGCTAGGGAAATCTATTATTAATTTTATAAATAATAATTATGACTAATTATATATATATCACTATCTACAATCTTCAACTAATCTATATTTTAATTTGTCTAATTTATCTGTCTAAGTACTTATTAGTTAGTTTATTATGCAATATCATATTTAAAGTCCATTTATTACTCATTCTAAGCATGATATCATAGCATTATTATATTAAGGCTACTAACCGGATTCCAAAATATAGATATTTCTAACAAAACTCTAGGACAATTGCCTCTAGCAGCAATCTTATTGGATTTATCTTTCAAAGCGTACCAGCGCATCGTTCCATTAGCTACCCTCAATAATGGTATAGAAACTCGTCCTAAACTCTCATTTAGTATAGTAGTCAAAAGAGAATTGTCGTACACTTTAAGATCTAAACATGTTGTAATATCCGATATGTTACTGAAAATAAACAATAATTAGGTATTATTAATATTTGGTCGAAGTTGCAGGTAAACTGGATCACTTAGCATGCTTTCTGAATCCTCAGCGTTTCTAAATTTTTATCATGAGATCTAAATTCTAGTTGAACTAATTACATGTGCCATGCAGTAATTTAAAGTTCATAAATAGGTAAGAAACTCAGATCTACATAAAATGTTTTTTAATTCCAGACTTCAAAAAGAAGACACTTTAAACTTTTAAATATACATATATATTTTCGTATGTTAGGTACTGAAATAATTCTACAGTAACATCAAGGCTTCTGTACAGATTTTAATATTAGCGCATATTACGAAATAAAAATGACGTTTATGTCTATTTTTCTAAGAACTTATAATCGGTATCAAATTTTATCATTAAGGATTTAATATATTAACTAACTAAATCATACTTACAACACATAACTTCTATCCCAATTATATTGATCATTATTAACTCGAACATTGTGCGTTTGTACCCTTTGGTTATCGAGTTCCAGCGTGCAATACGCGGAAAGATTGCCATTAAGTCCTTTTGCTCCAATCACTTTCACATGAACCTCCCCAATTTCGCTCCAATCGTTGGCTAAGTTAAGGAATGCCTAAAAGTGTTTTTTTTTTGTATAATTTACTAAATTTTACACATTACTTAAATGAGATATTTATTATGATATCATTTAAGAGTTAGGTAACCCGTGACCAAGACGTTGATAACAGTGCCCAAATATCGGGAACTCTTTCAATAATGTGTCATATTGTAAACGTTCGTGAAAAAAAATTAAAACTGATTTCACTAAGTACCTAAACATTAGTATTAAAAATTGTACATACATATTTTTCGAACGCTTCATCCATTTTCTCATCACCTTTATGCGGAGGGATACTTCTTCGAGTGTCGCACATCGTCACAGAAAAATGTACTGAACCAAATCCATCGTCTAATTCTTGCCAAAACTCATGTGTCCGATCCTTTTCAAGGTCCAATAGATTTAAAATACACCTAAAAATAAATACTGGCGTTTATATATACCTATATCATTATTATAAATAATTATTTAGTGAAGATGTGATTTTCTTTCATTTGGGCATATGTTCAAAACTACGCTTATTGTCAATATTGATATTCTCTTTCTGATGAGTAGGTAATCAATACAATCAACTGTTAAAAATATGAAAAGTACCTACCTTCCCATAAAGTTTCTTTGCCTTCCTTTATCCCATAATGAAATCCTTAGTAAATAATCGTCTTTTAAGTTAAAATCAAATCGTTCCTTCCATTCTGGGTGATTGGCGTTTGTGGATACCTTTGATAGCAACGTTTTTGAGCCCAACCTAATGGATAGTAAATGTTATTTATTAGTAGAATTCATATTTCTTAATGAAATAAAATCTTAAACAATCTTAAATGCACCAGAAATTAATCACGATAATTTCCAGAGGCTGCGTCAGACCAGCTGCAGCAGCTGCGGTGAGGAGAGGCTAGTTAGGCGGTGCGTTAGAGGTACACCGCCGTTTTTCATTCCTAATATCCCTTCTACCCTGTGTTTATAAATTATGCAGCTGTTTTAAATCATATATAATGAAATGAAATACAAATATTTGTATTTTCACAAAGCGGATCTTATATATATGTAACTGTATTCAGTACATAGATATTATATTAATTATTAATTACCTAAGTCTGCAGAAAAGTCCGTGAGTAGAGCCATCATTTGGTTTGTCTGGAAGACCTTTAGCTTCTACTAGCACTACAGTTACAATTGTACCTTTGACATATTTATTACCTGCTGTGTCGACCTGATGAACAAGATATCAATTTGTTAAAACATTTTAGACTTTTATCTACTAGTGGTACGCTTATCGTATGAACTATAATCTCTAATAAATCATTTATTGTGTAAGTATAAATAAGTACCTAAATATGGTAAACGAAATTATATTTTTCAAATTTATGATAATATCGACTGTCGTCAATATTTTATCATGTTGCAATACTTATTTAAGGTGTCTAAATGTGATTATTAGTGCAAATATAAAAATATGTGTTAACAATTTTAATTCCAAATATTATATGGATATTAAAATTATTGTCATAAGTCTTCATAATCATCACAATGCAACACCGAATCCAATATGATAGAGGCAAGTGTAGCGTATTTAGCATTGTTTTTTAGGTGGAGTAATTTTAAATAAAATAATATAATATGTTTTGTAAAAGATAAATACCGTATAATTTGTGCCGATCGAAGTTGTGTCAAGATTTTCTTCCGAAGGTATAGATTCTAATAATGACCTCTTTTTCTTATTACCACGCCATCTATGAAGAAAATGAAACTATAGTAAAGAAATTGGTATGTTGGTATATGCGACAATTACCATTTACTATACTGTGCGGCATAAGCTTGTTTGAATTAATTTTAAATTTAATTATTAATCTTATATTAATAATATATATGTGTATAAAATTCTCGTGTCACAATGTTAGCTACCATACTTCTCTGAAACGGCTTGACCGATTTCTATTAAATTTGACATGCATATTCAGTAGATCTGAGATTTAGTTTCCATACTCCTAAGTGATGGTTGTCCTTAACATCTTATTTAATTTATTTGTAATATTTTTATATATTTATTTTTTTATAATGTGGCATTAAAAAATACATGCAACCCTAAATTTTCACTTACACTCTTCTATCACCAATCCCTATTTTAATAGCAAATTTAATTTATATGACAAAACAACGTTTGCCGGGACAGCTAGTAAAATATAAAAAATAATAGTACAAATACAATTACTTAAATTGATTATATTTATAAACCCCCGTCAAATTAAATCTTTAAAGAAGATTTAATTTGACGGGGGTTTATAAACAGTTTTAAAGTTTTTCTTTTGTCTTCGAGAGTTAAGAGTATAAATGGAGAAAACGTTAAGAAAATTGTTTATTTATCTAAGATAGGAGGCAGTCCGGTAGCACTTATGTAAAAAATATAGATAATAAGTACATAAATAAATCACTGACATTAATTCCATCCACAAACAAGTATATAAGTTATTATATTTATATTTCAAACAAATATATATACTTACTGGATTCCCCAACCGAATAAAAGACTGTCGCGGGTCTAGGTCAAGTCATCTTATAATATCTACATAAATTAATTATTATCTAGAGTTTCCTTTTTTTTAAGGTTCGATGAAGTAATGTAAATTACTTTGGTACACTATAATTATATTTAAGTAGATAGGGTCTAATGTTCTTGGTTTCAATATAATGTAATAGTCACTTACAGAAGAGAAATATTGTTTTTTTTCCGGTTCATCCATGTACTACTGTTACTACTACCCGTAGAATCTATGGAACGACGAGACGGAGCACTGCCATTATTATTTTCACTTTCCATAGTTAAACTATTTCACTTTATTATAACATAATAAACACATGCTCAGCGTCTTAATTATAATTCTATTATGAAGTGTGAAGTATTTTATATTTAGTAATACGTACCAATACGATAACATTAATCTGATTAATATATCGATAAAATGTTTTATCTATAACTAGGTGTTCCCTTGTAAATGTTGTTCAAGAATTCGTCTTTATATAAATGTCATCTTCACATTTAAGAATAGTAAATACTTTATTTTTCTTATTAATTACGCGTAAAATAATCATGAATAATATAGGTACCATTATAATCCTATAAGACAGGACAGTTGTCTCTTCATAAGTTTATTTTAATCCACACTTACCACGATGACGACGGCAGCTTTGTATGTAGGTAAGTATAGTGATACTTCTAATGTAAGGAACGTTAAAAGTAACATCATACTTACATACAAAGCTGCCGTCGTCTGTTGGTCTGTCTAAAATGTCGTATGCCGACTAGCACCGCTAGTCGTTAATCGTTATATATATTTCGGAGAATAAAGAGTGGTGACTCTACTCAATATTCTCCCAACTCTGCCGTCATCTAAGGAGAAATTACTTTAATATATTCAAAATATTTCAGTTATAATGAAATTCGTTATCCTCATGGACGCTCGGATCTTAATGGTCTATTCGAGCACCAGCTGAAATAACCTTTATACCACAATTCATACTATCCATGCACACTTATACGTCCCCCGGGTGCCCCTCCGATGGATCCCCGTATATTATTTTAAACGGTGATTGAAATTACGATAACCTGAGGCAAGGTTCGAAAACCTAGCGGTGTCCTCAGACTGAAGTAGTATCCGTCAGGCAAGAGTTGGCCTTCACCCGCTCCATAAGTTCTTCCACTCATTTCGTTTGCCATCTGCAATCGTCTTCTATTGGTCGGTAGAAGCTGTGTAGGCCAGCTGCGAGCAGGAAGCTCCTTTTCACAAAATGATATACCTATGATCATGATACCGCAATATTATCGTATTCGTATAATTATTATTCGTTATTGTTTCGCGCCATCTCTTGGTGGCTACAAGAATATAATTAATACGTTGTCGTTTTTATTTACTCTACTCTCCACTAGAGGCGCTGTAATTTGGCGTCACAAAAACGCATCATTTGTTTTGGTGGCGCTAGTGTCAATGAAATATGTTTGATACTTTCGTTTGTAGTATTAAGGAAAGAAGAGGTTATGGAATAAAAAATTAAATATTGTTCAATTAGTGGTACTATAAATAACGAATAAAATGGAAAAACGAAAGGAGTCGTTGAGTGCTTTAAAAATTTGTAGATTTTGTTTATGTCAAGATAGTTCCCTATCGAATTTATACGACAGATCAAGAAAACCTAAAAATGCAGTTCCTCTGTCGCTCAAAATTTTATCAAGTGTATCTATCGAGGTAATTTTTATTAATATTATTTAGTTCATTAGTCTTATTAATAATTGATAAATAATTAATATTATAATTTTAAAAGGACGCCACCTATACAGGATTTTGTCTGTATTAATTGCGTTAATGGCGCCGAAAACTTGTCTTTAAATGTTTTATTCATAAATTTATAAAGCTAAACTTATCATAGATAACCGTATGTAGTAAAATTAAATGTTTAAATAAAATATACTGATACCATCTACAATTTAAAATAGTAGAAATCATTTGTCAGCATTGCAAGCGCCACCTGCCGGTAATAAAATTAGTACTTTATAATAAAATTTCATATTATTTTAACTAAAATGTTTAATTTAGTTTATTCTTTTCCCAAATTATTATTTATTTTACAGGTATTTCCATCAGACAAGATGCCTTCATTTATATGTAATCGGTGTAGATTCTTTATGGATATTTGCTATGAATATAAACAAATTTGTCATCAAACTGATGAAACCATCTTGAATTATGTTCAAAGTGGAACTCCTATGGAAAATATGGCATGGCCTTCTCAACTTAACAAGGTAAGATCTTGAATATTTTTATATTAATTGTCTTAAACTTTATGTAAAATTGGTAATAGTAGGTAAACTAGTTAAATTAAACAGGTATTTCAATCCAGGCATGTATGTAATGTAAAGGAATGACCAAAATTATTTATAAAAGTTATATAAATGTTATTTATTATGCATATTATATAATGCAGGAACTTTGCTACATTATATTTGTTTACGCAATCCACACAGGTTTGTAATATGTCTCCATACATATAATAATAAACATTTATATAACTTTTATAAATAATTTTGGTGAGTTTTCAGAGTTAATGGTGTGGAATATGCTGACCCCAAACAGTTTAGTGTAAGGTAAGAGAGTTGATAACAATGAATATTCCGTCTGTAATATATATTTTTAAATTTCAGCTCTATAAATCATTTACCAAATCATTAACAAAAGAACCGGTAATCAAATCAGTAGTGGAAGGTGGTGCAACAGTTCAAGTAACATCTCAATCATATGATAGTGATGAAGAGGATGAAAATGTGTACAATATTAAGGTATATTTGTATTTTATACATGATGATGACTGATGCCCTTACTTGCAGTTTATATTAAAGTGGCTCTAGTAGAGTATCATTGGATGATATCAGATCTGTTAGCCCATCGCTGTGATTTTAAAGGAAATGAACCACAATGGTTTCCAGGGGGACTGCAAAAGGGTATATTACTAACAATAGTGACATCAGTATCTCTCTGCCTTAGAGTAATATGTAGATTGTCTTTTTAAATAATTATTAATGATTAAATTAAATTTATTTATTTATTTTAATGTTCTACCATATTTAAACTGATTCTATTTTTTAACAGATTGACCAATTGGAAGATGGATCTGAACATGTCAAATTGCTGACAAATAAAAATGAAACTGATTTTGCCAAAGAAAAAGCATCTGGGAAAGGTAAATATTGTGTAATGAATGAAATTATATAGTAGTAATAGTACTAATTTGTCTTAAATCTGCGTGTGTTCATAGCTTTTTCATATTCTGTTGTTTATATTTAGCATGGTTCACTCATTTATAAACATGTTTTCACTTTTAATGTGTCCATTGTTCCTATACTGACTCAAGCAGACTGAATCAGTCTGCCCCGGTGTCCATACATGTTATTACAAGGATCACACACTGCTGACAGATTATATAGATTCTGATGTTCTACCAATGGAATGTAATGGCTGAGTTCCTTAAAAGATCACCATTATGTGAGTTATTAAGGAAATACTTATAGATCGCTATCCCAACTTGTAATTTTTTTACGCTGTATAGTTGGAGCAATAAATTTCATTACATTACAGGTTGATTTATACAAATGGAGAGAAAACATGTTTAATTTTGTGACAATAGTTGCTGTTTGCATTTTCTTTTCCATTTACTTAATTTGTTTGTATTTAATTTCAGTACTTACCTATATTGTCTAAACCAATACTATAAATAAATAAGATTTTATTTTGTTTGTCATTGTTAAACTCAACATTTATTTAACTGAGTTTTAAAATAATTAGAAACCTCTACAAAGCTACTATAGGTCAATACCTATATTTATTTTCCTATACAGGTTTGTACCAGTTTACTATTTGATAATAAGCTATATATTTAATAATTATCCCCACAATGTAATTTTGTTTTATGTTAATATTTAAAATTCAGTTGCTTCCAATATCTGGTTGCTTTTATGTGATATTCTAATACAGTTTCTTCTTAGTACTTCTAAGTTGTCATGCAGGCTTATATGACGAGATAACACTGAAGAAATCAGATGCAAACCGCTGGCCATGCAACCTGTGTGACTGCACTTACCCTCTGCAACAGTTATTGGAGTTACATAAAGTTCAAAGGCACAGAGCTAGAACTGTACCTTGCAATCACTGTAATGCGTAAGTATCATGAACTTATATCTACACTAATATTTTTGAACTGAAAGTTTGTTTGTTAGATTAATTTCAGGAACTAATATTTTTATGGAAAAATTAGTTCAGTGTTGAAATAACCTATTTATTGAGGAAGGCTATAGTCTACATAACATCACGCTAAAATTAATAGGAACGAAGCATCAATGTCTGCTAATCAATACTGCTTCTCTTAGATTAAATACTGATGCCACAAGTACTAGTATAATCTATCTGAGAATGAAATGGCCTCAATCAGGGCAAACAATGTAGTATGAATAATAATTGATATTTTTAACATGCTTTTAAATGTTACTTTCAGTAAATTTTATAACAAACACGATCTGGCGACGCATGCATTAATACATTCTGATGACATGCCGTTTGAATGCTTGGCTTGTGGACGCAAATTCAAACGATTAATTTTACTGAAACGCCATGAGAAGGTGAATTGATTTTTACCGTTTATTATGAGTATTTTCTACACGTAAATTTATACTGTGTATTTTAACTTCCAATTTGATTGTGTTACCTTTGACATTTACTCATTCAGGAGTACTATCTTGAATTTTCTAACTTATAAATTCAGTATTTACAAGATTCATTCAGTTTATTCTTTCCTTAAATTGCTTTTCTATATATATGAAATCTCTTACATTTATTTTCATCAATAATTTCATTACATTTAATTAATCCAACGCCCCAAATCAAGGTAGCATACCCAAGATAACGGCAGCGTTGCATCTTTGAATGGCATTTTTAGCCTCTGGGCAAATCTAGTACCGCCTCTCAGGTCACAAACAACTTCGATAGGCGCGCTAATTGTTTGTATGGGTATAATGATTCATTAAAGAATATTTAATTGATCCTTTCAGGTTTTACATAGTGACCTGTGTCAGTTCAGTTGTCCCCATTGTACAGTAACATTTTTGTCTCAAGAAGAATTAGTAGCGCATCAAAATAGACACGGCAACATTGCTAACCGGCGACATGTTTGTCCAGTATGTAGCAAGAGGTAATGTTGGAAATATTTACATTCACATGTAGAAAGCTAATTATAAACGACATTGATTAAAATAATCGACTTTATAAATTTAATTTTAAAGCCGATTTCTATTTTTTTTTTATTCTAACAATAAGTTTAATGGTATTTTAATGAAAAAAAAAATTGTTACAGATTCCATGAAAAAAATACACTACGAAGGCACATAGATATCGTACATAACAAGAAACGTGGTTTACGTTGCGAGTATTGTACAGAGCGTGAGTCGAAAGGAACCATAATCAACTATTCTTCCTTTCACCATTAAAATAAGCTATGAACATGCGCACACATAAGAATAAAACGTATCAGTAATGATTGATAATTGTCACTACACAAATTATTAATAAACTTATTTTTTGTTCACAGTATTCTCATCAGTATCAAAGTTGACAAGACACGTACGCTCCCATGCCGGCAAAAGGGCTTATCCGTGCAAGTACTGTAATAAAAGCTTTTTAAAATCCCATCACTATACTAGGTAAGTTGTACAATCATATGTTACTGTGTAACATATATATATAATCATATACCCAAAATGGCTTTCAGTCCTCATGGAAAACAACTGTAACATTATTTGTCCATTTTCACAATTGTGTAACCACTATTTTTTTTTATAAATTATAAGCCCAAAAACAATTTTTAGGTTACCAAGCTCAAATTTGCCAGTTTTTCACCTCTTTTTTTTAAACGATTAGTAAAAATCCTTATAAATATGGGATAGTTATTCAACGAATGTTTAATTAAAAAAACTAGCGAGTTTCAGAATTCAGTAGATAGGTAGAGCTATGCAATTATGAACTTCATTGTAATAACTGTAGATTATTATAAATTTTCTACTTACATTTTAGTTACTTTACTTTACCGTTAGATACATATTTTTTTGCAGGAATGGGATATCAAAATCAACGATTTTTCTTTGCATTTTTAGGCATACATAAGTAAAAACCCATAGCGCTCAAACGGTTAATGTGTGTTACCCTTAACATCGTTATACGTGGCATAAGTCTCCTCTATAACAGAAATACATATATTTCCAGACATTTACGTGTAAAGCACCGTCACGGCGCCAATCGTACCCCTTTCGGTGATATAGACCAGTACCGCTGTGAACAATGCGAAGACACGTTTTCAACGCAGGACGAGCTGATATATCATTCCGCGATACACGCTACGCAGAATCTCACTTGTCCACTCTGTCAGGAAAAGTTTGAGAATGTTGACGCTGTCACTGTGCATATAAAATCTCATGTCAATGGTAAGAATAGTTGTAGCCCTTAAAGATAATTCTCTACTGAGCACAATACAAATATATATAATTGTTTTTGTGATATATGTAAATATTTAAGATTGAAGTGGAAATATTAACTAAACAAGAGATATGACTTTCACAGTGACGTTTATTTGTTTTAATTTTTGTTTCGAATTTCCACATCAGACTATAATTATATTTATTTATACTAGTCACCAAATTTAATTAAAATTTAAGTGTGAACGTTATTAAGATCATATTGTCAAAGACTTACATACTGAAGTGGCACCTAATGATTCATAAGAAGATATATTTGAGAGTAGGCAGCATCTTCTATTTCTCTGCCAAATCGCTATGTCGGTCGGCTATTATTATATAACTAACTGAGCCAAATTTTATATTGAACCATCTGTATAATTTTAATAAAAAGGTGTTCATATTCACTTAATTATATTATTATCTTGATGAATTCATATTTCTATTAATTCGGATAGCACTAATAGAAATATGTAAAAAGTAAAAGTGAATATTGGAAGACATATTATTCCAAACATCACTGTAACATACTGTAAATATCATAAAACTTGTATTTTGGTACAGGAATAGAGTTTATGTGCGACTTGTGCGAACTAGTATTCACCTCAAAGGAAAAACTAGATCTACATTTAACTACCGCACACGACGAAGAGCTGCGGAATTCGCAAGTAAGTAATTGACTATTAGAAAATATGATTTTATATTTGGATTCTTCTTCACATATTTCTGTAGTAACCACCCATTTTTTTTATGATTACCAAATTCTTTACTAATTACTTGATAGATATTACATAAATGAGTTACTTCGTAAATTATTATTTTTAATATATATTATGAAGTTAATAAATTGTAGAACACTCAATACAATTGGGCAAGTTGTTTATTATGTAGTTTCTTAACAAGCTTTCGTATATGAATTAGAACTTATTGATTTGATATAAGTATGTACCTATATCTTTTTTTTACTTTATCTGACTTACCATAACAGGATTCTTCCATGGAGGTGGATGCCGAAGACGAGGACGACGATAATACAATCAATGGTAACTATTGTTATTATGTAGTACTATTTCTTATGGCCTTTACAATTGGATTCATAATTAAGCGACGTCTTTTTTTTCTCAAATTGCAACATCATCATCATCATCATTAATTTATTTCCAGTGAAAGAAGAAGGAGACCACATGGTAGTTGAAATCAAGAAAGCCGATAACTTTATGGTAATTATATTACTCAACTTCTATTAATGAATCTGAATATACAGACAAATCAGTTTAAGGTTTTCATCACAGTACCGAATTCTATAGTATTCATGTGGCGTGTTTTGAATTCTTCCATACATGTTTCACGTTTATCTTATTAGTAGGCTATTAAATATTTTTTTAATCCCTTATTGTACAAAAGCCGGGCTTAATACCATATTAAGCTCGCCTTACTTAAAGGTTAGTAGAGAATTAACGGCTAACCTTTAGGTGATATAGAAAGCGTTGAGGGCAGTAATGGTGAAAATAAAAACTATAATAATAATATATCAATATAATCGTATATAATTAAAATATTCACAAAAATAGGGACAGAGTACTAATATTGTAAACTTATATTGCAGCTCGATAGTACAGCGACTGAATCTGAAGCTAAAATAGACAACACAAATTCTGAAGGTAAGTACCAAATAATTGTCTATCACAATATTATTATGTATCTTCACGCCAGATCTAGTTAAATAATCCCTATACATGTTTTGAGAGCTGACTTTTTTCGTTTTTCGATGTAACTAAAATAAGAAACAACCTGACACCCCACCTGATGAGCGCTATGGATAGTATAGATGTATCGCTATTGCCAAAACTAAGGTGTCATGCTTTTATACTATTTTGTGATACATAATGGATACCACTGTCCATCAAATAAGCCACGTATATTCCATTCTACTTGCATAAAAAATATATTTCAAAATGCATACTTACAACTACTGTTATGTTATGTAATGAAATTTGACTATGTTTCTTATACATGATCTTATTAATTACTATAGAGAGTGAATCCGAAGCGACTTACTCTGAGCTGTCAGCAGTTGATACATTGCCAACGGTGACGAAGGAATTACCCGAGAAAGCGGCTGAGAAAGTCCCAGTCAAGAGGACTACAGCTGCTGTTGCCGTCGTGCCCGCTGCAGCTGTCACGCCCACAACAACCATCACCACAGTCGCAGTAACTAGCGACAACGTCAAAAATGACAACAAACAGGTAATAGTATATTACGTAATAAGTGCGTTATAATGGTATAACACACAGCGGAATTTTAGGCTGAACCGCCTATGTTAATTACGCACATATCTTCTATGAAGTTTTTCAGCAACCTTTAAAACTAAGATTCACACTTATAACTTTTTTAAATCAGCGCGCTACTTACTATCTACGCTACCTACTGGCTGGCGCCGCACAACGGTAATTCGAAAATAAATAAAAAAAGCAAACAGTGCGGTTACGGAATATAACTTAACTATTTTCATTTATAACGCACGTATTTTATGAACTGCTTTATATATCAAAAACCGGTGAAATCTCGCCTCCAGACAAGTTAAGACGTGAACACGTGTAATAACTGATAATTTCTAGAATAGAATATTACATACAAGTTGACAATTTATAAAGGTATTTTTCAGATACAAATATCTTTAATTAATTATTTCAGACTGCGAGCATCCTACGTAAAGCTGAAGAAATAAAAAGAAAAGCCCAACAAACCAAGTCAGAAACAATTAAATGTAAGTTTACGTCTTAGAAACTAAAAACACAAACAATAATTTACCGTCAAATCAGACCACGCTCCACTTTTAATATTCTATATCCCATATGCTTTAAAGTACCTTACCAATTTTCCCAGTACCTGAGAAAGAAAAGCCAAATAATAAAGTTGAGAGCACAAACAGCGTTGGTGCCAGTGACAAGTCTTTGCGTCTACTCGAAAAAGAATTGCAAGACTTAAAGAGGGTATGTATTATTTATTTAGTGCATTCATATGTTACAAAGTCTATCTGTAGAATTGTATTGTAGTATTGTAAGAGTAACTATTTTATACGTAGTAAACATATAAAATTATTATATGTATAATGCATCATTACTATTTTGTTATATATTATTATGAATTCCTTACTTCGACTTAAATAGAAATATATATACTTATTTATTTAAAAAAAAAGTTAAATTTAGGATTTAATTGCTAGAAAATTAATATTACAGACGAACTCTCGTAATGAACCTACCAAGATGCTTGCAAAGAATTCGGAATCATTCAGGATTAGGCGACCACAGATTCATACATCTACTCCGAAACAGAGGTAAATAATATTTTATATTCATTTTTTCAATAAGCTTTCCTAATTGTCATTCTTTTTATTTTGTTTCATTTATTGTCTAATTAATCAGTTTTAGTTTATTATTATTTAAATTAGTATTATAAAATAATTAAAGGGTTGATGAAAAGAAACTACAGCCATCAACAAAGGCAACAATAGAAAAGAAAATACCGGAGCGTCGAATAATTACAAAAGAAAACAAGGAACCAAAAGAAACGAAAGAACCAAAAGATACAAGAGAACCAAAAGAGACTAAGGAGCCTAAAGAAGCCAAGGAAGTAAAGACCAATATAATTGTTAAAGATAATACCGAGAAAGAACTTAAAGAAAAGGAAAAAGAGAAAGACACGCCTAAAGTAAGTTTATATTATAATTTATCACATTCATTCATGAGGTAGATAAGACCACGACATTGTATCCGTGGCTATCGGAAAAGCACTGCTTTTTAGCATTGCGGTTATAACTTTTATTTGTAAATAAAACATACACAACATTTTAAATGTAACTAACAATACATTAGTGAAAACCACAACGAATTCAGTTAACCCGTTTCTGAGATTACGTTTTTGTTTACCTGTTCATTTGTGTATCGACGGCCTTGTTGGTGTAGCGGTTTAAACACATTACTTTCTATAGTGTTCCTTCTTTTACTCAAACCGTACAAACATTTGTTTTCTTCAGTATGATTGTTTGTGTAGGTATGGATGTTTCGTATGTGTATTACTTTTAGCTTAGCTTGGGACTAGATGATACTGTGTGAATTGTCCTGGATTATTATTATTATGATCAGAAATAAATTAAAATATAATTTTCACAGAATGTTATTAAAAACGGCGCCAGCGATAAAAGTAGTGCAGAGGATAATGTCCGACGCTCCACGCGACCTTCTAAGATTAAAGATTACGCGAAAATGATACGGGACAGGTACGTAATATTATTCTTATCACAAATTAATAAAAAAAGAAAGTTTTATATTAAAGTGTTCGCAAGAGTTTTGAAAAATCTTTTTTTTATACCATTTATTCTGAGTTTAAATTCAGTACAAGAAGAATAAACAAGAGACTTTCTCAGTATTAGTATAGAAAACTTAAGATTATATTTTTACAGGACCCAAGAATCAGAGGGTGATGATTCTGATATGGATGATGATGAATTTGAAGATAAACAAACCGATGTAAGAATATTACTTTATTAAAATATACACATATTTATATATAGGAATACTAACCCCAAAATTTATAAACACAAAAAGTTTGATTAGTCTGTTTTAGTCTTCTCTTTTGAGTTAATATTTTATTTGTGAATGGCATGGGGTGAGATACAATTATTTTAAAAAATACAGTGCTGAATATCCCAAGAGAACTCACAACAAAAATCAAAAAGGTTTTAAATATTTTTTTTTAAAGACTTGGTAGGCAAAATCCAGCATCATTATCAATTTAAAAATAAAAAGGAACATTAACATTTAAAGTTACATTACAATACATTCATAATGATCAGAGCAGACCCGTCCTTACAAACGGCACCAGCTCACGAATTTCACGAAATTGTGATGGATGATTGTTTTTTACTCAACCTTTTTTAGAGACAGTTGACAACTTCGTGAGTAATAATGAATATGCATATGGTAATGGCTGTATATACAGTGGTGGTCATATAATTAGAAACACTTCTTATGAATAAAGAAAGTATAACAAACGTACAAATTATCGTAATAAAATATACACATTCAATAATTAATAATCATGCAATAATATAGCCAATCAAATTAAAAACTCATTAAATGGATAAAATATAAAACATATTTTACTTTCAATTATAAAATGAGTCTTAAACATGTAGGAATTTATTTACTGTTACTTGCCACTTGGACACCTAATTAGAAACATTTTAAAAAAGCATCCATAACTCGTTATTTTTTTGAAATTGAAAAATAATATTTCTTTCTTGCCTTTTTCTATTATTTTGGCGGCAATTCAAAATTTAATCTGAATTCTATTTTGTTCAAAATGGGCAAAAACAAAAATTGTAACGCGTCAACTAGGCAATTAATTGTAAATTCACATGTAGATCATGAATGGGCGTACAGAAGAATAGCTGAGCATTTACATTGTTCTATTGAGAAAGTTTTTAATGCAATTGATCATTAGAAAACACATGAAAATGATGAAACAGTTGAAAATGGTCTTAGAAAGGCTCGGCCTAGAAAATCCTCTCCGAGAGAGAATAAGCTAATCGTTCGTGTTGTTAAAAAGACCCATTTAAAGGCTCCAACCAGATTAAAAATGAAGTTTTTTTGTCTGATGACCAGAGAAACATCTCGTCAAGACTGATAAGCCAAAGATTAGTGGAAGCTAATTTGTTTGGAAGAACCTCTCGAAAGGTACCGTTTCTTACCAAGCAACACCGAGAGAAGCATTTATTATTTGCTAAAGAATATAATAATTGGACAGTACGAGAATGAAAAAGTTATTTTCAGATGAACCAAATATTACTATGGTAAATTCCGATGAAAGCGCTATGTTAGACGTTCTTTAAATAATGCTTTTAATTATAAATACACAAGGAGTATAGTTAAACACGGTGGCGCTAACATTATAGTTTGGGGATGTTTTTCCGGATGTGGAGTTGATCCCATTTGGAAGATTTAAGGTACAATGAATCAATGTCAGTACAAAAATATGTTACAGCACACAATGACCCTAAAACACTGTCAATAAAGCCAAATATTTTCTTAGCGAACCGCGTACGTCCGTTTTAGACTGGCCAGAAAATAGTCAGAATTTAAACCCGATAGAAAATCTCTGGTATATTTTTAAAAAGACAGTCTTAAACAAACGTAGCACCAGTCAAAATGAACTATATGAAGCATTTATTGAAGCATGGAATTCTATACCTATAGAAAAATGTATGAAATAGATTGAATCTATGCCATGTCATTGCAGTGCTGTTATTGAAAATAAGGGATATGCCACTAAGTATTAATTATAGCTATTGGTAGGCTGTGGTTAGTAGCTATTTCGTAAATAACAATACAAACCACTAATACTTAAAAAAATATAGTTTTTTATACTTTTTTGTTGTTGTTTCTAATTAGTTGACCATTATTGCTCATACCTTAGAACTGACTAAATCGTTGCCGGTATTGTAATATTGAAACTACACCTATGTAATGGAATTTATATAGTTTTTATAATAAATTATAAATTGTTGAATATATTGTTGCCCTATTTATTGTTTAATTTCAAAATAAAAATGATTGCTGTGAAGTATCTTACATAAGGTCAAGGACCGTTGGTAGTGTTTCTAATTATGCGTCCACCACTGTATATACGACCTGTAATTGTCGACACCTGCCAAAACATCAATATTTTCATTATAATTGCCTGTCACAAATACATAATATATATTCGGAAATCTATTGTCTATAAATAACATCTATAACAATATTTAAGAATTATATTTTTGTTGCAGAATCGTATAAAAGTAAAACGTGTGAAAACGTCTTCGAAACCCAGTCCAGTGCCTGCTCCCAGTCCGACCACAGTTGCGACTAGGAAGCGCGGGCGACCACGCAAGGAGCAATCAAAGGAAATGTTAGTTTAACAGATATTATCATTCATGGGCATTAATACTTCTTTACGCCAGGTCCATTTTGTGGTACACACAGAGAGTCCAATGTCATTGATAACTATGCATACTCGTTCGTTAATTTTCTTAACACTTACGTATGCGGCGATTTTGGAAGATCATTGGTATATGTGGCGTCTTGTGGTCTCATTCTGTACTTGGGGTTCCTAATCTGTTTTAATGAGCCTCAACAGATTATACGGAATGTTTTAATACCCTCGCGGATTTTGTTTTGAACAGTAGTAGGTTTATTTAATTGTGTGTGAAATATTACAATTGCAGACCGAGTAAATTAAAGAAAGAAGAAGCTCAATCCGAAGAAGATGGTAAAGAAAAAAAAGTAGAATTACAAAATAATAAGTCAAAAATATCACCGAGTCCTGAGAAGGATGATCAAAATGAAGATACATCGGAAACCGTCGAAACAGTGAGTTTCTATCCATAATATAATATAATATTAATAACCTATCAAATACCACATACGTACCCGCAACTCGGTTGACTTGATTTGAGAAGATTTAGTCTAACACATACCTTCAACATTATAGATTACATAATGTTATAAAAAATATTAAGTACTCGTAAATATTAATTGCAGGAGTCGAACAAGACCACTGACGATGTTGAAACAAAACCATCTTCCGACGTTTTAGTCTCACCAACAGGACAAACTTTAAAAAAAGTATGTATAAACCTTAATTTTATTATCTCAAAAAAATAAAGTGTAATCTTATCATACAAATAAAACATTTAAATGTTTTATCTCTAGGACATTGAATCCTAAATAATATTACTCTGTCTGATAATATATATTTTTTTTAACTATAGGTACCAATAAAAGCACTACCTCCTGGAATCAAGCCTCTTCCATTGCCCACCACAACAAGACGTAAGTAATTTCTATTTATCATTCCCATCAATATTTAAATTATTGAGTATAAGTTGTAGAACAATTATGGCAAAGACTCCCTTTTTATAGAGTAATAATGTTACATCGAATCTCAGCAACAGTATTAACTCGTCATATAATTGAGTAGTTATAGGTCGCCCTTTTCCTAACTTTGGCAATTGTCAGCAACACAATGACATGCAACGTGCCAATTATACCTTTAGAATGCTTGATCTTGTTAAAAAAAAAACAAGAGAGACGAATTTTAAAATGACTATAATTCGTTAATTATAACAAATTATAGTCATTTTAAAAATCATATATATATCTATATATTTCTTTTTAGCATTGGGTGCTGGGGAACTATGCGAAATGCAAATCGGCAAAAAGATGGTAAAAGTACAAAAGATTGTGATGACCAAGGCCGAAGTAGAAGCTATGGCTAAAAAGGGTTTAGTTGAAATGAAGGTGAGTGTTTTAATACTATAAACACATTTTAGGATTATACATATTTAAAACATTCAGAAAACAGAGCAGTGACTGCTCTGTTTTTCAAATACGATTTTATATAATTTTATTGTTGTGATATTTCCAATTATATCTCCTCCCGCGCCCACCGTATGCTTGTCTACCACCACTATGTTGTAATAATAACATATAATTACAACACAATAATAATATATAAAATTCATGTCGCAAATATTTGTAGAAACACTAATTTATTTTGTATTAAATATGATATGTGAAAATTTGGTGGGTTAGCCAGAGCATTTTTACAATTGTTTCCACTAGTGGGGTTTAAACCAAAATAGAACCCTATTTTAAATCTTATACATATTGTAAAATTATTTTTCAGGATGGCACGATGGTATTAAAACAGGGAATCAAATTGCCGACTGTTGACCCACTCGCACTAAAATCCACGCTAGTTGGTGAAAAAGGTCAGTACGATATAAATTTCTAACTTATGAGTCAACTTAGTTACAATATTGTAATAATTTTATGCCTAAAATTCGAATAGTACGATATTTTCAATTTAAACTTTATGACTAGCCAACCAGATTTAATTAATTATCATGCTAGAACTGACAATTGATATTACACCATTTTTTTTTTGTCTCCAAAAGTTTAATTTACTTAACATGAGTGATTGTTTATTATCTTATAATTAATATTTGTATCACCACCACCACCAATATATGTAATTATATCACCGCACTGATACAACATTATTACAAATATATTTCTTTTTTTTTCAGATATAGCAAAGGAATCTCCTATAAAGAAGGAAACTGAACAGTGCGATAATTCATAAAATAATAATATAAGTATCTACTTTAGTATAATGTTTTCCTCAAATGACACACTGATTTCAAAACATAAGTATCTATAATGTACTATAAGTATATAGTATTTTGTTATATTAGGTTAATTTACATAGTAACATAGTAGCGTAATATTTTCAAATAAAATTGAGTAAGTTAACCTGTATAGGTATACGCGTAAATATTCACTAGTTTTAAAATATGTTATTTCGCCGCACGATTCTTAACTAAAATTTAAACATTTGTGTATAAAGATGAGGATAGATAAATGTATTCTCATAATATACAAGATGTTAGTACATTCATGACACCAGAGCTAGTAATATCTCATAGAGGCTTATTGCATTATGAAATATATACCTATTGCATGAATCCGTCGGGGATGTATGCAGATGCATGAATCTAATATTTCCGAACACAATTCATTACGGACTGAATTTTAGCACAAACTATTATCATATTAGACAAATCTCGTAAAGTAGATGCATAAAAAATATAAGTTGGCCTAAGAGCCAACTTAATATGTGGATTCATTGAGTCAAAAGCATTTCTATAATATACTATTGATTGATTTTAAGCAGTAGATTCTTATTAATATTGATAATAATGATTATTAAATTTTTCGTAATAATAATGTTATAATGCATTAAAATCACTCGAGTCCGTCAGGACTACATTTTCAATGTATATGTCTATATATTTGACAGTGTAATGTACCGTAAGTTATACGTGTATAAGAATTAATGATTAGGTTATCACTAGTAGATAGAGCGAGATGTCAATATAAAGGGATATATTTGTTATTGATTATAGTTGGCGATTTGCTCCCTCTGTTTATAAATATCTGTAAGTATTTAATTACCGCTATTCTCGTCATGGATGTACTACTTAAGTTAAATCATTATGAAATAATTTAACTACATTATTCTGTATCTTGCATATTTATTAGGAATTTTTCTATGACTTGATCATATTTTAAGTAACTTGTATTACATATATTGTAAATTTAGTCAACATTATAACACACCTTTATCTCATAGAGTGGTTTATTTGTACTGCTTGTATATTTTACTACAGAATGAGTAGTTAGTAGTCACTTAAATTAAACTATGATCAAATACTTTAATATTTACATATTATTCGTCTTGTCACTGGTACTGACTGTTGTAATAGTAGATACAAAAAATATTATTTTTGCTACATTTAAATGATGAAACGACTGCAATAAACTGTTATGGACTAACCATTGTTTACAGTTCATAAAAAGTTAATAATAAATACGTCAATAAGACATAGCATATGTATTATTTTTAGTATTTTGTTATAAATTCATAAGATGTATTGTGCAAACTCGTGACTTTGTTTTGTATATTATATTATGATCATAAAAAAAGATTTGAAAATAAATTTACATTACATACAGTTTTGATATCCTTATTTTCCACTTCCTCTCTGTTATTTCTTTTTTCTGCGGTTTACAGTTTGTTGTATATAACATAAGTATGATTTTATTTTACAAAAAACAGTCCAATCAAAAAGAAAATTTTCACACTTCGCAGTAGAATTAATAAAATCATATTTGGTTCATAATTGTAATGACAACAAATATAAGAAAAGTAGTGAACCTGCCTTTCCTTGTGCCTACATTTTGAAAATATACACAAATATAAATACTATTATCAACAGCACCATCCGGTTTTACAATCGAGATATGATTTAAATATATTCGACCTACTCTCCGATATGTCTGTGATTCATACAGTACACCACACACCTAACTTATTTAATTCATCTACTCATCGTTAGATGGCGCTATATATAATACTTGTAAAGGCGGCGTCGCTGTCGCTTCGCTAGCATTGTAGCGTTTCCCGCTAGACTAGAAGGCGGTATGTTCAAAACGAATTTAAACGATCTCAAAAAAGCGCGACAGTAGGTTGCGTCGTGGGACAAACCATTTACAGGTTGAAATAAAATATTGTTATCAACAAAATTGTGTTGTGTTAAGGTGCTTCTAATCGTCCCCACGAAGACTTCCCACAGTCTACTTTATTATCAAAGTAAGTTTATTTTCAACATTTATTTAGCATAATTATCTCACTGTCATAAAATAAAGTAAATTAAATGATAAATTATTACATTTTAACATTACTTTAATTTACTAATGCATATAAATGTTTTCTTTTGCTATAAATGATTTACTAATAATTATGAACTTAAAATTAAAACAAATATTTCAATGATTATCTTATACCCATGTTAGTTTTGTTTGGGCATCCTGGTATACCATACCTGATATACCTCATTACTTTCCACAAACAACAATCGATCATAACTATTGGAACAGAAATACAAATAGATAACATTATTTATAATTAGAAATTATTAAAAATGAAACCTACATTAATTAATGAATAAACCACGTGATAATAGAACAATACCTATCTACATGAATTGTATAAACCTAGAATTTTTAGAATAATGCACCTACCTATAATTTTTTCTCTACATAACTAGGGAAAATTTCATTTTCATTCATGTTTGTTTTGGGTAAACTATAGATAACATAGAATGCTTATTATAGTACACTTTCGGGTGGCCGATGCTGATACGTTGGTTTCGCAATTGATAAATTATATAAGATAAGATAAATCTATAATTACACAGATGAGATATAGCATTGTATTGATTTGTAATGATATTAATAGTTGTGACAGTTGTTCACTAAATCCAAGACATACTAAATCGAAACTACTAATCCAGTAACTACTAAATAGTGTACTACTATTAAATATAGTATTTCTGAAATTAATATGTCGATTATATTTTATGCAATTTAATTAAAATGGGATGGTGTTAAACATTTTATGTTCAAACTCTATGTAATTGCCCTTTTAAACTACCGTGGATTTTACTTAGTATTTGTGTATTTTATATACAACCCTAATCAAATCAATCAAAATTAAAGATATTATTATACCTATAGGTAGTAACAGTCAATACCGTCACCGCCAATTTTGTGTGTAATATATGAACTCCGTAAGTAGTGCATAACTCCGTAATCGCAATCAAAATAAGCACAAGAATACCAACATACGCACAATGCTAAGATTTTTTTAAACCAAAGTCTCTCTTTAAAATATAGGAGTAAGTCTATTTAATCTGATAACTACTTGACAAAGATGAATGCGAAACGGTTTCTAAATTGATTGCCGCATTCATCCTCCTTGTTAATCTGTATTTACTTAAAACGACATTTAGTTGAAAAAGTAAGCTTCTTGCTTATTCTTCTCGTGATGAGTTTGTGTTTCGGAACAAACAAACTCATTTGGCAGAATAAAAAATATGACTATTCAAAATTACTAATATTGACTTTATTTGAATAGTTTAGATATTTACAATTTTTACAAATTATAATCTTACCTATTTCGTACCACGGTTACAAATATTATTTTAATATAGCGTAAAATAATTAACGAGAAGGAGTCATTACTTTTTTGTAAATACTTAGGTAGATAGCAAGCATACAACGTCGTTTTTTCAGACTACGTTGATACAAAAAACAAATACACGCCATACCCCGCAATTGTCGGACCTAATACGGAAATATAAAATTATTCATGAAACAGTAAAAAAATTTCATTCTTCACATTAAAACAGTGTTAAGTATAATGTGTTTCTTAAAAATATAATATAAAAAATTCTTCTATAAATTTCAGTGCAGATTTATAATCTTTGATATGGGGTTCCAGAAAATAGAAGGTATTTAGTTGGTGTTCCGTTATCTTTAAAGTTTAGGAATGTCTGGTTTAGGAGACATATTTCAAATCGCAAGCAAATAATTAAACCTATTTTCTCACGATTGATAATAGGAAAAATACACATTCATTTACATAAATAACGGCTTCTAAATGTTAAAAGGTAAAGAAATAATATATCGTAATTTATTATATTTCTTATTATATATTCAGCGTTTTCCTCTTTAACTATAGCAGCGTTAAATTTTTGTCCATGGTGTTGTTTAGGTAAACACTGGCGACGATTTCCAGTTTTCATCAAGTAGATAGACCGTCGCCATATTTGCTATGTCCAGTAATATTTGTAGAAAACATATTTACACCTACTATAAGTTTTCTAGTTAGATATTATTACCGCCTACAGATGGGCTATCTCAATTTAGACAAAGGATGTCGCCGATAGAGTTTAAATAGATCTAGAGCATTACAGTCAGTAGGTGTCAACTGGTATACTGACTTGTAGGTCTAGCAATAGTGTTGCAACATTACGCAGTTATCGTAGACAGATTAACCAACTTTGTCGATATGTAAGTTACACGCATAATTTATTTTAAGTACTAACTTAAGTTTTCACATTTTTCTTATCGTTCTTTAGATGATATTATCAATATAAAAGAATTATCGATATAATCTAATTAAAATTTACATTTAGCAGATAAAGTATGCGCATTGTTGGGCATAACAAATGGTAGAGATTAAATCGAGCTTTTTATTTATTTAAATTAAATGTTGAACCTGCATAAAATAATGATTTTTGTAGTTATTGTTTTACATAACTTATATGGCAATCCACATGTTTTTTGTAATACAAAGCAATTTACGTAATTTGATATTCATTAAGATTATATTGATTTATGGATGAACTTAAAATATACAGAAGAATTTTTATTGTAACTAAGTTAATAAAATGTAAAGCGGAAAACTGTTCGTCGTGTCGTTAAGATTTTGCGATGCGCTGATAGATAAAGAATACCTACACTAGAAGCAATAATACAATCCTTGAGACGATACAAAATCAATCACAAGTCTTTCATGGAGTAGGAAACATCACCGGCAATAGTCCAATACAATAACTTTCTACAGACAACTTGAAGTATATCCCTCATGTTAATACTTTTCACAACTGAACTTCAATGCATTTTGCAATAAAATAAATTCCTCATACCTCAATAAAATCTTTCAACTACTTGCATACATACAATAAACTGATTACGGTGAACATAGGCTAACAAAACGAATTAAATAATAGGATCCATCTATGTACGTATAGGTATGTTATATTCCAATTTAGCTCAATAATCTAAAATTAAATGACAAGTGCTACATCCATCAATCCACACAGTAATCTCCCATTGGTTGACATTGAGACATGAAAATAACATAGTCAATTGACAATAAAAACAATGTCAACATTAGCTGGTTGATTTTGTTAGCAAAGCAAAAACCCGCTAAATGAATTTGCACGAACCACCCGGAACATCCTAATTTTCATAAAGAAAATATTTAACTCCTTAGTTACAATAATTTAAAAAAATAGTTTATGGAAATATGGATGATTTATATTTACATAAAATTTCATAATGGGAGATCTTAATCTTTATTTGAGTTAATGAAAGTAGTAGAACAATAATTTAGTAAATTCATGATTTAGATTTAGATAAATTATCCATTATGAATTACGTTTTTTTTAGATGTATAGACCTGTTTAGTACACAACCACCTACACGCGTATACCTAAAATTACTCTATTTACGAGTGGAAAGAATCAAGGCCTCACGAAAGAGGACAAAATTTTCCGATGTATTTGATTTCTTAGGACACCAAAAAAATAGGCCGAAGATTCACGGACCTTATCAGAAGTCGACAGTGTGAGAACACCGACCACGTGGAAACACGTAGACACACGAAATGATGCGTTGCCTCCAGTTTTCACACCGCATTATTACCAAAAAAACACGAGTCGTCTTTATTTTACGCTGTTACCATTAGCATTAACAATTAATGAAATATATTATTATTATTAACAATTTATGTACTAGCTGTGCCCGTGGTTTCACCCGTCTGAAATTTATGGCCTATGTGTTAATCTGATTTATAAGCTATATTACTACAAAGTTTCATCAAAATCCCTTCAGTAGTTTTTACGTGAAAGAGTACAATATTATTAAAATATATTCCATTTGACAGCGACAGATATACTAGGCCAAGTTGTACGTTTCGTAATTGCAACTGTCAAATGGTTTATACACAATCTCAAACCTTATAATTACTATCTGCTGAAACTGAGAAACCATTGCAACGGTATTTATATTCAATAAATTTCTGTGGATATAAATGCCTTTAATTTTGGTTATAGGTAGAGTGTAGATTTGTTCTGCATTAAATCTAGTTGTTACCATTCACCAACTGAGACATGAATGACGCAGCTAGCCAAATTAGCTAGTATTTCATTTTTTTGTTGTCTGTAGCCGGTTGTAACCTTGTAGCATAAACTTAGTGTGGCACACTACGATACCGAGCGGCAATTCATCAGCGTCCCCAACCACATCGAATCGAACAATTCATACGGATCACGGTGAAACTCTCTACAACCATGGCTACTATAAGCACGTAATTAGGCCTCACTAATTGTTTTTCCACTGAATTGTAGTTCATTCCTACACAGCTATAGGTCGACACTACAAAACAGATAAAATACCATACACAGATTACTCAGAATAAAATTGTGATGATCGCGAATTCTGTATAATGAGTATTGTTTTCGCGTAAATTACCTAGCTGAAATTATAAACCCAATCGAGTCATTTTTAATTTTTATTTATATCATGATGATATTAAGCTAAACGGATGTCAGTATGCAGGTACATAAGATATTATATAAATATTTGTACGATAAGATGCTTTGCCACGTTCTAGTATAAAAGTGTATATATAAAAGTTACGGAATGTATGTAGAGATCTACTATATCTCATACTATCAGGGGTGGCAGTAAAGGAAAAATTCTTATTAAATTCAGAACTCCACTCATTTGTAGATTAATGGCATCATTGTATCTAAAGATTAGATCAGTATAGTCTATCTAGTTTGTTAACTTAGACTTATCATTATCAATCACAACTCATTCCAAATCGTTACTGACTAACGGAAACTACTGAAACCTTTCTGCCACCAAATATAGTATGTAATTATTTGCATATTTTATTTTTATATACGGGTTGACAGGAAAAATTTTAAAATTTCGTAGTATGTAAATTTATTATTA